CGCCATACCAATCACGAGTGCAGATTGTTGTACGCCCTGTGGATGTAAGAACCGATATTTTGTCAGCCATGGTTTGTCGCCCAACCAGTTCTTGACGATGTCAAAGTTGTCCACCGCATGAAATGACGGCGGGAGGTAGCGCTGGCCATACGACCATTCACTCCAGGGAATCGGATCATACCTGGCAAAACGATACACCTGGGGCTATATGACGGATGATCAATAGTGGCTATGAATCCCCACGAAAGGAGCTCACCACAGTCGCAATCTTGACTTCCTTCAGCATATCCTGGTATCGCGGTTCGACGGAAAGGGTGGCGAGAAACACGTCTCTCCTTTTCACAAGGTGGGGCACAGTACTCCCCACAGTACTCCCGCCAGTGAGACGCGGGGCTCGGCCTTGAAGCTCAAGCCTGAGCTCCTTTGTACTGGGCTCCAGTTCACTCCATGCTTCATCGGTCTCCTCTGTGTCAAATCTGTGCAGTTCGCCCAGAGGAAGGTCTTGGAGACCTCGCTTTGCCTTCGTCTTGGCACCGCTGCTACCACTCGCTTGAGGTGCACCACCATTGTTAGCCTTACGTCCATTGGTGGTGGCGACTGCCTTGCCCTTCGCTTTATTCGCAATCACGCTCTCGCCATCCCCTGAATCTTCATCGCTGGCCGTATCTTCTTCGGAAGCCATGCTGGGTATATCTGGCAAACTCCGATCAGAGTCTTGGCTGCTTCTGGCATCATCTTCCGAGTCGTATGCATCTTTCGTCTTGCGTTTATGCCCACCGCCTTTGGCTCCGCCAGGGGCCGCTTTGCCCTTTGTCGCCTTCAATGCCGCCTTTCCCATGACCTTGCGCACAGGTTTACCCTTCTTCTTCGCCTTCTCCGCCTTCTTAGGTGTGAGTGCTTCTTGGACCTCATGTTCAGATCCTTCTTCTAATGCCTGTGCTGATCCGTCAAGTGGTGGAAGAGGATCATACTTGGCGGGAGCAGCTTCGCCATCCTTGTCGAAGTACTGGGTGAATCGCATGGTCTGCTCAGGTCCATGTTCCTCTTGGTGTGCCTGCCAGTGGTCGAGGAGGGCACGAACGGGAACACTTGTCATCTTTGAGGGATCGATCCACTGGAAGTTCTCAGGTAGCATCTCCGCTGGAATAACCTCATTGATGTCGTCTATGCTGTTCAGCTTCATCCATGGCGACTTGCAGTTCCGAGCACCCTTCGCCAATGCTGTAAACTGGTCAGCATCTCTCAACACCGAGTGGGAGTGTCATACCGTAGTGATGATTCATGAAGTCTCGAACTTGTACCTTCATCACCTTGAGAGGCGCTTCCGCCATACCTTCGGGCACCGAGGGGAGCAGAGGAAAACCGTTGGCCATCAACCGAATCTTGTCCATGGCCCGCATGCAATCGGCAGGTGTCTTCTTCACCGTCACCGTAGTCTCAGTCACACCTAAGAAATCAGGTCAGTGTGCCAGCGACAATGCAACTGAGGTCTTCTTACCGTATTCGCCTTTGGCCCACTCAGAGAACACCTTTGCTAGATGCTGGTAAGCACGCAGCCACCCAGGATAGGCCCCAAATGGAGTTTCATTGGTGATGGCGTGATTGACCTCCACCCTTCACTCGGGGGTTAGTAGATGGTGATAGTTAGACGGTCTACGCTCACATCTCTACCTTCAGACTCCCCGCTTCCTTCGGATATGCTAGCATGAATGCCATGCGAATGCCCATGGTGTCCCACATAGTCTTGGCAAACTTCTTCAGATATTGCATCATTCGCTGCTCCCTCAGCCTGTCTTAGGTCAGGATTTGCCTTATGCTACGTGACAGGAGGTACGCACTTCATTTTCGTCTTATCATCCAGAGTGCCATTGCGCCAACTTTCCGCCTTTTTCTCATACACCTTCTGCTCCTCCTCAGACAGTTTTGCCCATTCGGCACTCCGTGCGACTCTCCACACCTTGGAGACATTGCAACCCTTATCTGCCGTGAGTGCTCGCGCGGCCTCAGTCACCTTGTCCCTCTCCAGCGCATCCCACACCTTGAAGGCATTGGGCTTGCCAGAAACATGCATACGCTTTTTCGTCGCTTTCTCCTGCGCATGGCGGGTGTGGTTATTGAGCCACTCTCGGATTTTCTGCGGTGAGAGTCAGTGGGGACCTCACAGACATGAAACACTGCTCACAGTTTCCACAATGATGTCGTCATAATTTGACGTGTCGACAAACTGTGTCTTCAGCTTCTGGCGCAAGCTCTGAACTAGAGTCTTGCGTCCCTTGGCATCTGCCATGTCATAAGACCGCAGCTTCTCAGAGAGTATGGGCTGATGCTCCGTCAAAATTACAAATCTCGCCGGCATGCTTTCTCGATGTTGAGGATGAGATTTTTGTGTTGGGACAGTGAAGGGGGTCGATAGTTCAACAGGCAGCGCTCTGTCCATTTCCTCGTCGGCCGCCCACAACTCAACATGCACGTGCTGATGGCCCATTTGGGCTTACACCAATTACCCTCCTCGCCATGGTGTGTGGTGACTGCTGAAGCATTGTATGTGTCTTTTTCGCAGTGGCGGGAGGTGGTAGTAGGTATGCACTAGCATTTATGCCTGGTGAAAGGCAATGTTGAATGCCGCTTCTATGGCAGAGCACACCACGCCAACTTCATCTCGCGAATGCTGGGCGGAGGCAATCTGGTGATCATCTGCATGCCAATCTGTGGGATAAAGGGCTTCCTCGGAGTTAGGCTCGGCCAATTAGATGGCGGTGACGAAGGGCCCAGACATGGTGGACCACCCGGCCCGTGATCTGGCATGGCGGCATCAAGTCTGGCTCGGCGGCATGATGAACATGTGAGATGTGCAAGGGACGTGCTTGCAAGCAATATGCAGGCAGATGAATGCATACTGTTCTTTGCCATTCTGGCCCCTCCTACATTCTCCCCTGCATCTGCAAGCCAACCGCCTGAGCCCGCCATACACCTGTGCGTTCCTTCAACTGATGCATGCTGTAATCGTCCCATTGATTGGCAGACAGTATCAAGATGAGCAATCTGTCACCCATGCCACTGACCGATCAGATAGCAGGAGTCTTGGAGCTCATGTTCCGCCGAAAGCTCCATCTGGCCACTCATGCAGCCCATTCTGCGCCATCTATAGAAGTGCCTCCGTCCATGCCATCCGCCCTCCTATTGGAGTGCAATGGCATTGCAGATGCTCTTGTGAAGGCCATCCGTAATCCTGGTAGTCATTAGTCTTGCCGCAGGTCTGATCACACTGATCACGCCATTGTAATAGTAAGGCTGCAGTGGGACATTGATAGATATTGCGACAGCCTTTCGATTCAGCCCACGGGGCAGAATGAAGTCCTCGAGGCAGAACTGGAACGGAAGTGGCCTCCTCCATTTGGTGAGAGCGAAATACGCATAGACCAGCCCGCCACCCTCGTGGACATGCACGGACGCATCTTGGCTTGGATACTTCCAAGAGTGTTGATACCAGACTGCCAGGTGAGTGGCTTGCCCAGCCTTGCGCTGTGATCTGACAAATTTGTCAGACGAAGATGCTCCAAGCGACCAGGGCCCTACACCCAGCAATAGCAGCCAGTAAGCCTTCCAGCACCACCGCCAGTTGGCGACACAACCCGTTGTACTTCTTGCCTCCTGAGGAGTGTACCCAATTCCCAGCGGGCTCCTTGTGTCTCTCGCCAGGTTGGTTCCAACAAGTAAGAGAGGTGGGTCTCCTCGCCACGCCATTTGCCTTGCGTCTGGACAGCCTTTGCAGCATATGGAGTCTGGGAGGCTGGAGACCTCCGCCAGCCTGAAGCTTGAGGGCGGAAGAAGTTGGCTGCATGATATTCATGACTCCTCCGCATTGCTGGGCGCCATCCTGGCCGTCGTTCACCCAACACTATATGCCGCAGGACGCCAGTGCTTGGGTTTGATCCAGCAAGACCCAGAATTGCGAGAGATGGCGCTGAACTGATCGTCGCCATTCAATGCACTCCAGGTGATCGCCAACTGGGAAACTCCTTTCCACCGAGATAGCAAGACAAGATACACATTCTACGACCTGTTGGCGATGTTGGGCAACTACACTTGCGCGTGGTTGAAGTTCCCCACCATGCGTGTCGCCATCGATTATAGTCCTGGAACCGTCATAGCCTTCTGTGGAAAGGCGATTCGTCATGGCATCACTCGAGCAGATGGCGAAAGGCTCGTCTATGCATACTTCATGCGAGAGGGTGTCCAGAACAGGCTAGGCATTCCGGCGCCCCACTGGATGCAAGCTTCATATTACGCCTCACACATTGGCATGTGCACAGTTCATCACCGAGTCTGCATTCCTAACTCAGAACAGGTCCTAACTGGCTCGCTTATTAGAGGGACATCATGCCAAAGACTGATGGAGACGAGAACACTATGCAGGGGATGGAGACTGTCGATGGCAGCTTCATTGGCGGGACAAAGTTGGCGGAGGTGATGGCGAAATGTATGGAGTCACGAATTTCCGAATCCTAGCTGAAGGTTAGCGAGCGCGCGGTACGAGTGCGCATTTCACATCTCGACAGTGTTCAGCTCAAGGTGTAGTTATCACTGATGGCAGCGTATGGTTGGCGGACCTCGAAGTTGGCGGAGATGGTGGCGAAATGTGTTCGGTCGAGAAGTTGTGAGTGCTAGTGGGGCAGATGGCGGCAGCATTGGCGAGCGCGCGGTGCAAGTGCACGTTTCCCTTTTGAACATTATGCTACTCCGAGTCAAGGCAAAGTTAGCACTGAGAGCGACATACAATTGGCGGACCTCTCGCCAACATGGCATCCTTATCTGCATAACGCTGATATGGTGCCTAAAGAGACCACGAGGTGATAAGGCCCAGGCATTGCAGCCATTCTTAACCACCTTGATGAGTAGTCTGGTGGGCAGCAAGACCGTGTGTGATTTGCATGTGTTGTGCGATAGGGACACAATGCTCATTGATTGGCTTGGAATACGACTCCCCACTGACCTGAACCATGAGCAGACGCAACAAAAGCAGGCTCGTTGTAGACCTGGATGACGAGGTTGAGTTTGTGACCAAGGTAGCTAAGCAGACCACTAGGGGAGTACGCTATGTGGACGTACCTTTGCCCATGCCCACGGGTTCAAATGTGCCATCACCTTCCAAAAGTCCATCGAAGGCTTCAGCTTCAGGCCCCTTGTTTAACTTGGATGATGGCGACGTCCTGGGCAACATAGGTGTGCCGATTCAGCTGGATCCGGCGGCTCGGAAGACAAAGGTGGGCACTCCCGCCATGACCATCTGATGGTCTGACCATGCGCGATAGACCCAGAATGACTTCATGAGGGACTGGATACCCCACCGTGATGACTATCTTCATGCCATTGTTGAGATGGAAGCCCCGCCTGAGCCCAGAAACTGTGCGGAATGCAAGGTTGGCGAGGGACGGTGGCGATGCCTGGACTGTATGGGCAGACCGCTCACCTGTATCGACTGCTGTCGTAACGGCCATCAGCGTGCTCCTTTCCATCGGATAGAGCATTGGCAGGGTCAGTATTTTGAGCCAGCATCACTGTATTGGGTTGGCGTCTGCATCCATTTGGGGCATGGCGGAGATCCCTGCCCTCTGGGTGCCTTCACAGCACATAATAACCCTGCGCCGGTGGTGGCCCCGGGGTCCAATTTCTGGAATGCCTCCAATGAAGACCTAAATGCACATGATGGCGAGGTCCCATTCAACTTTGCACCTCTGGCAGGCACCCTTAACGGTGAAGCAAGGCAAACCGACGATGCTCCCGATCCCACTTGGGAGGAAGATGTGCCACCGGTGCTCTCCCGGCCACCTCGCCGTGATAGTTACAGGAATCGCATCATAGTCATTGTCGACATCTCTGGCGTTCACCATATCGGCGTTGACTGGTGCCAGTGTGAGATGGCAGTGGAGCGTGACATGCAGCTTCTTCAAATGGGACTTTACCCTGGTACCATCAAGGATCCCCATACCGCCTTCACATTCGCCGTCCTCGACGATTTCCTTCTGGAGAACAAAGAGTGCAAGACAGCGGCATTGAACTACTACAGCAAGCTCAAACGGGTCATGAGCAATGCCTTCCCTGGCACCATTCCCGTAAGTGTTCACATGCATTCCCATGGCCCAACCGTTCATGCCAGTTCCTCGCCAGGACCGTTATCGTGAGCTGATGCGGGTGTCCCACCAATGGCGCCAACTCAAATATCGCAAGTGGCACGGCTTCTCACACGATGCCCTCCGTCCTGTGGAGAAGGGTGGCCTCGCCATCTTTTGTCCTGCCTGTCCCCAGCCTGGGCTCAACCTGCCTTTCGATTGGCAAGCGGATCCAGTGCAGTGGAAGTTCAAATGCGGCTTTGTCATGGATGGAAATTTCAGTGCAGAGCACATGAAGATGAAGCACCCCGAGGAGGACGTCGCCCTCAGTGACGGCCAGGCATTCATGGTCGGCCAAGAGGATTACAAGGCTCATCTGGCGGTGGCCATGGAGTCGCATCAGGTGCGTGTCTGGCTGCACGTTCTTCTTCCGCCCTTGACTCCTAAGCCCACCAGCGCTCCACTTGTCATGAGCACCGCGCTGTCAATCAGGCCAATGTGGATCGCGCCAACCTCGACGCCACAGGAATCGGGGCCACTGCTTGCGCCAGACATGGTTTCTTCGTCCCTCATACTGTCGTCGATTTCCAGAAGGGAGAAAGGTTCGCATATGTCTCTTGTCATGATTCATTCTCACCGACGCACCCTCTGCAGACAAATGAATATGGATTACTCTCTCAGCAATGCACTCCTGACCCTCACCGGTATCACCCTCGTCCTCGTCATGTACGACATCATGTGCCAGTATGGCGTCCATGTCCGCAAACATTTCCGCCACAGCGCCTATCTGAGGATGCCCTTCGAGCTCAAGGTAGACCAAGGCATCAGCTTGTTTCATGTGCACGGACACCAAGATTGCTGCTTCCAACGGTTCTCGCCCAACTTTATAGTTGGCGCTGGTATGGTCGATGGCGAGGTCATTGAGACCCTGTGGGTGCCAACAAATGAGGTCTCAGGCAGTACCAGGGGCATGACCCGAGCTCACCACCAAGAAGTCCTTGATGATCACATGAATGACTCCAACTGGAAGAAGACGACTCGCATGGATGAGCCTGGTTCCTCCTTCCCTATTTGCCACCTGCCTTATGCTGCCTATAGTGCCAACCTTGATGACAAAGTGGAAACGCGTGCTCCTGGGCTTCCCACGAAGCAAGGAGTCCTTTGAAGCTTTATCTGCATCCACAGATGAGGATGTCCTTGAGGCATGGCAGAAGGAGTACGATGACGCTATGGAGGCTCGCCAAAATGATCCGAAGATCATGGACACCTTCAATGTCCAGCTCATGAAGGGTGAGTATCCTTCCATCATCGTGTGGCATGTAGTTGACGTGAATGCAAGCCCCGGGTAAAGACCTCACCCAACTCAGACTGGCGGGCGAGGAGTCCGCCAAGGGCTTGGAGAAGGGCACCGCCGGATGGTTGTCGACTGGCCTCAAAATTCAAGAAGCACAGTGAGTTTGCCTCATCTTAACAAAAATACAGCTCTGACGGCCTTCAGGCTTAAGCTTGCGAATGATATCCGCAAGGCGAGTCAAAATCCGAGCGTGGCGGAGGACCTCAAGACTCTCGAGCGCCATCAGCGCCTCGAAGTCAGCATTCTCACATTCCAACGTCGCTCTGAGAAGTTCATGGGAAGGTTGGAGGACGTTCCCGCCATGGAAGATCGTGACGATGGTGCGCTCTGGGATTCCTTGGATGAGAATCCTTTTCAAATACACCCGGAGGACGCTGAGTATGGTGAGGATGCAATTCCTCCCGAGCGAGCTTCCTTGAATTTACCTTCGCAGATAGGATTCGTGGCCGCCATCGCCAACAGGCTCCAGACCCTGGCGGCCCAAGAGTTGGAGTTGCGCAAAGGCCTGATGAATGACATCCTCCACGAGCTTCGCATGGCGCGTGGACTGAAGTCTTACCTCTACCGCAAGAGGGTTCATCCCGCCAACAGCATCGGAACCATGACCCGTGCACAGGCGGAGGTTCATGCTGCCGATCAGACCGTCTTGGCCTGCGCCAGGCTCTATTCTGCCAACCGACATGCCATTATGCGCTTGGATGCCACCGATGAAGACTTGGCCCTCTATCGCCCTTTGGATAAGAAGGACCTGCACGTGAAGACTGCCGTCATCGAGGCTAGCACCTCCGGGCTCAGGAACGTCAACCTGGCTTGGTTCTGGACCATGGATGTCGCTGGAGATCGAGGTTCATCAGAATGGATGGACGAGTGTTCGTAATTGTCCGATCGATCTCTAGGCCTCCTGCTAATTTACCCTCCAGTCTATAGAGTGAATTGGCTGCGTGCCAGAGCTCGATATGAGAGATGGAGGGAGGAGCATGTCTTGGTCCACTCGGAAATGGCCTGGACCATAGCCACCTTCAAGCGGAATGCGGAACGATGGGCTCACTGGCTCGAGATGACGGATCCTTCCTGGCGGGGTCATGTTTGCTATGCCGCCAGGCAAGTGAGTATGTGGCGGACCTTCGCCAGTCATGCCACTGACGCCTTCAGCCACATCCTCGCCCTGGACATTGAGGACGAAAGGGCGGGTGATGAAAATGTGCTTTGAGTCAGGGTTCACTGGGGTGTACGCATATTCATGTTTGCTATATCGATGTAGTGATCATCATGTATGTAATTCCTACTCACCAATATCACATTTGGCGAAGTGACCTCCATCCTCGCCTGAGGGCTTCATCTCGGCATGTGCTCTCCAATCGCATGACATCAGACATCAGATAAGGTCGATCAGATATCAACCTCAGCTCATCCACTCACCATCATGTCTGCCCAGTCTTCAACATCAGATGCGCGCCCCTGCCTGTTCTCCAGAGGAAGGTTGCAGTTGGAAGTCTACACTTGGAGGATCCAAGAAGCTGTTCTGGCACTGGAGCCTAACCCAGATCACTTCACCAAGGTCCGTTGGGAGGAAGGCTTGCGTCGGGAGATGGTACGCCTTTCTTGCTGATATCGCCTGACCCTGCTGAGTCCTGTGCAGTTCGCCATCAGGGGTATCTGTGGCGACCTCGCGTTGGCGGGTCATGCTGACCATATCGACCATGGCGGAGTTATCGCCAGTGTCCTCACCGTCTGCACTTTCAATCGCGAAGTTCTGCGCCCCATCAGCATTGACGTCAAGGCGATTCCACGCCCCACCACCCTCGTTCCTCGTCCTAAGAACCTACTCGAGGATTTACCCGACTACTGGTGGAAATGGGATCGTCAGGTTGGGCCGGCGGGGAGTCCTATGGAGGCCTGGTGGTACAAACTTGGTGATCCCTGGGTGAGTGGTACGTTCCAGCACCTTACAGTCTTGCTGAACCTCGAGAACGTAGGAGAAGGTGTACACCGTCTCCGAGTCTACACTGGTGCAGCTTGAACAGCTGCATGTTCGCGTCGTGAACCTCACTAGTTGGTTGCACGAGAGGACAGATCAGAACCTGGATGTGGTGCTGGAAGAGCTGCAGGAGGCGACGCGGCAGCTGCGTGAGTTAGGAATGTAATCGCCCAATGCCAGGCGTCCGTTCGTGCTGTAGTGTGTCGAATATAAGGTTGTCATGTCTTTGAACCTGGGCAATGTACCTGGTGTGGTAAGGCGAAACATAGTAGCCACATACTCTCCTCAGGAGGGCACATCCCCAATGGTATCTGATGCATGGCTCGAAAGCCAATGCCACATGGGAGAGTTTGGCGAAGTCATTCTGGACTGCATGTTCAGATGGCGAGTGATATCCACCACAGTTCGCCAACCCTACTCACGGTGGAAAGGACCGCCATTCGTCTCCACATACTCTACCCAGAAGGGCACATCCCAAATTGTATCTGATGCATGTCTCGAAACGCCGATGCCAATTGGGAGAGTTTGGCGAAGTCATTCTGAACTCCATGTTCAGATGGCGAAGGATATTCGCCACAGTTCGCCAACCCTTCCCACAGTGGGAGAGAGTGTGATACTGCAAGGAGAGCTGATAGTGAGCTAACCAGAATTGGAGGGAATGATGGGTGGATTACGTGGAAATTATTGGCCGGCGGTAGCTCCATCATTGCCCTGTTAGGCGGTGGATCAATCACTGAAAAATATGCCCATGACGGTTGACTGATCGCTGAGAACTACACCTATGGCAGTGGGCCGATAGGTCTGAGCAAGAGGTGCTGCATGAGCAACGACTCGGCATCGGAGCCCCCTTCTTCTGTGGTGTCCTTCAGCTCATATGCTGATTTGCACACGTCCGCATCCTCGTCTACTTCGTGCTCTTCGGTTGACTTCGGGTACAATCTGTTCACTTCGTATGGTCTACTTCTTGGCTCGGGCAACCAGGTGTGGCATCCGCCCATGCTTCCCCCTGACCAATCTCCACGTTTCATACATCCGCCCATGCTTCCCCCCGACCAATCTCCATGTTTCATACATCCACCTATGCTACTCCCTGACGAATCATCCGGTATGTTCCTTCACCCACCCATGCTTCACCAAGACGACACGGACACGATACGAGCCCAGTTGACAACCTAGGGCAAGGCAAATAACTCAGCTATGCCCGGGCTAGTCAGATATTTCAGGCGACCCATGCTTATGGGCTCAGAAATATACCTATGGCGGTGGGCCGATGGCTGTATAATAGCCCCGTGGTGGTGGGCCGATCGCTCAGAACACTACCTATGGAGGTCGGCCCATCGCTCAGAACCCTACCTATGGGGTTGTGCCGATGGCTGTATAATAGCACCGTGGCGGTGGGCTGATCGCTCAGAAATATACCTATGGTGGTGGGCCCATCGCTCAGAACACTACCTATGGAGGTCGGCCCATCGCTCAGAACACTACCTATGGCGGTGGGCCGATGGCTGTATAATAGCACCGTGGCGGTGGGCCGATCGCTCAGAACACTACCTATGGCGGTGGGCCGATCACTCAGAACACTACCTATGGAGGTCGGCCGATCGCTCAGAACACTACCTATGGCGGTGGGCCGATCGCTCAGAACACTACCTATGGTGGTCGGCCCATCGCTCAGAACACTACCTATGGCGGTGGGCTGATGACTGTATAATAGCACGGTGGCAGTGGGCCGATCGCTCAGAAATATACCTATGGCAGTAGGCCGATCGCTCAGAACACTGCCTATGGCGGTCGGCCCACCGCTCAGAACACTACCTATGGTGGTGGGCCGATGGCTGTATAATAGCCCCAGTGGCGGTGGGCCGATCGCTCAGAACACTACCTATGGTGGTCGGCCGATCGCTCAGAACACTACCTATGGCAGTGGGCCAATGGCTGTATAATAGCCCTAGTGGCGGTGGGCCGATCACTCAGAAATATACCTATGGCGGTAGGCCGATCGCTCAGAACACTGCCTATGGTGGTCGGCCCACCGCTCAGAACACTACCTATGGCAGTGGGCCAATGGCTGTATAATAGCACCGTGGTGGTGGGCCGATCGCTCAGAACACTACCTATGGCGGTGGGCCGATCGCTCAGAACACTACCTACGGCGGTGGGCCCATCGCTCAGAACACTACCTATGGCGGTGGGCCCACCGCTCAGAACACTACCTATGGCGGTGGGCCGATGGCTGTATAATAGCCCCAGTGGCGGTGGGCCGATCGCTCAGAACACTACCTATGGCGGTGGGCCCATCGCTCAGAACACTACCTATGGTGGTGGGCCCACTGCTCAGAACACTACCTATGGTGGTGGGCCGATGGCTGTATAATAGCCCCAGTGGCGGTGGGCCGATCACTCAGAACACTACCTATGGTGGTCGGCTGATCGCTCAGAAATATACCTATGGCGGTGGGCCGATGGCTGTATAATAGCACCGTGGCGATGGGCTGATCGCTCAGAACACTACCTATGGCAGTCGGCCGATGGCTTAGAACAGCTCCAATGGCGGTGGGCCGATGGCTGTACAATAGCCCCGTGGCGGTGGGCTGATCGCTCAGAAATATCCCTATGGCGGTGGGCTGATCGCTTAGAACACTACCTATGGCGGTGGGCCGATCGCTCAGAACACTACCTATGGCAGTGGGCCAATGGCTGTATAATAGCCCTAGTGGCGGTGGGCCGATCGCTCAGAACACTACCTATGGCGGTGGGCCAATGGCTGTGTAATAGCCCCGTGGTGGTGGGCCGATCACTCAGAACACTACCTATGGCGGTGGGCCGATGGCTGTATAATAGCCCCGTGACAGTGGGCCGATCGCTCAAAAATACACCTATGGCGGTGGGCCCATCGCTCAGAACTATCACCGCGGCAGTGGGCCCATGCCTGTATAATAGTAGCATCATGGTGGTGGGCCGATCGCTCAGAAATACTCCTATGGCGGTGGGCCCATCGCTCCAGCATTCCCTTCATCGCCATGAGCCGATCGCTGACAGCTCCTTACACAGACCGATGGGCCGACGTCCGCTGGCTGTCCAGTTCATGACAATGTCAGGGTAAATGGGAGTCCAGTTCACAAACATGACTGAATGGGCTGGGGTGACAGCAGTGACAGAGGTGACACCTGCTCAGGCGGCAAAGGCCAAGGCTGCTGCGCAGAAAAAGAAGAGATCTCAGAAGTAGATATAATTTGCGCATTGTTATAACCTTGTCATGTTATGCAATATGAGAATCGCGTTTTTTATGATTTGCACGAGGTAGAAAATCATATGACCAACACCAGGCAGCCAGCAAAATGATTACTCATTCATCACGTAATTTGTATTTCATGGAGCATGTGGCCTGCACATGTTGATAAAGAGATTGCCCGCCACTTTCTTCTCCCTTGCTTTATCCCCACCACTTTCACCGGCATCACAATGTCTCCAAGAAGTCAAAAGCAGTCCAGGAAATCGAAGCGCCGTCGCAGTTCAATTGAGGATGTTGACCTTGTAGAGGTCCGGGCACGCCGGGGCAGAAAGTGGGTGATGCGAGCTGTGCAAGGTACACCAAAGTCGAGTCCTGGGACAGGAAGGAGGAAGGGTACAGCTGTAGAAGGACCAAGCTGGACTTTAGCTGCGCCCTCTGAAAATCACATTATTGGTGATGATGGCCTAGATCTGTTTGCTCTGGAACCGCTGTCAACTAGGACACGTAGTGGCAAGGTGAGTGAAGAATGATGGAGATGATGTTTGCTCACTTTTTCCACATTGTAGTCACAACAGGACCTGATGCGTTCATGGCTTCCCTATCGGGCTGAGTATCTGTCGGAGATATTGGGCATGGAGGCACCTCTGGAGGATCGTGGATGCACTAATTGCAATGCACCTGATGGCCAGTTTCGTTGTCGAGACTGCTGGGGGGATTATTTTGAATGTCTCCGATGCTGCCTTGATTCACATCGCTGACAACCATTTCATCGTCTCGAACGCTGGGTTCAGAATCGGTTTGTCAAAATTTCTCTGGCTTCAATAGGGTTCGTCCTTCACCTGGGGCATGGCGGAAATGTATGTCCATGTGGATTTGGTGTCCAAGATGGATGGGAGGATGTCATTTATCTTGGGGGAGATCTCGGGCCGCAGCTGGAAGATGAAGGCCAGGTACATTTTTTGGGTGAAGATGTCATAGATGATTGACAGGAGGGAGAGGTGGTTATTGCTTCATGCAATGGAGTTTATGTGCAAAAGGTAAAATGGTGTATATGTCCTGATGCAGCTTCTCACCACATTCAGATGCTTCGGATGGCCCTTTATCCTGCCAGTCAGCTTCACCCCAGAACAGCGTTCACCTTTGATGTCCTCAAATATTTTAGTATTGATGCCATAGTTTGCAACACCTCGGCATCCAGGTTCTACACCAAGATGCGACGGTTAACCAATAATGCTGCACCCCAAACTGTTCCTGTGAGTAATCTTAGTTATATGATAAGTCTCTTGGAGGTAATCTGCCTGTTTTAGGACCATTATAGGGAACTCATGAGGGTTTCTCGCCAGTGGCGAGATATTACAGTTCGGAAATGGTTTGGCTTTGGCCATGACCTTCTTAAGAGCCCAGGTCGTGGGGAGTTGGCTTATTTTTGTCCAGCTTGCCCCCAACCATGTCTCAATTTACCTGAGAATTGGCAAGAAGATCCTGAAATGTGAGTGTGATAATAAATGATTTCAGAGCTCTGACTGAAATTCAAGATAAAGCAGTGTGTATCGTCGCACAATAGTGGCAGATGGAAACTTCACCTTGGAGCATATGAAGATGTGTCAGCCTGAGAATGATGTGCCTCTGACTAATGGTCAAGGATTCATGGTTGATGATGTGAAGTATCAAGATCATTTGAAGTGCAGTAAAGAAACTATTGAAGTGCGTGCAATAAGATGAGTTGGAACTGCAATTGAGCTCTGGGAGATATCTGCAGAAATCTAGATGTGCAAATCACCACGCTGTGAATCAGGCCAATGCTAATAGCCATAATCTAGAGGTCACAGGTGTTGGAGCATGTGTCTGTGCTCACCATGGGTGTGTCATACCCCATTCAGTGGTTGACTTCCAAAAAGGAGAGAGGTAAGCATATTCCAACCAATCACATCTCCTTTGCCAAACATTCCATCTCTGCACGACTCTCAGACAGATGAACATAGACTACTCCATCTGCCAGGTGCTTCTATATAACACTGAAGGGCTCCAGTTCATGGATGTGTGCTACGATGTCGCATGTCAGTGGTGGATTCACTTTCTGGAGCGCGTTGCAGATAGCAAATATCTGAAGGTCGCAGACAAGATAAAGATTATTGCCTATGTGGGAAAGTTCCACCTTGAGGCCCACATTGCAGAGTGTTTTGCCAAGTTCTCCTTAAACTTCAGAAAAGACATGGGTGAGATTGAGGGTGAGGTTGTGGAGACGCTGTGGTCCAAAATGAATGGCACAGGTCCTTCAACACGTGCAATGACCAAGGCACATTGATGAGAGGTTCTGGATGATCGTTTTTGAGACTGGAACTGGATGAAGCTGCTGGGCATTGGTGGGCACTGTTCTTTTGCTGTTGCGCTGATGAGGGTTAACAGTACTTCAGTGAACATGCTCCGAACCAAGTATTCCAAGGCTGTCAAAGGTGAATCTGAAATGGAGCAAGAGTTTGTTAATCTCTCAACCACGATGACCGAGGACGATATCAAAGTGTGGACTGAGCAGGAGACCGTGGCTATGCGAGAGCATGGTGATAAGTTAAACATATACAATGTCAACTTGGAGAAGGGTATGTGCATTCTCCAAGCCAGATTTCGTCTGATTGAGCAAACTGAGCCATAGCTCCATCCATGGGTGATATTCGCCTTCTGCTCGCGACAGAAGAAAGACAGTCACCCAATGAGAAGGGTAGAGTCCTGGAAAGTGGAACAGTAACCTGGTTGAGCACTGGAATAAATATCGAAAAGACACAGTGAGCCAGTTGACATTCACTTTGGTCTCTTTGCTCAGTCTGTGCTTCAGAGATGACATACAAGTAATGGCAAAACACCTCACCAAGCGAAGCTCCACCACGAACAAGAATTCGGTGGAGACGAAGCGAAATTTGCTGCAGAAAAGAATTGATGGATTTCACAATCGCGCAATGGCGCTATTAGATGATGAAGACATTGAGCACTTAGAAATCTCCTCTAATGAGGTGGCAGATGAAGAGGGTTGGACCATGGAGGATGTGGAGGAGAACCCAGAAGATATTGAAGAGGAGGTGTTGCCAGAGAACATCACTCTCCTGCTTCCCTCCTCACTTGGCATTGAGCAATGCAAGACGGTGGGATGGGAGAGCATTGCACAGCAGGAGTTACAGCTACGGGTTGGCCAAGCCAATGACTGTCTTGAAGACTTGCGACTCTTGTTAGGTCACAAGTCTTTGCTTTTCCGGACCAAATTTAGGCACAATAAGTCTCAATGGCACAAAACCCGAAATGCAGCTGAGCTCAGGAAGATTGGTCAGCAAGAGCGCAAAATCATTAGACGATACAAGCGTGCTAGGAAAGCCCTGATCTGTTTAGGAGCAAGTGAACAGTTGTTGACACGATATCTTGACATTCAAAAGGAAGACACAAAGATGCCTGGAGACATTGTAGAGGAGAATAGAGTTGGGCAGAGGAATGATAGATTGGCGTGGTTTTGGAAACTTGGAGGTGAGAATGCTCGAAATGCACGGGGGGAAAGTGTGGACAATAATACGGAAGACGTCGGTTGAAATGCCATGAAGGAGGGTGAGTGACTATCTGTTTATGCCTGGTCAAACTTATTCACAGATGGTAATCACCCATGTCAGTTGATCGAGTTAACTGGCTGAGAGCAAATGCACGATACACAAGGTACAAGGAGGAGGTACCGAAGGTGCGACATGAGATGTTATGGACTGTCCTGTGGTTTGAACGCAAGCAGCATGAGTGGCAGACCAGGGAGATGGAGGCAGTGAATGCAGGTCTACGTGGTCATGCATCCTATGCAGCAAAGCAAGGTGCAATGTGGAAGGACTTTGCACTTCAATCACAGCAGGCATTCAATGGTCAAATGATTGTCAGGTAGTCTGCGAGTTGCAAAGGTAGATATGCAAAATTAGCCAATAAATGTGTGTGACTGGCTATGTAGATTTGGACGAGTGTATCCTCCGGGACCTTAAAGAAGCATGGTGTCAGCAAGACCATTAAGTTTGGATGCCTTAGCCTGGAGCACCATTTGTGTAGAAAGTTATACGACCACGGCCAGAGTGTGGAAAACTCTTTATAGAATGAAAATTTCTAGATCCTCGGCCGAGGCCACCATTTTCACAAACACTATATAGGGCATCCTTGGCCAATGCCAAAGTTCAGCAGACCTTATATAGAACAGAAATTCCAGGACGCTCGGCTGAGGCCACCATTTCCACAAGAACTATATAGGATCTTTTTAGCCAAGGCCAAATTTCAGACAATCCTATATAGAATGCAAATTTCTCGACCCTTGGCCACAGGCATTATTTCCACAAAATCTATATAGGGTACTCTTGCCCAAGGCCAAATTTCAGGAGATGCTATATAGGATCGAAATTTCATGCGCCTTGGCCAAGTGGACCATTTACACAAAGATTCTATATAGGTCCACTTGGCCAAGCCCAACTGTCTGCAAACTCTATATAGGATTGGAATTTTATGACTCTTGGCCAATGGCACTATTTCAGCTACAATCTATATAGAGACATGGCGGCCAACCCCAAAATGCCCGACAACCTATATAGACTTCAAATTGCGCCTCCCTTGGCTAACTCCCAAATATGCGACTCAGCCTATATAGCCTATTTATCTTGGCCAACCCTATATCTCCATCCTATATTATATTCTTGGCCAACACTCGGTTTTATGGAAATTTACACAAAATGTTCCACCTCGGTTATATGGAAGTTTAGGTATATATTGGCTGAATGGGCTCCGGGTGCAACAAGAAGTACAGCAATTACAACCAGGCACAGTGAAAATGACAATAATTACAACTGGGCCCAGTTCCATTCACAACTATTTACAACCTGGTTCAACAAGAATGACAAAAATTACAATTAGGCACACAGACATTGACAGCATTCAACAACCAGGTGCAGCAAATATTACAGCAATTCACAATGGTATTCACAACAAATTACAAGCTATTACAATGTGCTACAGCTGGTTTACAATATTACAAGGTGACCAGATTGTGCACAATGGTTTTACCAGGTACCTGGGCACATTGTATTATAATGGTAGGAACTACAGCTGGAGTACGAGCTGGACATGTAGATCGTGTTCCTCCTGGGTGCGAGAAAAGATGAGAATATCGTCAATGTAAACCACACAGACGACGTCAAGCAGGTCACAAAGCGTGTCCTGGATGAATGCCTGGAAAGTGGATGGAGCATTGGTGAGCCCAAAGGGCATCACTGTGTACTTGAATAAACCTAAATAAGTCCAAAAAGCGGTCTTCCACTCATCGCCGACCTTGATTCGCACATGGTTGAAGGCGTTCTTGAGATCGAGGACAGAAAACACCTTGCAGCCCTGGACGCGGTCGAGAAGATCGTCGATGAGGGGAAGCGAGTAGTGATTCTTTTTTGTCATCGAGTTGAGACCGTGATAATCGACACAAAGTCTCAAATTGCCTGTCTTCTTCTTGACGAAGAGAATGGGAGCAGCAGCTGGAGACATGGATCTGCGAATAAATCCTTTTTTGAGGTTAGTCTCAATATAATCAAATAAAACGGCACGTTCTTCCTGAGAAAGATGATAAAGTGGGCCAAAGGGCGGAGTCTTTCCCTTGTTGACATCGATCGTGCAATCATATGGTCGATGGGGGGGAAGATCCTTGAGATCCTTCACGATGAAGACCAAAGCCCAGTCGCGATATTTTTAAGGTACGTAACCAAGTGGGTCATCATCAGGAGGATCTGAAGAAGGAGCCAGTTGTGAAGCACAAGGCGGGTCAGAATTGAGAGAAGCAGCAGCAATATTATACCCTTCAGAACTGATAGGGTGATACCAAATAGCAGCTGTCTCGCCATTTCTAGCATATTTCTGGAAATGGCGAGCGTTAACAAACGCGATATTCAGAGAGGGATGCGGAGGGTCAGGAGTCACGATGGGTGAGCAGAGTTTGCTCCAGATAGCAGAAAGTGTTCCAGTTTGACCAGAGCCAATGCTAGAACCATGACAAGGAGACAGAGGTGACGTAACCGAGGTAGCCAAATAGGAAATGCCTCGGGCAGTTGTGGAACATTGCACTCAATCTGAGTGGACAATGGAATCTGGGTACGAAGGTACAAGGGTGTGCCCATCTAGACCAAGGCCTAAACTGAGCATGGTCAGGGACAAAGACTGGACTGAACTAGACAACAGAGAAACGCGGGCAAGACCGAAGCCTTTTCCGAGTGCAGAAACAGGGTTAGATGGATTTGCACCACAGCACGAGAGTGCCAAGCAGTTGCAAGTCCAATCGATCACAGGATTATGGCGATGAAGCCAATCCAAACCAAGAATAACCGGAAATGAAACTGAAACAATACCAAGAGAAATATTTTCGGAATGAGACTGAAGACATAAAGAAGTAACAACATCATGAGTAATGAGACCTGCAGCTATTGGACGATTGTCCACTGCAGTAATAGGAACTGGATCGTCCTTCAGACGACGTGGAAGATAATGATGATTAGCAAAAGATAAGGAAATACAAGATGCAGTCACTCCCGAATCAATAAGAGCAAACATGTGAATGGCTTTTCGGTTAGGAAAACAAAGTTGAATAGAAACAAAGAAATAATCGGAAGAATTCGGGTCAGCGAGAACATGAGACAATAACTGAAACACAGGTGCACCAGCAGGCTTCAACGACCACACGCTGTCAGTTGAATGGACGTATGAGCTCTCCGGAGCAGGTGCCTGAGTCCCCATTTGCTCTGAAGGTCCTGGGACTGGTGAACCTTCAGCTAAGCTTTTCCCACTTTGGGGTTAGGCTTAGTCGATGATGAAGCAGTCTGTGCAGGCTTCTTAGTACGCACAGACTTATTGGGGCAGTCATTGGCAATATGCCCAGGACCGCCACAATACAAACAGAGTCTGAGCTTCCGACGTCGATCTTTCTCGGCATCAGAAAGCGGTCCATGTCAAACAACATCGACCTCCATTGGAACTACATCATTATTGGAGGTGGAGGCTGCCAGCTGCAGTTGCATGTGCTCTCGAGGCCGATGTTGGCCCTCAGAAGCATGAGAAGGAATATGATGAGGGAAGAACTTATCTGATTTCTTCTCGAGTTCATGCTGATGGAGACAGTTGTCCAGAGCGATCGCCTGAGTGATGAAGTCCTTGAAGTTGGTCGAGGGCTGAATGGTAAGGAAAAGATCCTTGACCAGTTCCTTAAGATTCCTGCGGAAATACTGAATCTTTGTCTGGTCAGAGAAGTCAAGGTACACAAGCAGCTCCTTAAAATGCGAGGAGTAGGAAGCAACCAAACTAGTCTGGTGAAGGTTCTTGGTCACGAGATCGGGATCTTCGAAGCATTCACGGAAAGTGTCGAGAAAACCATCCCAGTCCTGGAGGAGGGCCAAGTTGAACTGTTCAATTGAATTGAACCACAATGCGGGTGATCCATCCTTCAGGTAGGTAGCCATATAGACTACCTTGTCATACTCCTGAGTCGGCAACCCCCAATGCTGTAATTGAACAGCGTGCCGAATTTCCTTCAAAAAAGGAACAACCTCCTCGGGCTTGCCGTTGAAAATGCGGGGCTCTCGGAAGTGTATCGTAGGCACAGAGGGGGTCGCCTGAGGCTGCTGCATAGTCTCAAGCTAGTTGGTGACTGCCTCAATCGTGCACTGTGTGATATTCTGATATTCATAAAATTGGTCAGCATGACGACCCAATGCAGCGACCGCAGACCAAAGGACCCTTCGCTCGTCGCTGTGTCTGGAAGCAGCAGCGAGAGTGGGGGTGGCAGAACCGGCTGCAGGAGTAGTACCCGAGGAGCCAGGTGGAATTTCCGGATCAATCTCCATGATGTCAGTAGTTCCTGCACTTTCACGCAATGCTAGAGAACGAATTTGAAGACTTTACAGTAGAACTAGAAGTGCGCGAGGGCGCTCGAGGATAAATGAAGATACGGGCCAATTAGGGGTTTCTTCAGAACGAGTCGATGGTCGAATCAAACTGTAACGGCCACACCGACGGAAGTCATGGAAATGAGCAGAGACGAGCCGTTACGCTCAGAGATGCTTCAGAAGGTCAGACAGAGGAATCACGAACAATGAGAGTGGATGCTTGTGCGTTGATTCGACAAGCTACAAAATGAGGGCAGGCGCGAGCTATATCCTATGCTGACTAAGAGTGTCCATGCGCGATCGTAGGTGGGATTCTGTGTACATACGAAGTAGCTAGCATACCGAATAAAGAAACTAAGAACAGACCGTGTGTCATCGAGAAATGGCCGTATTCAGACATGTAACGGCGTCACCGTTACACTGAAGCTTCAGATTCCGAGTGTGTGTGAGATGAGGTGAGGCACTAGAGCAGTATATATAAATTAGTGCGCATGGCGCACAGCACCCGGGAGAAGGAGCGTCTAGTAGGGAACGTAGTACAGCGGCCTAGTAGCTACAGCACATACAGCCAGGGTCGCGTCCGCGCGATGCGTCGTGCTATCTGTTCACGTGAACGTGACATACCTCTCGAGTCCGAACGGCTGGTCCCGAGACTAACGCGCGGGGGAAGGCGAACCGGTTCGGTGCGCGAGCTGGGGCCCGGACCGTTTTACTGGGATTTAGGGTGATAACGTAAATCGTCGATTAAACTTATCTAAAGTACCACACTGAAGTTCCCACGGAGATGCCCAGTTTGGACGAAGCAAGTACTCTGCATTGTCGGGTGCTGAAGTAGTGCGGCGACCAAGTCGTCTTCGCAGAACCGTCTACTCAAGTCTTTCTGTTGTCTTGCTTTATCTGTTGCTGCTCTCCTTATATCTCGTCGCTCTTTTTGTCCTTCTTGAATATTTCGCTCGTTATGAGGAGCCACCATACTATCCCGCTTGCCCTCCTTCTCTCTGCCATCGTTTCCAATGCTTTGAGGATCCCCGTGACAGGCGTGCGGAAGACGTCTTCGGACCCGCTGCGCAGGAGGAGCCAGAGTGTTTCCGTTTCGCGTCCCGTTGCCGCTGCTGCGAACAGCCCGGATGCTAGTGATGCACTGAATCTGACGTGAGTATACCTCCGAGCAATAGCGCCCAGTCGGCTCACCCGTCCCCGGCATGTTAAGCACCATTCGCGACTTGTTATATTTGGCCAACGTCAGCGAACATTATATATGTCTGAGAGCGTGGAGCTAATTTATAGAATGTATACAGATCACTATAGGTAGCATTGGTACGCTTGATGGCTCTTGCGTAGTAAATGGATTTCTCACGCAGACTGCAGCATATCCCGTTCAATTGGATACTGGATCGTCAGATCTGTGGGTCCATGCTTCTTCAAGTCCTGTACCCGGCGCAACCCCAACGGTAAATGCTACGTAGCTATGTTCGTGACGTATTGCTCATCCTGCGTCCTTCCCGCAGACAACTCCGTACAATTTGACTGTATGATGTGATCTATCAGGCTTTAACTCGACTTTGACATCTATGCCACCCTAGTATGACATTGGCTGGGCGTCCGGCTATATCTCGTATGCTGCGGTGGAGTTCGCCGGGTACGTCCAATTCAAAAGTGATTGTTCTTTTGAGAGCCTCTGACCCATTCCACTCCCTCACACAGGCTCTCCGTTTCTTCCCAAGCCTTCCTCGATGCTTCAGAAGCGTCAAACCCTGCTCTTTCCTATAATGCCGATGGTATTTTGGGACTAGGCTTCGACTCGCTCTCAAGTATAGACGCCATGGTAAATCGCTCTGACGCGTCCACAGGCCGCACATTCCTGTACAACGCGTTCGCCAAGTCTCCGAGCGAACCCAACTTTATGGCGTTCTCGTTGCAGAGCGTGGAGGACGCCGACGACGAGATCCAGGGAACATTCTCGATAGGTACGTCCCGCGTGTCGAATGGCTAAAGTCAGATTTTTGAACGCAGTTGTAGGGGAGTATGAACCGCAATATGCTGCTGTGCAGAACAGCAGTACAATCTCTACATGGCCTGTGAGCTCCCCCAGTCGATGGAACGTGCTGCTGGATGCGCTGCTCGTTGGTTCGAACACCGTCTCACTATCTAGCAGCGTATCGGACGTACCTTCGGGCAAGGCCGTCATCATGCTTGACAGCGGTACATCGTACACGTACGTCTTTTCCAGTTCTCGTCAACGGTGAGTATGCGGTGCGAATGCAGAGATGCACAGGTATGCTCCAACCGCCGTCGTTGACGCGATCTACGGCGGTATCTCTGGTGCGCAGTACGACTTATCTGTTGGGCAATGGATCGTCCCCTGCACCGAGGAGGTCGACATTGCCCTCCAGTTCGGGTGAGTGCTCCCCCACCTCTTTTGGCACGGGAGCTGACATGCTTGGGTGTTACAGCGACAGTGTTTATCCTATCAATCCCTTGGATATTACCCCCATTAGCATGTCGGGCTCCTCGACTTGTGTGGGCACTATCATCAACGAGACCATCGCCGTTGGTAACGATGCATTGTGGGTCTAAATACCGGCAGTATGGAAATTCTCCTGACCTTTCAAACCTTCCAAATAGTGACTGGCTTATCGGCGTCAATTTACTGCGTTCGTTCTACTCCGTCTATGACTTTGGCGACTACGATTCCTCGGGAAAGATGGGCGACCCCTACATCAAGCTCCTGCCACTGATCAACCCGGACCAGGCATCCATTGACTTCCACCAGGCAAGGGGCGGCTCGCCCGTGAATGTCACCTACAACGCTGCGAACAGCTCGAGCTCCGACTTGTCCGGCGGCTCGACCTCCGTGACGCTCTCGAACGAGCTCGTAGACACACTCAACAAAGTCGGGAAATACCTGCCCGCCGTCCTCGCCATCATGGCGCTCAATGCGCTCATACTGCTGTTACTCATCGTGGCCGCTCTCATATACATGTACACGCGGCGCAACAGGGGCGCGAAGGCGCGCAAGACGCGGGGCAGATTGAGCCCGATGCCCATGAACCCCACCTCGACATTCGGTGTCCCGACGCGCACCGAGTCGCATATATACCAGCCCGTCTCAATGGCTCTTACTGACGACACATTTGTACCTCCGTCACCCGCCTTCTCGAAACCAGGGTTTTACAGCGATATGCGAGGCGCGATGGGGGAGAGACCGAAGTCGGTCGCGTAGGCGTTGTGGACAATCTTTGTTGTATGTTTGGTTGCCATCCTGCTGTTGGGGTGTTTGCAGGGTGGGTTTGATTATAGTAATGGACTACTATTGCTCTCGATTCTGGGTAATAGTCGTGAAGGGTGCCTTGATTGTATTTGCACGTCATAACTCTAAACCACGAACGGGTATCTGAGGACCAGCAAACAATCCGGTTACATCCCCCTCGAAGCGAAGGCTTGCTCCACAGCACTGTCGGTTGCAGCAAGACCGCGAGAGCTGCCCAACGGATCCTCTTCAAGATTTGGTGCTCGTCGTAAACCTGTGTTTTGTTTCACTGCTTTCTTCGCTTCAGTCTTCATATCATACCACCTCTGCTCCTCGGGACTGGGGGAACTGGACATCTCGCTCTTTGGCGCCGTCACTGTGGCATTGACGAGATCCATGACGACGTATGCCATTTTCGCCGCATAGAAGGCAACAACGGCTGGATCCGTGAAGCTCTCGCTTTCCACCGTCTTTGACAGGAGGTGATCCATGCCAATATGGTCGATGATTCGCAGACACTGCTGGGCGTTTTCAACGTCCTCCGTCGCCAACGCTGTGCGAGCAATATAGGACATGGCGACCGTGTCGGGCATGATATTCCTCCCCTTAGACCGCTTCTCCGAGCGCGGCTTGGAACCAGTAGTAATATCGTGCCTGAAATCCTCCGCGTTGTACCCTGACATCAACTCGAATGTCCTGACGGCCCCGCTCCAATCACCCCCTCGCCAGCAGGCAATCAACACGAGAGTGAATGTGGACAGCGTTGGTTTCAACATAGCGTCGTTCCTCGTTGCATCCTCCCGCAGCATCCACTGGAGCGTGGACAGCGCTTGATCGGACTCGGTCATGGAGCCCATCGCGGCAAGACTTGCATACGCCTTGAGGACGCCTTCCATGTGCCTCCGGTCAAGGATCGGCGCCTCCTTTCCTGCTGCAATCCGGTCGACGAGCTGTGTAAAAAAGTGGATACACAGCCTATATTTTTGCGACTGATGGCAGAGCCACAAGGCCTTCATGAACATCTGCGGTGTCAGTGGCCTTTGTGGTGCTTCTTCTCCAGGCTTGGTAAGACCCATGTGATCTCGTACGATGTCGAACGCGAATAGTTGGTCACTGGCCCGACCCAATCCAAGGATTGTGAGCGCGCTATTGATTAGCGGGGAATCAATTTTGAAGCCGGGGTTTTTCCCTGCGACCCTCAACATCCGTCTCCAGATGAGTTTGGCATCTGCGGCATTTTGAGCGCGTGCATCCAAGCCGTGTTCTGCGGGAGACGTGATAGCCTTCCGCCGTAAGAGTCCTTTGAACATGGCGGTGAAAACGAATTGGTTTGGTGCTAGAGGTCCTTGGTCGTCCATGGCGTAATAAACATCGAACATCTTCTGGATCTCCCCAGCTTCCCCGAGGATTCTCATGTATGCTGCAAGGGGGGCAACACTGAGTTCGGGGTCGTCTGGGTCGTGATCTCTGAGTGTGTGAACACGCTGCAGGTAGTTCTCGAACAATGTGTGGACATTCTCGAGTTGTTTCGTCTTTTCACTCCAATCCTCAATGGAAGAATACCCTGCAAACATCGTGGTGTATGTCCGCAGCGATGGAATGAAACCACGGCGTTTCATCTAATATGTTTCGATCAGTAGGGGATACGGGGCAGCAGTAAACAACTGACATACGTCCACATAGAGCTGATACGCTAATTTCCACCTGTTCGCTCTCATAGCCTCTTGGATGAGAGAATTCCAGACGATTGGATTTAGCGCATCGAGAGGTAGCCGCTGTACCATGGAGACAGCTTCGGCCAGTTTTCCTTCGTCACATAACGCCCGAATTCTCTTGGACACAGTGTACGGACGTAGCGGATGCTTTACTAGCCCGTTGGTCACATAAGGTGGCCTCGACCGAAACGTGTGGCGTTCAGAATGTGGCTGTTTGTTGCCATTCTTCACGAGAGCTTTCTCTTGTCGCAGTGAAGGGAACGATGTGTGGGACTGAGGACTGCTATCTGTGGTTACAAGCCGAGAAGAGGGTAGGTCTAACCAAACTCGAGGCTTCAAGCGATGTAGGGTAGAAATTGGACTGATGCCATTGCGAATCATGACAGTGGATACGACGAGGAGTGTGACAAACCTCCAGCGGTGAACCGTCGCGTCTGTCACGCGAATTGCGCAGAGGCGTGACGGCCTGCACGGACTTGTCTTCCGGAACCAGAGTAGCATGCACCACACTTTCCTTTGATGCGCCCCTTCCCTGTCCTGACTCCCACCCTCCGCTATCTATCTGTATATATACCTCCCCTCTTTCTCTCCCGGACTGCAAGGAAAATGTTCTCTACCAGCAGGACTTATACGGATGCCATTGACTGCCTCAATTCTGTTCAATCTAATGCAGCCACTATCGAGGCTCTGCGGGCTTCCGGAGGTAGAAACAGTGACTTCGCCATGCCGGAGATGATAGAATACCTTGGAAGAATTGGATACACCGCAAGTTCAGTCCTTTCCGCTTCTTGATCTTATTGTAACGCGCCTGCAGACATCAGACCTCAACAAGCTGAATATAATCCATATCACTGGTACCAAGGGGAAGGGGTCCACAAGCGCCTTCACAGATTCCATCCTTCGCCATGCCGTGCCGCACTGGAAGATTGGTAAGCTGAAATGGCAGACAACTCTTCTCCGCACCTAAGATATTGCAGGCTTGTACACTTCTCCGCACCTGGTTGCGGTGCGCGAGAGAATAAGAATCAATGGGGAACCAATATCGGAGGAGGACTTTACCAGGGTTTTTTACGAAGTGTGGGACCGGTTAGACTCCAATGACGTGGTACAGTTGTCTATGCACCTACTCCACCGTGTAGTTGACGCATGTTATAGAGAGCCAATCCGAATACGTCTCCGAAACCCGCGTACTTCCGTTTCATGACTCTTGTGGCATTTCATGCCTTTCTGTCGCTGAAAGTAAGATGAGCAGTTCGGCGTCGTTGCTGTGCCTGTCTCACGAGTCATTGAGGTGGACGCGACAATTCTTGAAGTCGGTGTCGGTGGAAGGTATGACAGCACAAATATCGTTCCCAGACCGGTCGTCACTGGGATTTCCTCACTTGGCTTGGATCATACTGCTGTGTTGGGCAAAACGATCGAGGAAATAGCCTGGCAAAAGGGTGGAATCTACAAGGTAGCGCCTCGTTTGCACCAGCTGCTCCACAACTCACAGCCTTCTGCAGGAGGGCGTACCTGCGTTGACGATGGAGCAACCAGAGGAGGGTATGCAAGTCCTCCAGCAGCAAGCGCGCGATCTCAAGGTCTGATATATCTAACATGGACCGCCGACTCAATTTCTCATACCCACCTAGGCCTCTGAATTTACCGTCGTGTCATCAACGCCAGGGCTGTCCATCATCAAACTAGGTGCCTGATATCTTCTACCTGAATTCCGCGTGTCCTGATACACTACTATTTTTCAGGGCTTGCGGGTGCACATCAATATCAGAACGCCAACCTCGCAGTGCACCTCGCGAAAGTCTTCCTTCGCGAGAAGACATCCACAAAGGTCGAGGCAGGGCTCCCAGAGTCCTTCGTCACCGCGCTCAAAGCCACGAAATGGCCGGGCCGCTGCCAGACCGTGCCGGACCTCCAGAACACCGACATCACCTGGTTCCTGGACGGCGCGCATACCGTCGAGAGCCTTCAATGCAGCATGCAGTGGTTTGTCACTCCCGAGGTGGCGTTGAGTTCCACAGGGTACGTGCTGCCTGTACATACTTGCTGAGTTCCGTGGTGTCTTACGGGCGCGTAGGTTCTCCCTCCGGATTCTGGTATTCAACTGCACTCATGGCCGGTCGGCCAAATCGCTCTTGAGATCTATCGTGACGAATGTAGCGGCGCAATTGCAGCTGCACGATCGTCAGGACGACCCTGGCATGTTCTTCGACCACGTCATCTTCTGTACAAACGTGACGTACGAAGACGGCGGCTTCAAGGGCGGTGCGTTGTGTTTCACATCATATAGCCCCGGTGAGACATCTGAGACGCCTTTGTCAGATTTGACGGCGGTGTCCATCTCGACGGACGAGCTGCTCCACCTCACGACACAGCACGAACTCGCGTCCGCGTGGTCCTCACTCGTCCCCACCTACTCTTCCGACCACGTACACGTCCTCCCTTCCATCCAGCATGCAGTGAACCTTGTACGGCATTTGCAGACAGAAACCACCGCCGCCCACGTGGATGTGCTCGTCGCAGGCAGTTTGCATCTAGTCGGCGGCATGATAGAGGTGGCAGGTCTGTCTTCCGTGGCATTATAGACATTAGAGGGCGGTATTAGATCTAGGACTGCGGCAGCAGCTCATGTAGAATTATGAACTAATGTATTATCAGCCTTCAACAGGCGTAGATCCCGCCAGTTTGACGATAATGTAGTAACATGCCTTGCACTCATGGGTGCCTTCTTGTCCGGTTTTTGGTCGCGTCCGCTACGTAGAAATGGATAGCCTGTTTACTTGAAGCATCAGGCGGTTCAATAGCAGAGCATGCGTGATGATTTACCTGTTTGTCGAGAAAGTTGCGGACCCTGTTTTTCAATCCCACGCCACGACTCGGTAGACCTTGCTTGGTTGCAAGCTGCATAAATACCTCGAAATTAACAGGCTGTCAAAGGGAAATATTGAGACGTCACAGGAGGTCGATTCAGGACATAGTGGCTTACTTCGTAGCGTAAGATGCGATGATGCAAGGTGGTGTCTTTCATTATGGCATTTTTTAGTAGTAAATTAAAGTCCGAGTTTGACAGGTCTTGTCCCGGGTTCGCGTCAAGCTCGCCGTCTGCGTTGTTTTTCTTCTTGGACCGCGGTTTTCTCGCCTTCGGCACCTTGGTGACTAGCGGTCTGTTCTGTTTTTCTCGTGGTGGTGATTGTCTTTCCCGGTCCCTGTCACCCACATTAAAAGGGAACACGCCAGATACAAGCGAATGTACAGACATGAATACTGAAAGTGGGGAGCCCGGTGACCGCCTTCCGTCAGCGGTCTGGTCATGCAGTGGTTCATCGGGTATAAAATATAGATGTGCGTCGTGGTCACCATCCTGCCAGGGCCCCTGCTCCCAGTCGGAATAAGGCTGGTACTCTTGTTCATCCACTTCCTCGACACAGGGCGCTCCCGGCACTCTGCTCTGGCTCTGCACCGGGTTGCTCTTGAGTGGTGAGGTGGAGCGGTGAGCGCGGCTAGCACGCCGCACACTTGAGTTGGCGGGGTTTGCCACCTGCTGTTATCAGTGTTATCCCACGTAACGTTGTAGGCCGGGTGCTTACGGGCGAGCAAGACGACTCTGCGTCTGAATGCCAGACGAAGCCGCCTGACGTTGTATCATCATAGACGCGAGTGTACCGTGCAGGCTGGCGGGAAGAGCCGGCGGCGGGTGCGCGCTGGGACCTGGTGGATGGGGACTTTCGGGCAGCTGGAAGTAGGTCCGAGCGGAAGGATAGCGAGTGCATCGCGTCGCCAGAGCGGTCATGCGTGCTTTCGGAGTCGATGTCGCATGGCGCCTGTTCCGCGTCCCTAGCAAACTTGCTCGGCCCGAACATTTGACTGGGCAATCCCTGGGTTCTAGTTACCGCACCGTCCAGCCCGGTTGCAAGAGCGCGCTTTCCAAACCCTTGAGTGGCCGGCGGCATGTCGTCTTCGACCTCCACGAACTTGCTCGGCGCGAACACTTGGGTTGGTGGAAACGCCAATCCCGGAACTTGCGCTGCGGACGCGTCTTGGCCACTTGCAAGTCCGCTTGCGCCAAACACCTGAGTGGCCGGAGGCATGCTACGCGCGCTAGGTTCGTGATGTTGGCGAAGAGCTACCGCGTCGCCAGTGGCAGGAGTAGCGTCCCCGATTAAACGGCGAGCCCTGTCGAGGATCTGGCCGCGCGTGTCCTGCAAGCTCTGCACGGTGCCCACCACCTGTACGCGGCGCTTCTTTTTCTTGGCGCCGTCCGCTACAAGAACGTCTTCTAGCAGCGTCCGCGCGTTGTCCTGCTCTTTGGAGCATGCACTCTTACTATTCGTTTGCGCGGTGCCTGGAGGGGGCGCTACCTCGAGTTCCTTGCGGATGAGGATGATGACCGTCTCGTGCGTCAGCGCGTTCTTCTTCGCGCAGAGCTGGATGTGCTTCATCTTTTGTGGGGCGGTCTTGCGTGCGGTCCAGGAAAGGTCGCAGCAGACACATTTCAGCAGGCGCGCGAGGTCTGATGCGGGGAAGGCGTCCGAGAGCGAGTGCGCTGCCAGACGCGGGACCTTCTTCGCTGGTGCGCAACGTTCGGTGTCGATGAAGGACACGCTGCGGGATGAGCTGGCGATGGAGGTGGTCCGACGGACGTCATTGATGGTATAGGCGAACTGTGCGATGTTCATGCGTTTGGTGTTGCAGTCGGAGTCGGGGTCAGCCTCGGAGTCGGTGGCCGTAGGCTCGCGAGCTGATTTTGATGAGGAGCTGGGGAGAGAGAGCACGCTAAACCTACCATCTTGACTTGGCTGTTGGGTAGAGGGAGAGGGCATTGGTACGGTCATTTCACGCCAGGGGCTACGATGCGGATCGAGTATCTCTCCAACTGAGGGGAAGAACGTATTGCTGCTTGCTGTCATGTTGTGTGAGACAGAAGGATAGTAACAACGACAAGGCATACCATTTTGGACGGTGTTGTTACGTGTGTCCACAAGTTGGGGTTCGCGATCATTACGTGTGAGAGGTTCTATACGTGTGCCTGCCCTTGCCAGATGAGAATCACATAGACTATCTTCTTCGCTCGGCTACTCACCTATGATCTCGACGACTTCATCTGCGGGCGGGACAGCATTGGCCTGGGTGGGACGAAGAGGGAGGGCTTCTGGCTCGCTGGAGTCGGTCAACTCGATGATTTCTGCGTTCACTTTCGCAGATTGAAGGGGTCGCCTTGTGCGCTTCTTAAGCTCCTTAGCTCGTCGCCTGCGCTCTTCCCTCTCTGGCTCGGAATCTGTGACGATCTCGGAGTCGCGGTCGTTGGTTGGTTGCGTGGTGTAAAACTGGAGCGCCATCAGGGGTTGGAGACGCGTAGACATCCGGTAGGGCAGAGTGTCACTCCTTATGGCGCGGAACAGGTGTGCTGCGTGAGAGAAGGTCGAGAAGTGGAGGACGCTTTGGAGGACGCGTCTCATTTGATTTGTGAGAGCGTGACACGAAACGAACACGGGCGCGTGGACGCGTTGTTTGGCTCCATTGTGCCTTCCAGCCACCGTGACCGTACCCTAGCCCTCTTCCTCCCCCCGTACATACTCTCGCTCCAAAAATTATACCGTCAACATTTTCCAGAATCGTGTCCGCTGCTTCGCATGCGTCGTGCGCCTGTAATTCGCACTACTGAGACCCTCTCTCCCAAGGAGCTATACGATGTCGTATGTGCTGCCGCGTCGCAAGACCCCGTCCCGGTGCAGCAGGCCACGACGCGCTTGAAGGAGTTGCTAGAGTTGCCTGGTGCATTTGATGTATTGCACGAGATAGCTGCGCAGAAAATTGTCGCATTGCAGGTGCGACAGCAGAGCATCATCCAGTTCAAGAACGCTGCCTTGAGCCGTTGGAGATCTCGAAGGTGACTATGTTCGTCATTGAGGAAGAGCGTTATAACTGATGACATATCTCCAACTGATAGGTATCTGAATGATGCACAGAGAATCCATATCAGGACACGATGTCTCTCCCTCCTGGACGAAGCCGACGAGACAGTAAGATCATATGATCCCCGGTGTGTCGTGTCCACGGTGCAACCCCTGACTTTAATCCACAGATAGCCCAGTGTAACGAAATTATCATTGCCAAGATAGCGCGCCATGATTTTCCCAGTGGCTGGTGCGTCTTGCAGTCCTTACCCATCCTAATTCATGCAAACGCTCGATGTACTTCAGGCCAACCCTAATATCACAGCTAATGGGTGTCATCAATTCCAACATGGAGTCGCGCTACGTTCGAGGAGAAGCCGGGTCTGAACTACCGCTCCGTCGCAGCCTGGAGATTCTGAACGCCATCCTTAAAGAATTTACCAGTATAAAGTTGCCAGGCGGTGTGAAAATTACCGGCCAAGTACGCTCTACCCACACTGAGCGTTTAATAACATGTTTGACCGCCGTTGAACAGCTTGTAGAAGAATTGCGCTCAGTCCTGTTGGCCCATTACTCTTTGATCAGCACGTCGTTCCCCTCATCGCTTAACCCTTCCACTATCGCGCTCCCACGTTCAGCAGAGGATCTGCTATTTGCACATCTCGTCCTAAAATGTGTGGTGAAAATCGCAGTGTGGTCTTGTCACCGCGTAGACCTGCGATACGAGACCGAGAAATGGGAGTCCTGGGCAAGTCGCTCATTCTCCTACCGCGTTCACTCAACAATATTTATTTATACTCACACCTCATCCTAAACCCACCAGTTCCGTGAATTCTTCCATTATTCCGCAACGCGCCTGCAAGCACTGTCGGAGTTGCGCATCAACCTGGTGCTGGCTCTGCAGGCCGTGCCCGCGAACGAGGTAGCGCGGCGCTCGGCCGAGCTGCTCGCCCGGCATGTGACCCTTTTCGGGCGCTTCTTCCAGCGCATACAGAGGCTGTCCAGCAGCCGGTTCGTCACGCTCCCCGTGTGCGGCGACCTAGTGCTGTACTATTGGAGCAAGGTCGTGCAGGCAGCGAATGGCCCACAGGAGTACATCAGAGGTACGCACTGTAGTGAGGTAGATTTATTTTGCGTATGTTGATTTGCCCTCGTATTCTCTTTCGTAGATTCTCCGGATGCGGTATTCCCGGTGCGTTTCCTGGTGCAAGCCATGGTGCTGTTCAAGGACAGCCTGGCACAGTGGGCGCCTGTGCGGAAAGACGGGACTGAGAACGACAGAGGTACGTCGCAAGAATGAATGGGCGACTAATTTTCTGACTGCCATGCTGTGCTCAGTCCTATCGAAGAGTTTTGTTGAGGATGCAGTGCGACTGCTCGTCACGAGATACATTCCACTCAAGCCCTCCGACCTGGAAGACTGGATGGCTGATCCAGAGGAGTGGGTCCGCACTGAGGAGCAGGACAACGAGCAGTGGATCTTCGAACTAAGGGTAGCTCAAGTTGCTTCTGTCTTCCGTTGCGACGAGCTAAGTTTCCTCCTTGCATTGCGCGTGTAGGCGTGCGGGGAGCGCGTCCTGGTAAGCCTAGCGAATCAGTATCGCCAGTACGTCACTCCTCTTCTCGAAGCAACTTTTAAGCAAGTTGTCGGTGTGTATCCTCGGGAACATTGCCATGGTTCGTCTTTCACTGACAATCCCTCAAGGACAATACAGCATCGACCTCGCAGGCATTTTACAGAAGGAAGCACTCTACTGTGCCATCGGCCGCTGCGCACCCCGCCTCAAGGAGGTCATTCCATTCAACGAGTGGCTCTCGCGCACGTTGCTCGCAGAAGCTCGCGAGACAAACGCGAAGTACGTATTCATGTTCGCTCTGTTCCAGCGGTGTAATGAACGGCTCTGCGCCTGCACAGCTACCCGATACTGAAGCGCCGCATCGCCTGGCTCATCGGGAAATGGATATCGGACATGTGTTCGCCCGCAAACGACCCGAACATCTGGACGGTCCTCGTGCACCTGCTACAGGACCGTGGACCGGGCACGGACGTCGTCGTGCGCCTGACCGCGGCGATGGCGCTACGCGAATGTGTCGACGTAAGGCGTCTACTTTGATCTGTGTCCTCTTGAATTTTCATGGAGTGCCCCTGAGCATAGACGATAGAGTTCAACGAGAACGTCTTCGCGCCGTTCTTATCGACGGCTGTGAACGAGCTCGTGCTGCTCATGGCAGAGATGGACTCGGTGGACAGCAAGCGCCAGGTTGCGAACAGTCTGAACGCTGTGATCGAGCGTGTGGGGACGCGGGTATGTTCTGTCTTCGTCGACCTTGACGGTTACTCTTGAGTCTGAACTGACCGGTTGCAGATCATCCCTCTGATTCCCAATGTTGCGGAACCAATACCTCAATTATGTAAGTTGGTGAGCATCGCTCTTGTACGATGTATTCACGTTCGCAAACTCCAGGGACCGCCGCGGAGGGAGATTGGTTGATGAAAGCGTCGCTGTTGGTCACAGTGACGAAACTTGTCGAGGCTTGTCATTTATCCACCTGAAAAGAGGGTCCTGCATTGTTGACATGACCTGCGTTATTCAGTCCGCGAAAGAGCATTCGCAGTCTCTGCATGTTCTAGTTGTCGCACTAGTCCGCGAGAGCTTCATGCCGGGTGTATGTTACTCCTCCTCCGTGCGGTCGCCAGCTGCTCACGTGTCTTCAGGCTGCTGTGCAACTCGACGAAGATGCGTTCGTCCTTTGGCAGAGTGCTCTTCGGAATGCCACAACCATAGAGAGTGTCAGCGGTGGGCCTGGCCTGATCGATCTGTTCCCTCTGGTCGTGTCCCTGCTCTCGCAGAACCTAGACTTGCTCGGGAGCATTGGCAGCATCATCGAATCGTACTATCTTCTCAACGCGCCGCGCGTCCTGCAGGTTCGTTTCCGGCTCCTATTTGAAAGCGGAGTTCATGTTTTATGTGCAGCTCTACGCGGTGGATTTATTCCGTGCGTATGTGACGGCGATCGGCCAGGCACCGCCGATAAATATCAAGGATATGATCACCAGCCTGTCTGTGCTATTCCAAGTCGCGCCGTCGTCGCTGTGGGGCGAGGCCTTGCACGTGTCTTCTCTGTTCGCACTCGCTATCAAGGCGCTCAGTGATGACAAGGTGCGAGGGGACTGTTTCTCTACTCCACCCTATGCATGTTGAGTCTGCCGTAGGATTCGACAACCATTTTGACAGAGTATGTCTACTTTTTCGCCCGGATCGCCATGGCGGACAAGCGGGTCTTCCTCCAGCTGATGTCTGCGACGGCGATGGCACAGAACGTCCCGGAGCCGACACTTTGGGAGGCGCTGCTCAACCAGTGGTGGACACGGGTATGTTGTTCTCCCCCTTCCCTTCCGAATACCACTCAATCAGCTCTGTGTACAGTTCGACAACATGTCAGAGCCACGGCATCGCAAGCTCGCCGCCATGGGCATTGCAGACCTCGTGTCGACGGGCCGACCGGAGGTGCTCAACCGCCTCTCGTCGGACGTCTGCAACCTCTGGATGGACGTGTTTGGCGAGATCCGGGAAGCGCGAGAAATTGCTTCGATCGAAGACAGGTGCACTTTCTCACTGTCCCTAGAGTCTCAAATCGGGGAAATGTTGATATGCTTCCATTTGCATTCCAGCTCGGGGCTAACGCTGTATTGGGACCGCCCGCTGACGACGTTCTACCCGCAGTCAGAGGGCACACCAGAGTTTGCGCGATGCAAAGCAGTAGGCCATTCCGTTTGGTCCTGCAGCAGTATGATTGCTGACTATGCCGCTCCTATATGTACAGTTGTACGATAACGACCCGGTGCGGACGGCCCAACTGAGGACCTACGTCGGTGCACGCATCCAAGAGGCCGAGATGGCTTGTGGCGGAGGTGCCACCTTCCAGAGCTTGTACCTTGAGAAGGCAGATCCACTGTTGCTGAAGCAGATCCAAGCAGAGCTAGGGAAGCGGCCATAGGTCGCCCATGAGAAAATCAGTTTCGAATTTACCCTATAATGGTGGGAGTGACGTGGAGGAGTCTGATCATCTACAGCTACGTTACAATTAGTTTAGTGCATCGCAACGGACTGGAATGCTCGTCGTCGCAGTAGAATATGGTGGTTTCGTGGACGTGGACTGAACGCTGAGCCCTCAGTAATCTAATCAACGTAGTATGCAGTCGATGAATGTGCTACTGGTACAGTACCTCGGGACGTGCTCACTTCTTCCCGAAAAAGTTCATCAAGCTCTCCTGGCCCCCTACCTTCGAGCCGTCGCCGGGCTTGCGAACCTTGGAGCCACCGGAGGACTTGCTCTTACTGTGGGACTCTTCCTTCAGTTTCAGCTTCGTCTCGCTGGGCTTAGATGCCTTCTTCGATTTCGCGGATGCGCTCCGTTTGACTTTCGGGGCCGGTTCTTCAACCGCCTCTGATTCATCGATGGATTCGTACGAAGAATAGTCTTCGGTCACTGTATGCGATAGACGTCATGATCGTCGGCCTTGTCAACCCCTGCTCGTAGTGGGAGTATGGAGTGAGACGCACCCATGTACCTCTTGTCGTCCATGGTCATGCGAGTCTTCATCACCTTCCGTTTCTTGAGGCCGTTGCGTCCGACGGGGACGACCTTCTTCTCCTTCTTTTTCTTGCTTGTCTTTGGCTTGACGGGCACGGGCTCTGTGTCGTCTACCATCTCCGTGTCTTCGTCCTGTGGTTCTGGGGCCTTGGACTCTGGGCGGGATGCTTTGATAACTTCATCTGTTCCTGGTGTCGGACGCGAGATAAGTGAGGTGGACAGAAAGCGTACCGTCATCAACGTTCATCATAGCCCGGAGGCTCTTCTCTGCGTCCGACATGGAACGCCTCGGCACAGCTTTCGCTTTCGTAAATTTCTGAGGGATCGAGACATCGTCGCCGTTTTCGTCATTCGATACGATCACGCCCTTATTCGCCTTCGCCTTCGTGCCATTCGTGGCTTGAGGACGGGATGACGCTGACCAGAACGTGTTTGCTGCATCTTCGTCTTCCGAGTCTGATTCGATGGGGAGGATCGATTTGCGCTTGATTCCTCTCTTCTGCGGAGGCTGTAAAGGCTTCAATGGTTAGTCAAAAGGATCACGAAGGGCATGTGCTCGCCTTCATGTCAGTGCTTGAGCTCCCACCGGAATCGGGAGTGCGCCGAGCCTCCTGCTTCACTTTCGGAGTATCCACCTTCGCGGGGGGAGTGACCCGTCCGGCCTTCGCGTCTTTCTCCTTCCTCGCATCGTTCCGCTCGCTGACTCCCACTTTAGTTTTGTCTTCCTCCTTAGGCTCCTCTTTTACTGCTTTCTTATCGGTCGCTCTCTCCTTCGGTCTCTCCTTCCGCCCAGGCTCCTTCTGCTTGAGTTTTGCCTTGCTCCAGTCAAGCGCGCCTGATGCCTTCGGTTTCTGCGCAGTCGACTCCTTCTCTTTCTCCTTGCCCTTCATCTTTTGGTCCCCTGTCTGCTCCCTATCTGAATTCCCGATCGAGGGCGTCTCTTTGCGAACGGCAGCCATCTGCGCCTTGGAGGAGGATGCGACTGGGTGGGCGAATTTCCCAACCTGTAGGCGTGCAGTCGCCCATAGGACCAGCGATCAGAGGATGAGGACGGGAGATCATAGAAACGCACTCGTACATGAGGCCCAACGATCCTGCCGATGAGCATGGAGGCCTCGGGCGACATCTTTGCATCGGCCTCGTACACCTTGTCTGACGGCGCGCATATGAGGGCCGCGTCCTAGAGCATTCGTGAGAGTGGACAGTCAGTTGAGTGAGAAGTAGTGCAGAGGGGAGGGGATTGACGTACAACTAATGGCGCAGGAGTGAGGGTGTGGATGTACTCCGAGAAGATGTGTGTGTACTGCGCTCTAGCATCTGCAATACAAGACAAGTAGTGGCAACGGACGTGAGAAGTGATCGGGAAGAGCTCACTATCGAGCTCTGCTTCGTTGACGAGCGTGACCTTGGTGTGCGGTACGGCAATGGCGGCGTCGTCCTGCCCCGCAGAGTCCTGGGTGGCATCTGGCATCTCTACGTCTGTTCCGTTCTCCTCTGACAACGCAGTGCGTTCTGCAGGCACCATTGGCGCTTCACCTGTAAGCATGTATGTCGCATACACAGGTTCCGACGATTGTTTCTGGACACCGTAGAAGATGGCGAGAATACTGCGAAACCCGAACAGGTCGATGATCTGTAACTTTCCTGCAGAATATCGATCGATATATACGCACTTTTTAGCGGCGTTTACGTGAAGGCTGAACTGGCGGCTGAGAGAACGGAAAGTGACCTGTGGGAAGAGCTTGGTCTCAAAGTTGAGGGGAGGCGTGACGAACTTCTACATACCACATTTCTATCTATAAGCAACTGTTTAGTTAGGTAGTCTTGTACTTGCTGATCCATGTCGCAGGACGCCTCGGTGGGAGGAAGGTGGTGGTGTTGGAACAAGTCAGAAAAGTGACAGCCGCGTCGTGACGCGAATACGCGTTCGGTCACACACGCGTCTGTGGCTGCAATATTGCTCTCGGCTAGTGTTCGCCGCTGACAACCTGAAAAAGCAACATACAATACCATATACACTACTCAGACATCCCGGATTCACTGTAAGTCCCTATACTCCCGCTGATATCCGTAAATTCCAAGTCCTCGCTCCCGTACTCATAGTCCAGCTCCTCGTCCTCCACGCCACTCTCATAGTTCGGTCCCTCCACATGCGCCTCCACCCTATCAGCGCTTGTCACACCCTCCCCGCACCGCAGACACTCCCACTGCGTGCCGCCTGGGCCCACACCAGAGCGCTCGTCCGCAGCGCGCATCATTCGGTCGGTGAGGCAGTAGTAGCAGTATACATGACCGCACGACGTCACGTATGGTGTGTTGATTGGATGCGCAGGGGGCTCGTCGTTCGAATCCGTCGCAGCCGGGGGTTCCGCTGCTGTGATGGCGGCGAGCGAGCTCAGGACGTTGGTCGGGTCTGCGAAATTTGGCGACGCGTTCTCCACGCAGATGGCACACTGGTCGACGGGGAGATTATAATACTTCCCTCTGCCCTTCTGAGTAGAATCTGCTTTGCGTGCAGTGGATAGACCTAGCAGAGAGCGCAGAGATACGGGCACGATAGATGAGAGCGTAAATTGCGAAAGGAAGGAGACGACGCGTCGCCGGAGGGCACGCGTATTGACGAGCGGGAGAAGGAAAAGCAAGAATTCCTGCGGCATAAACGTATCAGCCTTTTCGAGGTACAACTATTGTGGAATATAACACACCGTGAACGCATGCCAGACCATCTGGCGATTCATGAATTCGTACGAGACGTCACGCTGAGCAAGTCTGCGAGCTGATACCAACCTCATGCCCAGCAATCTGTCTACTGACGTCCGATACCTGGTGGTAAAATGAGTGGTCGTCTGAGTCGTGTGATACCAACTACAGCGCGCTCATTATGGAACATGCTCACCGACCATCCCACAAAAAAGTGACGAAATTCAGTAGCCCAATGAGGGCATGCATGGATTCAAGATGCGAAAGAAGTCCCCAAGCCTTGCGTCGCCTATCTGACGACGGAGCATCGGGCCAGGCGTTAGAGAGCGCATACGCACGAACGCGCGTATGTACATAAGGCAACACCAATGTAAGGACACCGTGGATGAGAAGCGTGCGGCGTGGAAGGCCGCAAACTGGTAAACCCTGAGTGCGCGTCGACGACCACTCGAGGGGCATGCTCACCTGCCACAGGGAGGTTGGAATCGGTAAGTACTCTCGGAACCTCGTACTTGAGGCCCTGTAGCTTCGCGCCAAAACTTGCACCTTGGTCCCATACGGAGAACTTGTAGAGCACAGACTCAATGAGCAGCGTCAGCTCAGGATCATGACGGGATCTCCAAGCGGACTGCAGCAGAGCGCCTCAGCATGGAATGTTTGCACACCCACAGAGAGAGGAGAGAGACGGACATTTACTTGGGCGAGCGCCTTCACAAGCGGCTCCTTGAGCAGCTGCACGAGCTCTTGGTCGAGCAGCTCTGCGTCCACCTGCCCGACGCGTATGACGCGCGCAGATGGTGTGGTTGCGGAGAGTAGCTCGCCCCGGATCTGCGCTAGGCGAGGCTGCGTATTCTGCCAGACGTGCTGCCAGGAGGAAGGTGGGGTCCCGGGGACAGGAGGAGGTTCCATGGGGTGGTGCTGGTCATCGTGCGCAACGACGAGCGGGAATTCACGCTCTGCGATGTGCACGTGCTTTCTCTTCAGTCGATCGACACAAGATCTGCATCGAGTCAAGTGGCTGCAGCGAGAGCTCTATCCCTTCCACTTCTAATCATCCCTTCTCCGCGCGACTTTATTCAGCATGGCAGAAACGATCCAGCAGCTCATCCTGGATACTCTCGACAAAGATGGCACTCTCAAGGATACTCGGACACTCGTCCTGCCAGGCTCTTCGGAGCCCTCTGCGACCCAGGAATATCAAACCACCATCCTTGGCGCACTCAATTCACTTGCCAGTCGAGACGTACGTCCTCCTCGTGCAGTTAATTCTTTATGTAACCAGGAGTCGACGCGATGTAGATGATCACATATACGACGCAAGAAACTGTCTCGCATGTGCTCACCCTGGAGGGCGCCCAGATCTCGCTGGAAGGATCGCACGAAGCTCGCGTGTGGGCAGCGCTACCCGCGAAGCGAGATGGCGCGCCCGTGACCCCAAAGGAGCTCGAGAGAAAGGTCGGCTTTGAGACCGCGAAGATCGGGCAAGGGCGGGCCTTCAAGAACAAGTGGATCGGCAAGGAAGGGGATGGTTTGGTCAAACTGGTAGGCAATGAGATTCTCTGCCATTATTTTCTGGGTCCAAAATCTAATGTTTTTCAGGCTTCGTCCATACAAGACGCGACGCAGTTGGAATTGCGGGAGGTGGACTCCACTGGCACGTTGAAAGCGGGGGAGAAAGCTCTCGCGGAGTTGCGGAAACGCAAGCTCATTGCACAAAAGTATAGTGACATATGTAACATTATTTGAGCTGCTGACAGTTGTTCTCATTAGGAGGGGACAGTGGTTCACGGTCAAGAAGGGCCCGAGCTTCAGCACATCTATAGCCAAGCTCGAGACCGATCTGACAATTGACATGCTAACTTCGTAGGCATTGCTCTATGTTATACTGGATGTGATCGTGCCTCACACTTGTGTGTCATTGCTAGAGGGTCATGGAAGACAGCACAATACAAGAAATACAACTTTGAGGCGGAGGGAATGCCGCCAAATGGGGGCGCCTTCCATCCACTGCTAAAGGTTCGCGAAGAGATCCGGAACATTTTCTTGGAGATGGGGTATGTCGCGCAACACGAACCTGTTGGCTTAACCCGACCGGCTTCTCACGTCGTCTAGATTTGCGGAGATGCCAACATCATCCTTCGTCGAATCCGGCTTCTGGTGCTTCGACGCACTCTTCGTTCCCCAACAGCATCCCGCACGAGAAGTCCAGGATACCTTCTACTTATCAGGTACGGTCCTTGTCTCTACGACGTTTTCGCTAAGATCATAAATCTCATGTCTCACACAGACCCATCGACCTCCCTCCCGCCGCCGGCCGACTACTACGCCCGCATCGCGGAAGTACACGAACACGGCGGGTACGGCTCGACAGGCTACCGCGCGCCGTGGTCCGAGGCGGAGTCGCGCAAGCTCCTGCTGCGCACACACACAACGGCCTCCTCCGCGGCAATGCTCTGGAAGCTTGCCGCGCGGTGCCGGGGCGAGGGCGCGTCTGCGGAGGAGGCAGACGCGCACTCTGGCGCGACGAAGGGTACCGCGGGGGCCGACGACGACGGGTTCAGGCCCGCCAAGCTGTTCAGTATCGATCGCGTATTCCGGAATGAAACGATGGACGCGACCCATTTGGCGGAATTCCATCAGGTTGAAGGCGTTGTGGCGGACCGAGGACTGACCCTTGCTGACCTGATCGGTGAGTTGACCTCACCGGAAGATGTTTCATAGTCCAAACCAACCCCAAACCGTCTACTCGGGCAGGTTTCATGCGGGTATTCTTCAAAAAGATGGGGATCGAGAACCTGAGGTTCAAGCCCGCGTACAACCCCTACACAGAGGTGTGTCCATTCTCGAACATTCCTCTCCTCCGAACTTGTTTTCTTCCCTGATGCTGATCCCCTTGCCGGCCCTCTTCCAGCCGTCACTTGAGATCTTCGCCTTCCACCCACAGCTCCGTAAGTGGGTCGAAGTTGGCAACAGCGGCATGTTCCGCCCGGAGATGCTCGAGCCCATGGGCTTTCCGAAGGACGTGCATGTGCACGGATGGGGCATTGGACTCGAGAGGCCTACCATGATTCGGTGCGTCCTTGATGTGTAGGCCCTATATGACTCTCACTCAGACTGATTTCTTTACTCCAGGTATGGAATCAGCAACATTCGGACATTGGTAGGCCATAAGGTCTCGCTGGAGGGAGTAGAGAAGTCCCCAGCGGTCAGGTTCTAGATGCGTGTAGATCTAATATCTTGTAGAAGCAAGCAAATAGTGTTGTATCATTGGCTGTCATGCTTAGACTGACGTTGAATGCCTCCGGTATTCTGACCGCTAGAGCAAAGACGGAGAATTTGTGATGCTAGTATACTTTGTGGACGTGGCTGACGGTATAGTATGCAATGTACAGGTTATGCTTTGGATTATGGATACAGTGGTGGTATGATATATAACGCGTCCTGCGCTGGTCCGTGTGACAGTAATGACAGAATCAGAAGGAGAAAATAGCAGCGTTCTTTCGGGAACCGAACATATAGACGATGGCTTGACTCATGAACAGTCCGACGGTAATACCGATCGTGACTGAAATCATGGCACCTCCAATGTCAATACCATTGCCTTGTGCTGTAATACCTCCGGCCTGCGACAGACCAGACTGTACACAGAGTATCAGCAAATGAACCGTGAGGATGAAAAAGGAAGAGTACCCACAGGCACTAAAAACAGCACACCGGTGACCATGGACGTGAACGCGGTACCCCCCATCCTTCTGGAGTAAATGTTACCGAGCAGACCGACCGCGAACGCTCCGATGGCGGAGACGACATCGGAGCGATTGAAGATGAAGTGGTTCGCAATCTTGTTCGCGGCATAGGATACACACGAGATGACGACCATGACGACCAGTTCTACAGTCCAGAAGGGCTGCAGATTCGCGAGCGAAGAGAGAATGGAGAAGGTGGGCACGATAATGAACTGGCTCCACCATGGGAAGGGTTGGAGGTACCATGGGAAGGACGGGGGCCGGTAGCAGCCTGTGATGATGTGCTCAACGATGTAAGGTGTAGAGTTTGTGAAAGTGAAGGTTCCTTGTAACGCGCTGGCCCCGTCAGTAGCATTGGTTGTGGTGGCATTATCGGCGAGGAAGGTACCGGTGATAGTGACCGCAGTCGTCATGCGAGCCGCCAGAGTTGCGAGGTCATGGCGAGCACCTTGGTCGAAGAGTAGATAGAGATCAGAACCAATCTGTAAGCCGAAACCCTGTAATTGGGTTAGTTGAAATAAGCAATGTGTGGGGGTAATCTCACCAAGAATAGTGTATAAATCAAAGCATAAACCATCTTCACGCTACCGCAAACAATGTTCTTTGAGGCCAGCTCAAGAGAACTGCTCACTGCAGAAAGTTCAGTATGATCTTACGAAGAAATGAGACCGAAACTTACGAATGAGGTAACCGGGAAGAATACCGACGATACCGGCAGAGGAAATGGCAGTGTAGCAGAATATCTGACTGCGAATACTGCTCAGACCGCGGGCGAGGAAGGAGATGAAGATGGTGACGGTGATTCTGAAACGATCGTTAGAACCAAGTGGCGTATGAGTAGCTGAGCACTCACTCGAAGACATTCGCATACAACTGACTCTTGGATGCGACTCCAATTTGCATGATAGACAGGATGGTGGCACCTGCTCCAGCAATCCACATATCCAAAAACGATCCACCAAATGCAAGTGGGCAAATCAAGGCGGAGATGAAGAACGCCAGGGAACTGCGGAATATCGCGCCGTAGAGCGGTTTCGAATCAAGCAGCACATTGAGTTGTTCCGTTGCCTTCTTTGCGCTGATTTCATCGTGCACCACCGTACGATAAATTTGGTGGACTTCATGAAGGCTGCCAAGCGCGAGACGACCGGCACACTTCACGAAGTGCATTTCTGAGGTCTTCGTATCCTGGTCACCGAAGGAGCAAATAATGACACCAGGAATGTGAATGAATTCGGCATCGACCTCCAAAATCCGCGCGGCGGAAAGCAGCTGCGATTCGATTCGATGCGAAGGAGCACCGAATATCATTAATGCTTTCGCAAGTCGCATCAAGAACATCTGTCGGTTCAACACGGCTGGGAGAGATGGTCAGTAACTTAACACGATCGACGCAGATGAAACATACACGTGATGTTGAATTCAATCTTGATGCGCATCCTCTCCTTCCTACGAGCTTTGTAGCTCATTTGGCGGAGGCAGTTCTTTTCTATGTCTTCAGGATCATCAAGAAAATTCTTACGCTCCCCAGTGACGGTTGGGTCATCCGGGTCGATGACCTGAGAGTTGTTGGACGCGGTAGAGTCCACGCGACGAAGATGCCATGGTCTCTCTGTCCCTGGTGTCCTCCGTCTGACCGTACCATAGTTATCGTTGTCTGCGTCATCTTCGGAACGTTGATTGAGCCCATAGAGATCAATCAAGTTTGAGAGGATTCCGCGCTGTCTGTCGTCTCTGTCACCCAAGTCACATCCGCCTTCAATGTCACGGTCATCTTCGTCCTCATCTCCCTTCTCGTGGTAGTAGTTTTCGTCGTCTGCGAAACTAACTTTGCGACGAAGAGTCGCACCGCGAGGGGATGACTGGGGCCCAGTGTAAACATCAGAGGGTGGGCGGATCTCGTACGGATGACGATAAGATGACAGGGAGTATTTGGAATCGTCAGCGAGAGGTTCATCATGGAGTGTACTCTCGCTCTCGTCTGACCCACGTCGAGATTCGATTGACCGGGATGGAGCGCTGAAGGAAACTCGACTGTGCTCGGCGGTACGTTGCGGCTGACTGGGCTCTACGTCCTGGGTAGGACTCCAGCCGGCAGGGTGGTCGCTGGGATAGTCATTTTGGTAGACAGGGAAGTTCCACTCCGGTGGAGAGCCACCACTGGAATCACGAGCTTGCTCCCGGGATATCGGGACCTCGTAATCCTGAGGGGCAGGGCTGGATTGGAACCTTCCTCGAGCATCGGTGGAACGAGAAGCGGCTTCATCCTGGAACCTGACTCGTGAGGGACTGCGAGATGAGTTCGCAGATGTACGAGGGGCCGAAGATCTGCGAGCCAGAGCAGATCGACGAGGGGGGACATTCGTGTACGACATGAAGGACGGGAGAATGTTTGATGGAGATGGGTTCAATGAGTGATCGCGAAAGCCAGCTTTCAGTGCGGTGAAGTGGTTAGGACGAGGAGGACAGCAGGGTTTATCAACGCTGCAGTGAGGTGTACGTCGAGTTCAAGAGCCCTCTTCGTCGGATGGGACTGTCCGACGTCCTCGGTCAAAGTTACAACGGACCGTGTTTGAGATTGCGGTACCGTTACATTCTCGACTGAGCAAGTCATGAGCGTAGCGGCGGGAACAGAACCCTATGTCACTCACAATCGCCATATGGCCATTGAGGATCTAACTGAACGATGCGCCCTACTAGTCTACAAAGGATTTGAGTAGATGTTATGAGGAATATATAATAGCCGGAGTGAATTACTGACTTGCATGGTCTTGGCATGGTCCAAGGCCGGTTCAGCGCCGCGGCTTCCAAAAATGGCGATTCCGCCCTTCACTGTTCCTCCGTGTGGCCGATCGACCAGAGGTACCAGATTGTCCCGAACTCATCCTATTGGGAACCCAGAAGTTGATTTTCACTTCCGCTCGATAGTGATTGGTTAGACACTGGGATTCACTGAGTTTTCCTGGTATTAAGGAAATGCAACTCAGCGCGCAAGACTAATGTAGGCCAATCAAGCCATGTGGACCAGGATTTCGTTGGATCATAGTATCGACACTACACCATCGATATCGACGATCTACAGCTCTTCCAGTAGTAAATGGTACAGTTTATGAACTGTTCGAACGTGGCAAAGGCTGATACTAACCATACCCTTGTTATCGATTGTACACGGTCTCCGTGCTACAAGTTTGCGTAGAGAATCGGCACCATGGCCAATCTAGGATCGACGCCCTCGAATGTGTACATCCGCCCGGTGTCGACTGTGGATTCGCCAGCGCTGTCGCGCATTTGCCTCCTCACGGGAGACGCAGGTGTCTCAGCAGAGCCATTGCACAACTTTCCAGAGCTGCTAGGGCTCGTCTATGCCGAACCCTACGCACAGCTGTCTCCCACGTTCGGCTTCGTGATGGTCGACCGCACCAAAGACGACGCAGTCGTCGGATACGTGCTGGGAACGCCCGACACGCGCGCATTCGAAGCTCGTGCGAACGCGGAGTGGTACCCCCGCGTGCGGGCCAAGTACGCGAACCCGCCTGCGCACCCGCACGACCCTTCCCTGAGGCCTGCGAAGGAAGCAGACGCACGATACGTGCATCTCTTGCACAACCCGCCGCGCGCTTCTGTGGAGGCTGTCACGTTTTCTCCTGCGCACCTGCACATCGACATCTTGCCGGAGTACCAGAGGCAGGGATGGGGGCGGAGGCTGATTGCACGGGCGGTGCGGTATCTGAGGGAACAGAACGGGTTGGACTGCCTGTGGTTGGGCTTAGATCCGCGAAATGTAGGCGCGAAGCTATTCTACGAGAGGCTGGGTTTCAAAGTACTCGACGGCGCTCCCGCGGGGACTATGGGTTTGATATTCGAAGACTTCAACGGCGAGGATCGGGTGTAGCCTCGGGACCTTCGCGTATTTCTATGGAAATGAGGGCCGTCGGTGGTAGAACGACGAGTTGTACAATGACGAATGCTGCAAGGCTTCGTCCGTGGTCCGTGGTCTTGTGAGTAGAGCGGGCAACCACGCCCTTGAACCACTCGTGGAGTGCATGATACAGGCCTGCGCGATATCAGGATCATCTCAAGCCATAATTTGAATTATCTGCGCGATCTTCGTGAAGCTGATAGCGCGGCGGAAGCAGGTAGTTGGCACGAGGCTTCGGCAGAGATGAACGTCAGTGGTAGCCTCGTGAAAATCAAGCATCCACGTATGACCCATGACGTCGCGACGTGGGGAGATCGCCCGCAATTGGCCCCAGTGGTTGCACGTTGTGCAGTCTAGACAATGATTCGTGGGCCGCGGAACGCTCAAGAACTTGACGAATAACAAAGATGCGAGGGAGCGGTTAGGTAGACAGGCGTGATCTCAGCCTGAGGCCAAAGGCCGCGCGACTTGTCCCGATTGTAAAGTGCTGGACCAACAAGGTGGCGCGATCCTATACGGTGGAGGGTGAAGGAGTGCCGCGGAAGCTGAAGGGTGTCATGCACAAGCACGTAAGCATGGTAGTTCGTCCAGGCTGGGGCTTTCGCGACGCGCAACATCTAGCGCCAGAACTGGGGAAGGTGCGTTTACCGCATAGTCAGCGAGAGGATCTGAGCGTACAGAGAGAGGCACTCACTCACTGGCATGTACGAATCCTTCTTTTCGTTTGTATGGGTTGGATAGAGCTGAAGCTGCAGCAGATCGTGCTGGCTGAAGAAGCCAAAACCCAGGATGGCGGCGAGGAACGACCCTGTCTGTAGGTCCTAGTTTGCAATAGCGATCCAGTAGACAGAGCGGATGGTAATATCATTGGTGACTAACTAAAAGGTAGTATCCAAACAAAATTTCATGGACATGGGTTCACGGCGCCGTGAAATTACTAGCTCACCGAGCAAGGCGGTGTCTGCAGAGCAATCCAGCCACCCAACGGACAAGGGAAATTTCTGTGATATCCTAGACTGTGCGACTTCCTGGAGGTGGTGTGGGGAAGGGGGAGGGGGTAGTAAATGGACTCAAGCAGCAATGGCGGCATCCCACGCTGCTGGGGTGGAGGGAGTTATAAAATCAGACGGACCGTAGTCATCCAACCCCAAAGTAGTACACCTGTCGTCCAGGGCATGACTGTGAGGCAAGGTGGTAAGATAAGGTATAAGTGCGTGCCTGCTGAGGAAGACGACATTGGCAAGCTTCCAGTCCATCCTCGTGCAGCCATGCTACCCACGAAAAAAGGAGGGATTCAGGGTTGGGTGGGAAGGGATGAGGGTGAACTGTGTCGCCTCTAGTAGGACGCAACGGTGGGACACGATGAGCGGCGACGACGATGCGCGCGAAGGCCAGGCGACTTCAATCTCAAAGCGCAGTCGTTAGCACGGAAAAATGTTTGGGTGAGCACAAGGGACAGGATAGCCCACAACAATATCGTCAGGAAGGGGGGAATGGAGAAGGGACAGATGGGCCGTTCACGCGCCCGCAGGGTGTATGTCGCAGCGAAAATAATTACGTATCCCTCCACCGCTTCCACTGGTAAATCACGAGTGTACGTAGGATGATGATGACGACGATGAAAGTCTTAGCATTTATACTGCGAGCAGGCAAACAAGTGCCAAGGTACAGTGTGCTACGTAGTTAGACTCATAACTACTGGCTGGCGAGACGGGTATGGTAACGGGAAGCGTCAAAACATGCTGCGGTGCAGCATGGCTTATGAGAGTGTACGCAGGACCGATGAGGACAGGGCAACTTCAGATGGGTATCGCGCCGATAATCATAGCACAGGTCTGGAAGCGCTAGGCCAGTCTAAGGTACGAGAGAGTGAAAGAACATACCAAGAGGAATCCGGAGACGTTCGTCGAGGCCCTGCATGTGGCACGTTGCATATGGGAGCTGCCTATTCAGGGACCGATACCGGCAGGCAGAATTCCGTTATTTGCGGATATTATTTGCGGAAAAGCAATAATAATAAAATAAAAGAGGATGCGATGCGAACGAACCTATCAATTTGTCCTGACGAAGATACGCATCGATCAGATGTCGGACGACTCGACCGGAAGAGCTCGTCCTAGCCAGCTAGTGGCGAACCAGAACTCAGAACAAAAGGAGATGGCGGCGAACCCACTCTTCCTATTTCCGTGCACTGCGGTGTGCTGCTGGAGAGGGGGCCGGCGGTCTTCCCCAGGCGTTCCTGAATGGGACCAATACCGGTTACCTACCTACCTACCTATCGTCGCAACGCCTTCGCGCATCCAGACACGTCGAGGCTGTGTCAGACGGTGATCCTTTGCAGTCGCGATTGGGACGAGATGCGCGGAACAGTGCTAGTATGATGCGGGCGTCCCACGGGTGACGCCTGCTGGAGCGCGCCAAGGTACTGTACCAATATTCAGAGACGAGTCCGATACGTGGCATGCCTGGCCAGAGGGGCAGACGCATTGCGAGTTGCCTGGTGTAGCGTCCGCGCGCGTCACGCACGCGACACACACAGAATCAGATCGTGTTCCACGCTCGCGCGCCCTGGGCCCGCCGCGAACTCGATATAATCGGTGCACACCCCACACTGTCCTGAACAGCGGCAGCACAGTATTATCTTGCTTGTTCTCGAGCCGCAGTGGGCCCCAGTGGTCATGTCGGGTTCGCGACAGAGAATAAACAGGCCTAATAATTTGGCTACATTAGTCATAGAATACAGGACAAAAAATGCGGCGCTTCCGTACTGTCTTCGACATTAGTCTTCCAGGCATGAAAAACAGTAAATGGCGGGCCAATGGTCACAGATAGTCTTCAGACTGAATACGGTAGGCGGATTTTCGCAACGCCTTCTCCTCGGGTTGCACACGAGGCCGCGCGAGATCGAATCTGAGGTGCACTAGGCCCTGTCACTCGCACCAACACCTTCAGTTGCCATCCGCAGTACGTTCACGAGCATCAAAAGCAAGCAAGATGCGTGGCCACAAGGCATCTCTGACGTATGCATTGAATATCACGTCCCTGTGGTCTGCCAGCATATCTGAACAATGAAATGTTGAATATCTATCCATTTTGTTGTTCGAGTGACCCCCAGACAAAGATGTCACGACTCGCGCAGTTCAACTAGTCTAGTTTTTAACGCGGGGGACCGATCAACTCGCCTGCAAGAGAATGAGTCGGAGCTGGAAATGAGAGAACAAGCGCTCGCCGCAAGCTCACGGTGCACAGATACTACATACTCCAGGGAAGCGGTCGTTGTTTCATTCGAGATATCTCAGTCAAATGGCATGCCTTTTAAGCTGTAGGAGACAAGCAAAAGAAGCACATCCAAAGGGTAACAAGAGAAGTAACTACTGAGGATGGGTTGTGAAAGTTCTGGCTTGAACTTGGACACTGTCACATCCCAATAATTTTGTTCCGCCTTCTAGCATAAGACTGTTGAAGAAATCCAGAGGACTAATTGCAGGGAGTCACTCTGGCTACCACTACCATAGTTGTAATCAGTGCGGCATATATCCCCCACCTAAAATACAGTACTAGTGGATTTAGCTGTTCTGAGGGCCCCGAGGCATAGTTTTTCTCAAAATAAATCCAGTCTACAGACAGTACATAACAGGAGAACACCCTGTGTACCAGAGAGCTATGAGGATGCGGCAGAAACGCGAGACTTGCATGAGTAGATGAGAACACGTTTTGACGCGTCGCGTGTGCACGTGATTTGCGGAGATGAAAATACCCAACCTACCGATAAGGACCACCGTATTGATAGCAGACGCCAGACACGGATATCCTGAGGAACGAAGGTTGAAGCAGAGTGTCAGTCTGCCTTTGGGAGACTAAGTCCAACCTGCCACGTGGAAACGACAGATAAACACGTTGTCCAATGAATGCCTCGAGACTTTGTAACACTACGGCTGGGACAATGTGGAAATTGGCAGGGTATGAACCAGATTAAAGAGCATCTGATGACCTTACTGATTCAACTTGCAGTGGGATCGGCCTTTTGGCATCGTCTCTGTATGGAACACGGGATCAATGAAGATGGGATCCTGGAAGATTTGTCTATGGATGCGGGCGATCGGAAAAGCGCGTTTTTTTACCAAGCAGATGATGAGCACTACATTCCAAGAGCGATTCTCGTAGACTTGGAGCCAAGGGTGCGTTGGCTTACCCAGAGCAGTAGGATTCGATGAAGCTGACGCGTGACACAGGTCATCAACAACATTCTGTCGTCCCCTTATTCACGGCTCTATAATCCAGAGAACATATTCATGTCAAAGGATGGTGGCGGAGCAGGTAACAACTGGACTCAAGGCTATTCGTCGGGGGAAGAAGTTTATGAAGATTTAATGGAGATGATAGATCGTGAGACCGAGGAGTGTGACTCACTTGAGGTGCGTAGAAACAACACAACTTCTCCCTCGCAATGAAAAATACGACTCTCCACAGGCATTCATGGTTATGCATTCGATTGCTGGGGGAACGGGATCCGGACTCGGGTCTTTTCTTCTCGAACGCCTGAATGATAGGTTTCCCAGGAAATTGTTACAAATGTACAGTGTCTTTCCTAATACCCAAGAGGGTGATGTCGTTGTACAACCATATAACGCCTTGCTCACGCTCAAACGCCTTGTTAATAATGCAAACTCCGTGATCGTCTTGGACAACGGAGCACAGATTGCAGCTGATACACTTCGCATTCAGACCCCCTCGTTCGATCAAACAAATCGACTCGCCGCTACTATCATCGCAGCTAGCACGCAAACAATCAGATTTCCTCGCACTCTGTATTCCGACCTCGTCAGTTTGGCGGCGTCGTTGATTCCGACTCCCCGCTGCCATTTCCTTACTACATCCTACACCCCCTTCACCAATGACCAAATCGAGGAGGTGTGTTGTCCGCGCTACCAAATATGTTATACGTACTCTCCAGCTGAGTTCGTTTTCCAAGGCAAAACCTGTCAGACGAACGACACTATTGGATGTCACGCGACGATCGTTGCAGCCTAGAAACCGCATGGTATCTGCTCCCCTCACGAAGACTTCTGTATATATCTCCAACATCAACATCATCAAGGCGATGTTGACCCGAATGAGGTTAGTCATATAATCTAGTTTGTCGAACTGACTCACGAGGCTCTAGCGTAGATTCACCAGTGTCTGCTTCGTATTCGAGAGCGACAATTGATTACTTTCATTCCCTGAGGTCCTGCAACGATTCAGATTGCCCTAGCACGTAGATCTCCATACATCCACACGAACGTGTCAGCGGTGTGATGCTGGCGAATCATACCAGTATTACCTCGGTAAGGTGTGCTTTGTTGTTTCTGTTCAACGAGCTCATACAAGAGTTGGATTTTCAAACGGATGCTCGACCAGTTTGACAGACTTTTTAAGCGGAATGAGTTCCTGGAGCAATATAAGAAATTTGAGAACATCGTAGAAGAATTCGACATCGCTAGGTTAGTGGAGCTTAAGTGGAGTGAGTTATCATACTGATTCTTAACAGGGCAACTTGTGACGATTTGCAGAAAGAGTACAAAGCATGTGAGAGTCCGGATTATGTATCTTATGGGTCCTTAGAAGAGTCATCGGGATGATATTGGGGACCAACACCAGGATCATAATGGTGCAGTGGTCCTGCATGCATTGTCGACATAGGCTGTGGTGTGAAGTCGACGTAGGGACTCATGCAATGTGGAAATTGAAGTACCGGTAGTGCAGAGTATATAACTGATGATGACAGCCCGTTGTTCCTACGCAAAGTCTAACCCGGCACAGGTGCAGCATGACCGCATTAGATATGTGACCTATAAGGATGCATCGGTGAGTCTTGTTCGTTACATTACATTGGACTCATTCATTCTGACCCTTCCAGCAGCCAAGGATCTATGGCACATGAACAGATATGCTATTTCCTGGTTAGTTCGAGATACTAGTACATGACCAGACGCTAAGGCAGATACAACAGAGAACATATTATTCAACATCAGCACTTGGAGCTCCAACTCCTTGTTCACTGTTTCCTGGCTGCAGCGACTTCAGCCCTTCTCGTGCAATCGGGGCATTTACCAGGCTTCGTGATGGTCGACCGCACCAAAGACGACGCAGTCGTCGGATACGTGCTGGGAACGCCTGACACGCGCGCATTCGAAGCTCGGGCGAACACGGAGTGGTAACCCCCGCATAGACGCGAACCCGTCTGCACACCCGGACGACCCTTCCCTGAAGCCTGCGAACGAAGCAGACGCACGAAACGCGCATTTCTTGCACAACTCCCCGCGCGCTTCCACCTAGGCTGTCGCGTTTTCTCGATATCTTGCCGGAGTACCAGTGGCAGGGATGGGGGCGGATGCTGATTGCACAGGCGGTGCAGAATCTGAGGGAAGAGCACGGGTTGGCCCGCCTGTGGTTCCGCGAAATGCTACGAGAGGCTGGGCTTCAAAGTACTCGACGGCCTCCCGCGCGGACTATGGGTTTGATATTCGAAGACTTCAACGTAGGATGACATAGCCTCGGGACCTTCGCGGATTTCTATGGAAATGAGGGCTGTGAGTGGCAGAACGACGAGCTGTACGGTGACGAATGCTGCGACGCATGGTCCGTGGTCCGTGGTCTTGTGAGCAGAGCGGGCCGGACAAAGCAACCATGCCGTTGAACCACTCGGAGTACACGATACAGCCCTACACGATATCCTACGATATCAGGATCATCTGAAGCGATGATTTGAATTACCTGTGCGATCGTCTTGAAGCTACTAGTTCGGTGGAAGTAAGTCGTTGGCACGAGGCGTTGGCAGAGTCGTTACCTCGTGAAAACCAAGCATCCGCGTGAGACCTATGACGTTGCGAGGTGGGGAGATCCCCTGCAATTGGCCCGAGTGGTTGCACGTTGTGCAGTCTAGGCAATGATGTGTGCGCCGCGGGATGCTCAAGAACTCCACGAAGAACCAAGGCGGGAGGACAGGCGTGACATCCTCACGCTAAAGACCGCGCGACTCGTTCCGCACGTATCGCCCGATTGCAGAGTGCTGGACCAACAAGGCGGCGCGATCCTATAGGGTGGAAGGTCTGACGGTGTGCCGCGGAAGCTGAAGGGTGTCATGCGCAAGCACGTAAGCATCGTAGTTCGTCGCGACGCGTAACATCTAGAGCCAGAACTGGGGAGAATACGTATACCGCATCGTCAGCGGGAGGGTCTGAGCACACAGAGAGAGGGACTCACTCATGTACGAGTCCTTCTTTTCGTCTGTATGGGTTGGATAGAGCTGAAGCTGCAGCAGATCGTGCTGGCTGAAGAAGCCAAAACCCAGGATGGCGGCGAAGAACAACGCTGTCTGCAGGTCCTAGTTTGCAATAGCTATCCAGTAGGCAGGGCGGATGCTAATACCATTGGCGGCTAATTAAAAGGTAGTGTCCCAAGAACATTTCAAGGGCATTGGTTCACAGCGCCGTGAAATTACCGGCTCACCGAGCGAGGCGGTGTCTGCAGAGCAATCCAACCACGCAACGCACAGGGGAAAATCCCGTGGCATCCTTAGTAAATTGTGCGACTTCCTGGTGGTGGTAGTGGCAGTGGCGGTGGCGGTGGCGATGACGGTGAGGAATGGACTCAAGTACCAATGACAGTACCCCATGCAACTCGGGAAGGAGGGGGGGGTATAAAAATCGGACAGACGACGGTGATCCAACCCCCAAGGTGGTACTGTACACCTGTCGCTCAGGGCATGACTGCGAGTCAGGGTGGCGAGACAACGTATAAGCATGTAGCGTACCTGCCGGGGAGCGAGAACTGAATGAAGATGACATTACCAAGCTGCCAGCCCGCCCGTGTGCAGCCACGCTACCCACGAAAAAAGTTGGGGGCGAAGGGATGGGCTCGAACTGTGTAACATCTGGGCCGCGACGATGGGACACGATGAGCTCGGGCACGGTGAACGGCTCCGACGACGATTCGTGCGAGGACCAGGCGGCTTCAGCCTCAGAGCACAATCCATAGCATAGTAAAATATTTGCGTGGGCACAGGGGACAGGATAGCCCATGACAATATCGTCAGGAAGGGGAGAAGAGAGAAGGAAGTAGGTGCCGTCTGCGCGCCCGCAGGGTGTATGTCGCGTACCCGCAGCTATCCCTCCACCGCTTCCAGTAGTAGGTACTAAATCACGAGTGTACACAAGATAGTTGAGGACAAAGCAACAGATGGGTATCGCGTCGATAGCGCAGGCCTGGAAGCGCTAGGCTAGGTACGAGAGAGTGAAAGACATACCTAGAGGGGGAGGTTCGCCGAGGCCCTGCATCTGGCACGCTGTATGGGAGTACAGGTCCCCGTATAGGCATGCCCACAACCGGCAGAATTCCATTATTCGGTGAGAATAGCCAACAGAGTGCGATAATAATAATAAAAGGGCAACGTGCCGGTGCGAACGACCATTCAATTCGTCCTGACGAAGATACGCATTGGGCCAGACGGACGACTCGACCGGACGAGTTCCTCCCAGCCAGCTAGCGGCGAACCAGAACTCGAAACAAAACCCACTCGTCCTATTTCCGTGCACTGCAGTTTCGCCGCTGGAAGGGGGGGCCGGCGGTCTTCCCCCACCTATCGTCGCGGTGTCTTCGCGCGTCCAGACACGTCGAGGCTGTGTCAGACGGTGATCCTCTGCAGTCGCGATTGGGACGAGGATGCGCGGAACGGTGCTAGTATGACGCGGGCCGTCCCACGGGTGCCACCTGCTGGGGCGCGCCCAGGTACTGTACCAATAATTTCCAGAGACGAGTCCGATACGTGGCATGCCCGGCCAGAGGGAGGCGCATTACGAGTTGCCTGGAGTGGCGGAGTCCGCGCGTGTCACGCGCGCGACGCGCACGGAATCAGATCGCGCGCCCTGGGCCCGCCGCGAACTCGATATATTTGGTGCATGCGCCGGGCTGCCTTCAGCAGTCGCAGCGCAGCATCATCTCGCCGTTCTCGAGCCGCAGACCGCGGCAGACGCAGGCCTGTTGTTTTATATCGAGTCCGTGACGGAAAACAAACGGGCCTGAATAGGCTCCATCAGTCCGTTGAATACAGGACAAAAATGCGACGCTTCCGTACTGTCTTCGACATTAGCCTTCCAGGCATGAGAAACAGCAAACGGCGGGCCAATGGTCACGGATTGCCTTCAGACAGAATAAGCCGATTTTCGCAACGCGTCGTTGTCGGGTTGCACACGAGGCCGCGCGAGATCGAATCTGAGGTGCACTAGGCCCGCCGCGAACCTGTCACTCGCACCAACACCTTCAGTTGACATCCGCAGTACGTTCACGAGCATCGAAAATGGAAAGCAAGCAAGATGCGCGGCCACAAGGCATCTCTGCACCAGCTGATTTTCAATTCAGTGCACAGAGGGTTCTAGGTATTCATATTTTGTAGTGCTGCGATCGAGATGCGTGATGGCTTGTTCGAGATGAATTCATACGCCGCACTGGGCTCTTCGCGAACCCGGCGGTACAGCACGGAGAATTCTCGAATTTCGACAGGGCGAAACAAGCAATCATTTGTGCGGGGTGTCAGCTAGATACAGGGAAGATCGATGCAGCTGTGTTAACGCCTACTGCCCCCAGCACGTCCACCTTCTTCCTCAGCGCCGGGAGCCATGACTGCACGAATAATTGATCAGCGAAGGGGAGATATGATAAGGAGGGAGAGCGTGTACTGACGGAGGAAGAGGAGGATGACGACGCCGTACAACCAGTACTTCTGGAACAGCGTCTTTTCGGGAAGAGGCTCGACCGGCTTGCCTTCCGGAGAGAGAGGCGGGGGTACGCGCAGCTGAGGTCTGCGCGCGGCGGGGCGGGGCGATGCGAGTCAGCAATGGAAATGAAGAAGAAACTAATGGGCGAAAATTGGCTGGGCTGATGGGACTTACAGAGGAGGGAGCCTGGGAGCGGCGAGTGAGAGGGTGGAGTTGGCCAGGAAGGCAAAAGCGGGGGCCTCGGGCGGACTAGAGCGCGCGGTTGAATCTATGGGTGCAGGCTTACTGCGGCGCATCTTGGGACATGCGCCATCGTGGGGGGTGGGAGAGAGAAAGTAGTCGAGAGCGAAGGGGGTGCCATCGTGTGTTACGTGAACGACGATATGTTCATGGGTACTCTTGGATAGGTGGCACTAGACAGAGGCAGGCACAGGAAGGGTGTCAGGACGGTCCGCCGAGGGAACGGCGGATGGATGGAGCGAGGAGAGAGAGAGAGCTTACGGCCTTGACGGCAGAAATGTGCCAGAGAGAAGGGTCGGCGTCGGGGCGCGGCTCTAGTGCGACCTGGTAGAGAGCACCAGGGATATTCTCGGTTGCGAGCGCAAGGCGGGAGAGGTCGGCGGGGAGAGACTGGGATGGGAGGAGCCTGGCATGGGCGCCGGGGCCGATTCCAGACACAGACAGGGACGCGCGCTGGACAAAGGGAGAGTCTGGGAGCGAGGGATGATACACTCGGTGGAACACACGGAGAGAGTGGTCGGCGAGGACGAGCAGAGGGAGGAGCGCGAGGGCGAGCAGCTGGAGCATGATCGCTGGACGTGAGCAGGACGCGCGCGCGCGGCAGCTCAGCGAATCGCGTCGACGCTCCGTCCCATTGGCTGATCATCCTTCCCGATTGGGAACACCACCCACGAACTCACACCGAGGTGCCACGGTGTGCCGAGACCGATCCGCGCGCTGGCTCCTCTCCTTCCTTGTCCTCCTCCTCCCTCTGATTCCTGCTAGTTTTGTGCTATGTTTTGTGCGCAAGATGGGGGAGGGTTCGTCGCTCGCGTCTGAGGTAGACAGGAGCCTGATTGGTCAGGACGGGAGAGAAGAATCTCATTGGCCGGCTCGGGAGGCCTGGATCGCTATTGGTCTGGATGCTGCGAGTGTGCTACGGCCGAGACTTGAGGGATGGCTCATAAAGCGGTAGCCAACCAGCTGCCCCTCCCCCACTGACCCCCAGCCAGCTGCCATCGCTCACACGAACCCGCAACTCCGCTCAGATGCAGTTTCCTCTCTCTCCAGAGGCCTCCCTCCCGACCCCACCCCACTCTCCGCGCTCGCTCGTGCCCGTCCAGCCAGCGACCGTCCTCCTCGACTCCCTCGCTGCCTTTTACCAGCAGGAGCGCTACTGGATACACCACGCCCGCGCCGCAATCGAGCTCGCCATCAGCAAAGGCGCAGATGCAAAGGCGATCACCTACCCTACCCCTCCCAGCTCAGACTCTTCTCCTTCCTCCTCGTCCTCTCCAGCTGCTTCTCCCGAAGCCGCCTCCGATGACCCGGCCGTCAAAGCCGAACCCGGCGCCGACGTGGACCTCTCCGTCGTCAGGGCTAACACCCGCTGGATGCGCCGGAAGAACATCATGCGCCTCAAGCTCGACGGTGTCTCCTCCCACTCCCACCCCCACTCCCGTCACCGGCGACCCATGCGCGCCCCACACGACGAGCCCGGCGCCCGCCTCCTCGAGATGTTCTCCGCCCTCGTCGACGCACGCATGGAGAGCTGCGTCCGTGTCTCCACCCTCGTCCAGCGTGCCAGCCGTCCAGGCTACCACATCTGTTGATCACTGTTTCACTGTCAGTTTCCGTCATTCCATGCGTGTTGGACAGACATTGACGAGCGCTCAACAGGTCTTCTGTATATTATTCGCCCGGCATATACCCCACGGCTGAGTCTGCACAGACGAGGCCGTTACGCGCTAACCCCCGGTCATACCTGTGGTTTGGCAGTGCACAAAAGGGCCTGTCAGACTGGGGGTCAGGTGCTGAGCATTGCCGCACCCAGCAGTGATAGTGATCGATGATATTTAGCAGTTGCACACGCACGCTCAGGTCGCAGACTCGGTTTCCTTAATTATGGGGCTTCGGAACTAGTTTCAGTGTATTCTTGTCTTTTTTTTTTGGTCGTGAATGCATTGCTGCCTGTGGATCATTATAAGATTTGGCGTGATTCGGATGCACAATACCTGCTTCGCAGCTGTCAACATCAATGGCTGTGTGTATGGTCAACCATATAAACTGAGAAGGACAGATTGCGGCGCGTCGTTGGCGGACAAAACTCCAGCCAATGGGAGACAGTAGCCAATGAGAATGATGTATCCGCCACAACCCACACAGATGCAAATAGAGAGATAATTGTGATTGGCTAGAGGGGATCGTGCAGGGCAGCGTCTTAGCCTTGTATCTTACCATCGACACTCAGCTCTCCATCGCCTTCTCTTTCATGTCTGCACGCTATGCTCCCCTCCCTAATCCCCACACTGACCACGACGCCGAGAACGAGATGGAGGCCGCGTTCAACGACTCCGACGACGAGGACGCTGCAGTCGACCCGCACCACCACCCCATAAACACCCGCAACGGTTACCACCCCCTCGCACACGACGACCCCGAGCCGTCGTCTGCGCACGAACAATCCGCTCCAGGCACATACGACTTCGAGGCCGTTGACTACGACTACGCACGCCCGCCCCCTGGCTCCCCTCCTGGTCCATCAGATCGTGCACTGCCGAACGAGTACGGCAATTCCAACGGGCTCGTCCCCTCTCTCATCTCTGCAGGCACGGACGATGCGGAGAGAAGGGGTGGCTGGCTCAGGAGGTCCGCGGCTGCGATTTTGCCGAGCTATTATGTCGACAGGTTCGGGCTCGTACCGCATGCGCCCCCTGGTGCGATCGGAGGGGGCACCTCCAACGACGGTGTCTTTGCGAACGTGACTGCGAAACCCTCTCGGCCTCTTAGGATACGGGATGGTATGCTCGCGATTTTTCTCCCTTGTTCGCTGTACTGATGACCCCCGCCTCAAGGCGACGAAACCTACCTCGTGCCCGAAGACGCACAGAAGGATGCGCCGCCATCGTACGCCTCCGCCCAGGCCGACGCCGTTCCGCCATACTGGGAGACCACCATACACGCACCCTCATCTTCGAACAGCCCCGGTGAGGTCATCATCGACTCGCTGCCGACCGGGAGCCTCTTTTCCTTCCTCTGGAACATGCTTGTCTCGATATCCTTCCAGTTCGTGGGCTTCCTCCTCACGTACCTCCTCCACACCACGCATGCCGCAAAGCTCGGCTCTCGTGCGGGCCTTGGCATCACCCTTATACAGTATGGTTTTGCGATGCGCGGGCGGGACGACCCGGGTGAGAGCGGCCAGGGTTCGTGGACCGGATGGAAGCCTGCGCAGGGCGAGCCGCCGTATGGGGGAAATGTATTTGGCAACACAACATTGTCCGGCACGCCGACCGTCCCAGCAGACAATACCCCCCTCATCATCGGCGACGCGACGTCCGAATGGCTGTCGTTCCTGCTGATGACGATCGGTGCGTTTTCCTCCACCTCCTTTCTCTCTGCTGCACTCATCGGTTTTTTCCCCCAATTACTTGGACAGGCTGGTTCATCCTCCTCACATCCTTGCTCGGATTCTACCGCGTCAAGAGGTGGGAGCACGGCATCCTCACCTCCACCCGCGACGCCCCGCCAATACCCAGCGACACGCGCTCGCGCACATCGACCATGCTGCACTCCCTCGAGCGCGTCTTCGGCATGCAGGGTCTGGCGGATGGCTCTCTCCTCCGCACAGGCCTCGGCCTGCCAAGCCCGCTCCCGCGCAGCGAGGACCCTGCCGCGCTCGCCGAGGTGGTCCTCGACGAGCCCTCGTCGCCGCGCGGTGAGTACATCCTCCCGCTCGACCCAGAGGACCCGCAGCGCAACGAGCAGATCGCGCAGGCGTTCGCCGTGCAGGCGCGGCTGCATCAAGACCTGCGCTCCGCGGGCCTCATATGAGCCGCCTGCGCCCGTGGGGCGGGGCCGGGGGTAGATACCAGTGCGCCACTTTTGTCGATCTTTGCTGCGGTATTTTGGGCTGTGCTAGCTCGTGGACAGAAATAATGTATTGTCGCGGTCAGTTGTGATAGTGCTCGCTTACGCCCGGTCGTTCGTTCGTGTACCCGTTATTCGCGTCTCCGTCCGTATCTTATATCAACTCAATACACATCGCCCTCGGCGTCAGCCTATCCTCGTCCCCGTCTGAAGATACGTCTGCAGTTTGCTATGCGCGGCACTTTTAATTTGCGATCGTATATGGTGGTGTACACGCCGCAACGCTACAAGCAATTCTCTATTCGAACATCTCTAGCGCACTTCTGCCTCTCAAACCGTGTCCGTTCGCGTCAATCCACGTCCGTCCATAGCTCGTGCATTTCCCACTTGAACGGCTCGAGCGAGAACTCGAGCGCGGAGCACGGGTACGGGATCTCGAACTTCTCCAGCACGGACGGATGGAGGATGCCCAGCAGGCCGATCTCTTCGTCGCCGGGCGTGTGTACGACAGCGTTGACGGTACGCTTGAGCGCCGACAGGGTACCCTTCTCCGGTGGCGGCGCACGATAGTAGATCGTGGCGGCGCGCCCGGGGAAGAACGTGGGATCTACGCCAGTTTCAGCACCAGAACGGCAAGCCCCCCCCCAAAAAAAACTGGAAGAACAAACGCACCCTCGCGCTCCTTGATGTAGTACCCCGTCTCCGCCTTGACGTCCGTGCCTGCGATGCGCGGGACCTCGAGCATCTGCATGATGCGGTCGAGCATGCCGTGCACGACCTCGAAGCCCGCGGTCTTGTTGCACCACACGGCCGCGGCGTGGCGCACGTTGCGCGCCTGGCGCTCGCGCGCGGTGTCCTTGAACACGACATCGGACGTCTCGAACACGCGGATCGGCAGCGGGTGCGAGCGGTTCTCGCGGATCGTCTTGAGGAGGCCCTGCACGAGCGACGTGCGCACGACCTGGAACTCGAGCGTCTTCGGGTTCCCGATCTTCACCGCCTGCGTCCCGTCGTCGACACGGTTCAGCCACTCGAAGTTTTCTTCGTGCGAGCACTGTGTCGTGATGTGAGTGAGTGCTCGGCATGCCTAGCCAGCATGGAACAGAGGACTGACCAGGATCAGAGGGAGGACTTCGACCCAGCCCGCCAGCGCCCATTCTTTGCGCACGATGTCGCTGAGTTTGCTGAGGGCCAGTGGCTGCGCAACAGTGCTTGTTGGGGGGAAGGTATCAGGCAGCTTGTTGAAACCGTATGCGATCGCAGCATCCTCCATTAGATCGCACTCGTGCAGGATATCGGGCCGCGTAGGCGGGATCTGCACGTCTACAACGTCGGGGTCGGAGGACACGGCTGCGTGCAAAGTCATGCGTTCGAGGAGGGAGGCTACCTCGGTTGCGTTCAGCTTGAGCCCGGTACATGAGTTGACGTACGAGGCATGTGCTGTTGCGGGGCGGTACGAGAGATCGGGTGTAATGCGGGTTGTACCATCGGGGAAGACGACCTTGCATGGCTCGATACTTGCAAAGATATTTTTTCGTCAATCGCTCTCAACTGAAGGTGAGACCAATGACTTACGCGAACGGCTCCTCGCAGTATTCAGAGAACATAGTGGTGAGTATGTTCGCGACGATGGCCAGCTTGGTCTCGTCAGTAGCAGTGATATCTATGAAGATATTCCGGGTATTCAGCGTTATTTTACTGTGCTCCGAGTTGATGATAGGCGGCATGGACAGTACTCGATCCTTCGTGTCGTAGATAATAGGGTATACTGGAGAGTCTCGGATGATGTGCAGGTAGCGAGCAATGTGCTTCTCGGACTTGATATGATGCTTGTCAGTGGCCGGAGTAGACGACTGCTAATAAATGATATACCTCGTATAGTGTCATGAGCTCCTCGGCTGTGTATGCTTTATTCTTGTTCAAAGGAACAAACTTGATGTCTTTGGGTGGTCTAGCTTCATATCTGAACGGTGGAATTATAGTATCCAAGTCATGTGTACCGATGGCGACGAACTGTCGTCGCCTGCAGATATTTTGGTGTAACTTGTCCTGCAAGTCAATGAAGGAGTCATATGACAACTGCGTGAACTTGACATTGCGTAGGACGGCGCATGCAAAATACGGTCGAATTTGTTTCGTCTACACAGGTAAGTCAATCCCAAAGGTAGTAGTTTTGCAAGCTTCAACTGAACGCACCTCCGGTGCAACCGTGACTGTGATCAGATCCTTTTTTCCACCTTTCGGATATACGAGCTTGTATATTGGAGGCTTGTCTAATCCCAGGAATACACGCAAAGCGCGGGAGATTCCCTCGATGCAAAGTAGATCGTACCTGCCCACACCGTTCTGCATGCAGTCATTCGACACTCGAGGATTTTCTCACCGATTCGCCGGTACCTCTATTTTCAATTGCTAAAAAAATATCAAGGGTTAAAAACGCGTTGTCTTGAAATAGTTTGCAATACTTCACTGGACGCTCAACAGGTAGACCCTTCTTCCTCGCCGCTTCCACTTCTTCTGTGGTCTATGCAGACTCCTTGTCACCGCGAAAAGTATCGAAAAACAAAAAATAGTCACGCACATCTTCGTCGAGCTCGAGGCCGAACTCAAACATCAACCGGTCGAATTCTTCCGTAGCTGCAGTGCCCAAAGGTAAGTCAGACATAGGTGAGCTGAGGAGACGGGAGGCAGACACACTATATGCACGGCCCAGCCTCCTCCATAGATCTTCCTTGTCTACTGCAACGGTTGGCATGATTGTTCAGCTGGGAGAGGTCCTGCAGCCCGATAGATTTGAGTACGATTGCCCAGCGCTCATCGAGTCAAACGATCATCCTGCTGGTGAGATCCCATCGGGCATCTTTCGTCGGGTGTCACATGACATCAAAGCTTGATTCTCATTCGACGCATCGGCGTCCACTGAATTCGCTCAACTGCAGGTGGAGGTGAAAGCATAGCCGCATCACACATCAGTGGCAGTATTGCTAGATATACATTGTTGTCTGAATGAATGCCTGAAAGTCGTCATATTGAATTTGTGGAAGCCCATAATCACGTAAAGCAGTGGCAGAGCATGGATTATTGGAGCAGCGTGACTGCACAACAATATTGTATACAATGCGATCGGCAAAGAGAAAGCTCTCGCGGGATAATATGTAACGCTACTTGCGATAGAACTAGACAAATACTATGAGCACTGGAATCAACCATATCGTCAGAAAATCCACACTTACATTGCGACGGAAATTGAACCAAAGCGATAAACAGCCTCTGTCAAAGCTACTGCGGAAGCCACTGCGATTCATTGAGATAGTCAGCGAATAATACAGACGGACCATGAGGTCGCACATACCGCTTATGAGAAAATTCCCATTCACGATTGACGATCCTGAAGGCGATGTCCTCGTACGGGGGCCCGGCGGTGAAGTGTAGCAATACGGTCTCATCATTTCCGGGTTCTTTGACAATTTTGTAGGTAGGTGCTTTCGATTTGTCAATGAGGTCAGGATAGAATATGTTGAACTAAATCATTTGTCAGTTTGCGCTACGCATCCAATTATTTTGCACGAACCTTGTATCCTTGCACAACCTTCGGAGGGGGATTATCGGTACTATTGGCACGTCAGTCAATATCGCATTGCACTGAGCAATAGTGTAAACGTACTCGTAGTGGGTTTGGTTGTACTTATTCCACTCATAACCGGTATGAACCCGGTTGAAATAACGAGGCTTCCGTGGACGATACTTGTCCTCCCAGTTGTAACTGGTAGGATGAGCGATGTTCTCCTCCACATTGAATAGCTCTTCTTCCTCGTCAAGTTCTCGTTCGGCCTCTGCACGGTAGAGTGCTTCTGAAGCGAGATCGGTGCCACTGGGAGCCTCAGTATCTTGCACTTCCACTGGAGCTTCGGTGGTCTTCGCCACGAATCGAGATCCCGCCACTGAACGACGCTGTTCTAACTACGGATCACATTGAAAACGAGAGTGCGGAAAGGAGTGAAATCCTACTCACCAGTGAGCGCAAATCCTCCAATGCCGTCACGATATCGATCTCACGCTCTTCATACGGTAGCTTCCTGATGTCAAGCAACGTTGGACTCATAGACCGAGCATACTCTTCAACCTCTTCCGCAGGACCGCCCTCTTGTTCCGCAGCAACCACAGCAGGGATGATGCCGCGAGCCTCGCCTCTTAAAGCCGACTTCGCAACGCCTGCTAATAGCTCCTCTTGCGCGTGCAAAGCCTCGTCACGTTGACGTTTACGAAGCTGCTCGAGCCTGTTGCGAACGACGACTTCATGCAATGCCTTTAATTTCGCCTGTGCAAAGTGATGAGTCTTGCTGAGAAGCAGCCATGAGCATCTGACCTTCGCTTTCCACACCAGCAATTTCTTCAATAAGCCTTCCCAGTAATCGACATCGATTGGTTCACCACTTGATAACTTCGCTTGGACCTGCTTTTGCAGGGCTACAAGATGGTCGTAACTCTTGCCTTGGAGCAATGCAGTAATATCAACTTCGACGGCTGCGGCAGCTTCAACCCCCAAGCGCTGATTGGCCTTGATTCGATCCAGCTGGTCTTTACAGACAACCATCATGTTCTACCACAAATCAGTTCCATGATGCGTCACGAAATTACAATTACATACTGTCCAAAACTCAATGTTGACTTCGGATTGCTCCAATCGAAGATATCGTTCAATATCGTCATGTAACTCCTCCACTTGTTCTGGAGAGAGACTCTAAGGATAAGTTAGTTGCAAGCGAGAATACCGGTGAGCACAAGATGCTCACATCAAGGATGTTGTAGGGCTCGTCCAGGTCAATTTCGAGGCCATCATCATCCACTTGGTCTTCTTCATCCTCAGTAGGGTTGACGTATCGGAGATTGAGGGCCAGGAAATCGATAGCCTTTGCTCTCTTTTCTTTGATGCGTATGGCCGCCCTCATTCGCTCCTGTTCGAGCTGGAAGCCCTCCTCTTTCGACAACCAATCAGCCATCTGCGCGGACTCCGCTAACCTGTGCATTCTGATTTCTTCCTCCTCCCTGATCCTCTGCTCGGCTTCTCTCTCCGCCCTTCGTTTGTTCAGCCTCTCCAGCTCCTCCTTCGCTTCCTGCCGTCGGATGGCATCCCTTCTTTGCGCCTCTGCGACCGACAGACCCTGCTTCCTCTCCTTTTCGTTCTTCTTATGCCACCTAAATTGTTGGCCGAGATTGACGTCGTGGAAAGGATTATCTGTCGCGCTGTAAACACTAAGTTCGGCGACCTGACGAGCCTCCTCTTCCTCCCTTGCTCTTTTTTTCTCCGCTTTACGCGCTTTCCTGTCTTCAGATTTGTCTCGCTTACGCCTGAACAGTGCAATTGGTTTAGTATGAGGTCCAGACACATTCGGGGTGAAGACTCACTTCTTCCTCTCCTTATCTACACTTCTGCTCCTGCTCCTGTCCTTCCTACGACGTGACGACGAGTCCTCTTCCTCCCGGCCTCTGCTCCTACTCTTCCTTCGCCGTGATCCCCGCCCGTCCTCCTCGTCGCCATTAGAGTCATCCCTGAAATATTTCCTATCTCCGTCTTTGTCCCTGTCTTTGTCCGTAGACCGAGCACGGTGCCCATCCCGTGGGAGTGGAGACGCTGAGCGTGAATTATGTCTTGCCATGTTACTCAGTATGTGAAGACGGGCAGCTACGTTCACTCACACTCAGTGGGTGGCTCAGACGGGAAATTGATGCTGACGTAAACAAAGCCCCAATGGTCGCGTCACGTCTCACCGCAATTCCACTGGGTTTGTGGCGGTTCCGATTCAACCTCATACTCCCCGTTAAGGATCCCCCGCGGGATTGCTATAGATTGCTGCTGGACTTGGGCTGTACGTCAATTACGAGAGAATCTTATCTACTCCCCCTTCGTCGTGGTTGTAGCATGATGGCGTTCCGTTCCCGAAGCCTTCGTTTCCTGAACGTCAAGCTCATCCGCGGAATACGGACGCAGGCGCAATTCAACTACGTCCCTGAGGATGATTCAGGTGGAAGCCAGTTCTTTGCAAGACCTGCGGGTCTTGCGACTCCTCGACAGGTATCCTTGTGCTCTTCTGACCGTGAATCTCGAGTTGACATCAGTGTGGAACTGAGTTGGTCCAATACTTGGATGAGTTTGTTATCGGTCAAGAGAACGCGAAGAAGGTCCTATCTGTCGCGTGCGTGCTCAATAAGATATATTCTGAATACGTTCTTGGACTCAGATGTATCTGAAGTGTGTTCAACCATTACAATCGGGTGCATGCGAACCTCTCGCAATTGGAAGACCAAGAGGAATCTGTGGATTGGAATGATAGTGCAACAGACGAAAGTAAGTCTACTCCTGTAGTTCTCGGAAACTCGTGGAACATGGAATCATGCAGTACGGCTGGGAGTTGCTCCGGCTCAGTTACATCCCCATCCTTACCGGCTTCCAGCGTTAGCCATCCCCTTGCAGGCCCGCCAACCAATACCATTGTTTGAGAAGAGCAATGTTCTAGTGATGTATGTCACAAATGCTCCAACTCCAGCTACTGACCATTCAATCTTGAATAATCCATCTCTGTCATCGCAGAGGTCCTACAGGATCTGGTGCGTGCCTCGTCGTGATATACGGAGATACCACTGACCCCGCATCCTAGGCAAGACCCTACTGGCGAAGACTCTCGCGCGAGTGTTGGATGTGCCGTTCTCAGTGAGCGATGCAACATCATTCACACAGGTACGGTGTAAATCTGGTCTCAATCGGGTCGAGAATGGACCAAGTATCTCATAATTGGTGTAGGCAGGGTGTCAGTATTCGAACATATCTAGCACTGCCCGCCACTTACCTACTGGCAGATGTAGGAGACGACGTTGACATGTGCGTCCAGCGTCTGGTACGTATCAGTTGTCCAATGTTCCATCCTTTCACCGTCTCAAGGGAAATTACAGTTGCAAGATGCTCATTGGGATCCGTACCGGGCGAGGTAAGAGAAACAGAGAGATAATAATGTTGAGTAGAATTTTGACGTATCCTATGCCGACAGTACGGGCATTATATACATCGATGAAATTGACAAGATTGCTCGGAAGTCTGGAAGCGGTGGCCTGGACGGGACCCGAGATGTTGGAGGTGAAGGCGTGCAGCAGGCTCTACTTCGCATGATGGAAGGGACCGTCGTCAACATACAGGCAAAGGGCTCTCACGCAACGGCACCTCCTATAGGCGGTGAAGGACGCTCAAGAGCAGGTCAACGAAATCTCAATGTCAGTGGACGTGAGTGGTCCAAGCCGTTGTGCTCCAAATGCATATCTGATGTTTAAACAGCAAGGCCCGACTCGTTTGCGATCGATACGTCCAACGTGCTCTTCATCTTGAGCGGTGCGTTTGTGGGACTGGAATCGATCATCAAACGGCGAGTAGTGAAAGGGGTAACGTTGTCTTCTCATTGGTTTAGGTGTTGTGTTCTGATGGATATTGACCCAGTCAATTGGCTTCACGGCGAATCTCTCGTCAGAGACAGAGGAGATGTCGGACAAATCCATGCCATTCTTCACTCCTAATAAGAGGGCATCATCGACTGTGCTAGACCACGTGGAACCCGTCGGTACGAGACAAAGAAATGCAGCTTTTCCCTGACTAACTTAAGCTGAACTCACTGCAAGACTTGGTGCAATATGGGTGGGTATGATGCACACATTGGCTGTAGGTATTCACTGACGTCTCTACAGTTTTATACCAGAGTTCATTTCTCGGATGCCTTCCTTAACGACCTTATCCCCCTTGACCATAGAGGATCTTCGGCGGATTCTGACGGAGGTCAGAGGATCGCTGATTTCGCAGTATACCGCCCTCTTTGGATATTCCGGGGTTGAGATCAGATTCACCAGTCTTGCATTGGATGAAATCTGCCGGAAAGCACTCGAACGAGGAGGTGGCGCCAGAGGGCTGAGAAGCATCATGGTGACTTATATCTGTTGGGGGCTGGTTATTCATGTGACTCTTCTCATTCGTTGTTTAGGAAGCCCTGTTACTGGAGCCTATGTATGAAGCACCGTGAGTCTCTCTATCTATAACTAACATTGCAATGCTGATGCTGCTCTCGTCAAATAGTGGTTCGGTATGGATCTCGATTACCGTAGCTAGGTCTGATCCTGACTATCGCTCTCGCAGAATATTCGACATGTTCTTATCACGGGGGCCGTCGCGCGAGGCGAGGCTTCAGCGATGTATTGGGGAAAGGGGGAGGCTTCTGTCTTCTGGTCGACATGGGCAGAGGAAGAACAGGCATATCCAGTGAGGAGCCCATAGGCGTGCTTTCCTGTCGTATTGTAGCGGTCTGTATTTCTAGTGGTATTGATGTAATTTCTGTGGACAGTATGTCGTGTGCCTCGACTTACTGAGGCACCTATGGCTGACACTTCAAAGCGACTGGTCTACGCGAATTGCTATGTGCAGAAGGAGTTACAGAATGAGATCATTATGTTGTTGGGAACAACGAAAACTTATGATGTGTTGAACATGCTATTTACTCCTCCTTTGCTTCTTCCTTGCTTTCAGCGGGGGCGACCTTCTCCGTTACCGCAGCCGGAGTCTCCTCCTTGGTTTCCTCTGCCTTCTTCTCGGTGGGTGCCTCAGCAGGCTTCTCTTCGGAAGGGGCGACAGGAGTCTCAGGGACAGGAGCAGCAGGAGCCTCAGCAGAAGTTAGACCCGCGTTTGTCCGTTGAGCCTTCTCAAACTGCTCCTTGAACTGACTTGCATCTGCAAGATTATAAGATATGCTCGAAACCGCATCATACCCAAATCACTTACTATCGGCGTTGGCAAATCGGATGGCGAGAGTTTCCGACGTTGGAGGGCTCTCCGAGTAGTCAGCAGCAACCTTCCAGACCCAGCTTCTGTCCGAGCCAATGTTCGGCTGCAGCCGCATATCATAGCTGACTGAAATGCACGGCAGTAGATTAGTGAAACTGAATCAGGAGACATGCCGGTGGCATCTACTCACTGGCGTGGTTAGCGCAGACCTTCAATGTCTTATCACGTCTCATCACGAGCCGGACCTTCTTCGTCTCCCTGTGCGAAAGCAGGCGGACATCACCTGTACCGCGCTCCTTCCACTCTGAGCTCTCAGTTGCGAATCTGAAGAGCTTGGCGCGCCTGGTGAGAGGACGTTGTCCGTTGTTCAGGACTGACTGCTACATGAAGCGGAACTGATCTACGCACATTTTGAAGAGAACCTCCTCGTCTTCTTCGTGAGTCTTCGTCTCGACCTGCTCAGTGAGCTTGATTACCGGCTCAAACTGGGGGTCATGCTCTTCTTCCTACGAGACGAACAAAGTTCTATCAGTTCTCTCCTCGTCGATATTAAGATGTGGCGCAATCTCCTCTGTATCGATCGGAAGAGCGCATCGAAATGCTTTGTCTCAGTAAATACACTCACTCTGGGTGCAAGGGCCTCTACAGTTTCAGACATGTTGAAATTGTGGGTATGGGCCGTGAAAGAAAAGTTCAGAAAGATGGGTGTGTACTGGGGCGAGTCGATCGCGTGTTTCGCCCAGCGCCCTGCATGAGACCCCGGCAACTTCCAGCCCACATCTTCATACCGTCTGCAGTGATAGTACAGTCGGGTCTCAAGCACTATGTCGCCACTATATACCTATAGACTCTTTGCAATGTGGATGTTCTTGTACATTCTCCCAGCTCTGGTCTCAACCCACATGATTGAAGTCGTGGCAGGGAGGAAGGAGTGCTTCTTCGAGGACCTTCACGTGAATGACAAGGTGTGTAGTTTGTGTACAGACACGAGCTTCAATGAACATCGGTGCAGATGACAGTAACATATCAAGTCGGAGGAGGGGGCCATCTTGACATTGATTTCTGGGTAAGTGATTGGCCCTGCATGTATGCCGTTTGATGAGGTCTTACGACCGTGCAGCTTGCAGATCCAGACAGCGTTGCTCTCGCGAAACATCTAAGACAGAGCACAGGGACAGCTTCAATCACAGCAGAGAAAGATGGTCGGCACGAGTACTGTTTCTCGAATCAAATGAGCGCTGTAGCAGACAAGCTCGTTAGGTATGCGCGATATCCTCCTACTGTTCACGTCCACTCAATATCCGCTCATTCAGCTTCAATGTACACGGCGTTATATATATCGACGACGATGGTCAATATGCACGTCATTTCCTATGTCGCTCTGTATTAACCGCAGCCTTTAGACACCGTTGCGCCCATCGAGCGGGAAATTCGGGCGCTCGCCAACGGTTTGACAGCAGTGAAAGATGAACAAGAATACATCGTCCTCCGGGAGCGTAGGCATCGAGACACAGCAGAATCGACAAATTCCCGAGTGAAATGGTGGTCTGTATTGCAAACTATAGTCCTGGTCGCTGTGGTTGCATGGCAGGTGTATTACTTGAAGGTATGTGCCAAGATAATGTAGATGTTGTTGTGGAATGTTCTAACTTTATGGCTTGAATAGTCGTTCTTCGAAGTGAAACGTGCATTCTGAGCCTGTCAATTCATGCGAACGCTGGCGTCCAACATATTTCGTTCTTGAGACACGATATATGCAGCGTGATTTTGCGCTTGAGCTGTTGTCGCTTGGTCCGGTCCGCTGTGAATTACAAGGCAAGATCTTGGCCGTATTTTCCTGACGGCCATGTACATCAAGCGATGAGAGACTAAAAATGATTATAATTGTACGATAGTGCATAACGTTTTAACAGGGTATACAGCAAGTCATAAAAACAGTACGACGACAATGTGGACATAGCAATAGATAGGTCGTGATTTGGAAAGTACAGAGTACAAACATCATGCTGAGGGACCGGCCTTCTGTCCATACACCATCTGGTGAGTTGTCTCATTTCCACGAGGGTTTGCCGCCCCCCGCGCCAGCTCTGAAGCTGATATCCGCACTCGTGTTTACGTCAGATAGCTTCAGCCGAGCAGATGCGTTCAACCTCGCACTGGATATCGCCAACAGCGACATTCTCTTGGGCCTTTTAGCGGGTGAACGCTCGACGCTTATGGGGATCCTCCGCGCGCCTGACCCGCCGGCCTGCGATCCACTCGCAGAGTCATTTGCATCTGCTATGATAGGGGATAGCTGTGGGATCATGCTCGAGCGTCTCCGCGGTCGGTCGTTCCGCATGGGACCGATGTTGGATCGCCGTCTGCCGCTCTTCAACATACCAACGATTTTTGGTGTCATCGGGGCTCTCTTCGCAGGACTGTTGTGATGGCGTTCGCGACCCTTTGGAACGTGCAGTGTGTCCAGAGTGCTTGCGCTGCTACTCGATCCCTCGGACGGTGACGGAATCCTGTTCATGTTGACGTCTGATAATGGTGACGGACGACGAGGTGTACTAAGAGTCTCGTCATCCTCAGCCAGACTCCCCAGTGTCGAACACTTTGATTTTCCTTTCAGGAAACCAGGATCCAATCTGCTCGCACGCGGTCGCTTGCGAAAACCATTGGCAGCAGGAGTAGGAGCGGCATTATCGCGTGAGGACGCTGACATCATGCTCATGCTCATATTGAGACTATCCTCCGTCTTCTCATCCTCCCATTCGCTTTCCGACCCGCCGATGGACATGTTCCTCTTTAAAACAGAACCTGAACCAGATGCGATGCCACTGAGATCCGGGGAAGCCACAGTGATCACTACCTGTGGTTCACGTTCCCCACCATCGTCAATCTGGCCTTGTCCTACTTCATCCCTCCATTGCACGCCCTTTTTCTTGCCCTTGTCCTTGTCAGATACTCGCCGGTAGGGTACGGCCGCAGCAGTCATGCTCGAACGCAATGATTTACGTGGACTCTTGTGCGCCTTGCGTGGAGAGACCATGGAAGTGCCGTACGACGAGGATCGTCTCGACACTCGCGCCTTAGGCTGCTGCGAGACTACAGGTCCGGATGTCACACGTCCAATGCTGAGAGCCGAAGGGTAGCCTTTGAAGTTGTTCAGCGATGACGTCCCCGCTGGACTGGAAGCAAGCGCATAGGCAGCGATTGAGTGTCCAAGAAGTGCCTTGAAGGCGTCATCATTGTTTCCTGCGACATTCTTGAGCGAGGCTGCGAGCGCTCTGGCTGTCCCTTCCAAACCGTCCCTGCCCTCCGCCACCGCGGTGGTCAGCAGTTGGCTAGCTTCACTCAACATGACGGTGCATCTGCTAACCATCCCAATCAAATTGATGACGGCCTCTGTCTGGCTCACCGCTGCCTCTTGGAGCGCATTTCGGCCGGCCTCCGCTTTGACACGGTCCATCTCTGCCTTTCGCCATTTGGCGTCGAGCTTGACGTTGTCCACGCTGAACTCGTCCAGTTTGTCCGATCGCCGCTCGCTCACAGCGCGCAGCATCGCATCGAACATGGCAGCAGAATTGTTTGACCGCTGCAGGCGGACATTCACAGCGGATTCTGCCTTGAGAATCTGCTCTTCTGGTCCCATTAGAGCCTGCAGAAGGTGACGTTCTGCCTCCAGGTCCGAGGAAAGAGAGGATGAAGGCGACCTTTGTGCGTCAACTTGGGCGAGCCGCGCCTGTATGACCTTCAGCTTGGCCTTCGCGACTGCAATTTTGCTCGCACAGCTTGCACCATCTATGATCGACGGCTGCGTCTGTTCAGCCTTGAGTTGCATGTCACTCTTCGCCTTTTCGACTTCCAGGGCAGCCTCCTTCCTCTTTCGACGTTCCTTCTCCCCCTCTAAGTCACGTTTCCCGGACAGCCTCGCCTTGAGCTCGGCTACCTCGGTGTTGAGACGGTTGATGGCCTCGACGTATTGTCCAACGTGACGATCAACGTTGACTACGTTACGCGTTACGACCTTGGTTTTGATCCTTGTGGCGCGTTCAGCGTAGAGAAGGGTGTTCTGAGTATCGTCGAAATGAATTGATGTGGGGGCTATGCAGACGATCATGACGGTCTTGCAATTGCCGCCGAGGGAGAACTTCAGCAAGCGGGTGAGTTTACTGTTGCGATACGGAACATGGCGAACGCCGCCGCCGCTTTCGCACAAAGCATTGATGCAATTACCCAAGGCAAGAAGGGACTTGTTGATGTTAGCACCCTCAACCATGCGTTGGCCCATGTTTGTCGTCGCAGCAGCGCGCTCGCTGCCTGCAAGATCGATGATAGACAACGTCGCCATTGTACGCTGTTCCGTTAAAGAGGCTGTACGAGGGGCCTGTGTGACATGGACCTGCAGCACGGCATGTGAACGCGAGGAGGTCTCGTTGGCATGTGTGGGTGACTGTGTTCTCCGCGAGTTACCCAGAAGGACGATCTGCTTGACCTCATCTGCACTAGTGGGTCGGAGCTCTGCCAGTCCGACTACCTTGACCGTCTTGTCCTCACGAATCTGGAGACCGCCCCGCGGTGTAGGGTTACCCGGCTCGGCTAGCAGATCTCGTATCTCTTCATTGTATATCTCGAGAAATGTGACCACGACCTCGACAATATAGTCTTCTTTGCGGTCCTCAATTTGGTGGAAGAGGTCAGCCATTGTGAGGTAGATGATACCTGCGTCGGCATCTGTGCCGCTGATAGTATGAGTCTTGCCACACCCGGTGGCCTGGACCGTCAGAGATACTGTCAGCGAGGGTACAAGACGCGAAGGAGTTGGGTTTGCTCACACCGTAAGCAAATATAGTGGCGTTGAAACCGTCTAGTAGATTGCGTAGAAGGGGCTTGGCCGTGTCTCTATAGACATCCTCCTGCCGTGCCTGGTGGTCGAAGACCTTATCAAATATGAAGCGCCTATCCTTGTACCGCTTTGTTCCCGGAGGAAGAAAACCGCGCTCAACGAAAGCTTTAGAGGGATCCTTCTCATCGGGATCGAAGGTGAGAACACGGTCGTCTACTATTCGGATAACGTCGCGGACGGAGGTAGAAGAAGCGGTAGGTCTTCCAGGAGTAGAGAGCGCGCCGTCACCGCGAAGGCAGTTGTCGTATGTAGGTTGTGGAAGTCTGGCGGCCTCCCACGGGGTCGGGGGGCGAACGCGGACTGACATTTGTGAGGCATGGCTGAAGTGATATACAGAGGAACTAACCTGCGACGTTGATGGAGCCAGCAGCGACCATTGTGGAATTCAAAGATGTCGCTCCTCGCGTTTGGCGATGAGTCGCGTGCAATGAGGTCGTCAAGTGGAAGAGAGTCGTCGTCGTCCCAAGTTGAACTCTGAACCAAACCGCACGCGTTCAGCTCGCCCGACCCACGTGATCGCGCCTTGCTGCTCCGAGTCCATGCTTCGGAAGACTCTTGCCCTCCAATGTCGACCATCTCGCTTGCGTCCCCCGCCGATTTTCACGTCCATCTTCGTCAGGGAGACCTATCCAACCTAGTCACAAAACATGTCAGGCAAGGTGGATTCAAGCTCGCGTATGTCATGGTCCGTTTTATCCCGCCTTGCAATCGCTTCGTATTTTCTTAGTTCGTGAGGATCACAGCCAAACCTGAAACCGCCCATTACCACCACCGATCAGGCTCTTCTTTACAAAGCTCAGCTGCAGTCGATAGATCCTGCAGTCGAGTACTTGATGACCTTGTATCTCTCGCCAGAGCTTACACCAGACGAGATACGGAAAGCTAAGCGTTCCGGTATAGTCGGTTTGTCCTTCGTTCCTTGAGTTATACTGTGATCCGAGGTTTCATACTCAGTCTAGGCGTGAAGTCGTATCCTCGTGGCGTAACGACCAACTCCGAGGGAGGCATTGAGTCTTATGAGGCGTACTACCCTGTTTTTGAAGCGATGGAGAAGGAGGGTATGGTCCTGAATCTGCATGGCGAAGTCCCTTCCGATGCTCTGACCGACGTCTGCGTTCTCAATGCTGAACCCGCCTTTCTTCCCCATCTCCGCAAGCTACATGCTCGATTTCCTCGTCTGCGCATTGTGCTTGAACATGCTACTACTCGCGCGGCAGTAGAATGCGTGAAAAGCTTAGGACACACAGTCGCGTGCACTATCACTGCCCATCACCTTGCGATGACGGTTGATGACTGGGCCGGTCAATCTTGGAACTATTGTAAGCCAGTAGCCAAATATCCAGACGACAGACAAGCCTTGCGGGATGTCATCAAAGAAGGTGCATCTCAACATTGCAATGCTATTCAGAAGTGCATCCGATGTTTTCTTTTATCCAGGTCATCCTCGCTTCTTCCTTGGCTCTGACTCCGCTCCGCATGCTCCCAACACGAAGTCTACCGCTTCTCCTCTTCATCCCTGCGCTGCCGGCGTGTACACTTCACCTATCCTGCTGCCTCTAGTAGCGCATCTCTTGGAGTCGTTCGGTGCGCTGAAACGTCTTGAAGAATTCGTCAGTGCGAACGGGCGCGCATTCTATGGCGTACCTGTTCCCGATGGTGATAGCCAGGTAATGTTGCAGAAGGTACAAGGCAATGTGATTGAGGAGAAATGGGTCCTTGGGAAGCAAAGTGTTGTTCCTTTTTGGGCGGGGAGACCTCTTGACTGGAAGATTGTGGCTGAATAGATGCCGAGAAGTACAAACAGACTGTAACGTGTTAACCATCAACTTAGGATATTGCTTGCGAGGATAATCGTTCAAATCCAAGATCTAGGATCCACACCGGGTAAGCTTGAATGTCGATTTGGATCCATGTTCCAGGTATAGCGTTCACGTCCGTAGAAGTGCGGAATACCTGGTGGGTAATTCCTTCTCTTTGCTTAGAATTCATCGATTCTTCCGTTTTGTGGACATCACTCCTTAGTGTCGTGACCTCGGTCATCAACTGATCAAGTACGGGTGAGGGTAAAAGTGTGTTGTCCTCGTTCTCCGAAGTAACTTACAAGTTCTCGTGTCAGTCCCCTCAGGGACAGACGAGGAGCAGCCTGGTCGTATCACGATGTCGGCTTCGGCGCAGTTCCTTGACCCTCCGCGACTCCCCTTGCCGACGGAGCCAAATGGCAGATTGTTGTCCAAGCTCGACCGTTCAAAATATCCCTTCTCTTAGATTTGACATCTAGAGATGTCATCACTCCTTTTGTATATTATTCGTAAACTGTGAACCAACCTAGACACCAGGATCTGGACTCGGAAGTGCAGCTGTAGTTGAACTTGGTTTGCGCGGACTGCCAGCGTACATGCTACAGGAATGTGTTCATATGGGTTACTCACCCACAATCGAGAACATGGCCGCTATGTACCGACGGCGCTGGGCGCGATTTACTGACGCACATGCTCAACGTCTGTATAATGAGAAGTAGTTCGTGGTTCACAAAGCAACACGATAGCTGAATTCACCGAAGAATAAAATACATCCCATTGAACTACTGCGACAAACGAGACCGGAAATGTGGTATGTGCTCCGACAAAGTCTCATACGTATGGAGGCGGAGAGCCAGTGTCAGCATCATCCTGTAGTGTGCGCCCTGAAGCATCATCCCATGCCTGCGTGGTGGGAGGAGATGCTGGTGGGAGAGATGCTCGCCGACGAGCTGCCGCTTCGATGGCCTCTCGCGTTTCTCTTTCTCTTCGCGCCTGCAGGGCCCTGGATCTCCGATCATCCAAAAATGCCTGTTTAATCTGTAGAGAAGCATAACGATTATATCATGAGAACGAGTGGATTCGCGGCTGAGCAATGGGAGCAGAAATGAGACATTACATTCGCCACAGCAGCTTCACTGGCTGCCTTCTCGGCCTCTCGCGCGTGTCTGGCGCGTTCCTCCTTCGGGAGCTCACGCTCCAATGCTTCCTCGAGCATTGCGGAGCCGATGCGAAGATCGGACATGTGTCGCGGGTTGAACATGTAGTACGGTTGGAAGTTCTCGACCTACGAGGGGAACTAATTTAGCACCATGCCTGTCACGGTTAGCCACGTACTGCGCAATAAGTACCTTAGGATGAAAACCAAGCTAGAGTATATCATATTCAGTATGACTCGTCTAGCATGATTGCTTTGAGTACTTACGGCTACAGCGTACTCCAGAGTGCCTTTGGGCTCCACCAGGAGGTGCTTGATTTTGGAATTTGTAGGCTTAAACTTGTAGTACTTCTCGTCATTCGGGTGCTTGATAATATTATCTGCGAGCTGCTTGAGAGTCTGTAAACGCAGATGTCACACAAGCGTCCTCCAGAGAAGAGTGAAATAACACAACTTGCAACGCTTCTAGTGCGATCTCCCGCGCGTTCGGCCTCAGGATGCCTGGGTCGATGAGACGGCGGAACTCCTGTCTCTTCTCGTGGTTATGGTCAAAAGACGTGTGCAGATGTTCCGCAGGAGGTGACTGAAGACGTTCTTGACGAATCCTGCGTTCGACCGCAGCCGCCACAGCTTCAGGATTTGGCGGCATTGCATCGGGAGTAGTGCCAGCGGGAACATCCAGGGGAGACAGGTCATCGAAGTACATCGCGGATACCTCGTGTATACGCTTCGCAGACCAATGGTAAGTTTCAGATTCTGTAGAAGGCTTGCTCGATGCTGCTTAAGAGGGGAGCCAGTCGAGGTCTAGAATCAACACCAAGGACCTCCTAGAGCGTCCTAGTGGCCGCTCACGTTATTCAGTCACGCACGTCTCTGCAATAACTACATGATTAGGAAGATTATAGTTATTGTACAGGTTCCAGTACATTCCGCTATAACGAAGGACAAGTCTGCCAGAGTGGATAACAACTGCAGGGGATATACATATGATAGAACAAAGGAAGGGAAGGACCACAAAACGCACTAAAGGCTACAACTCGCGGTAAAACGAATGAATGATGGTCAATAAAGATGCTCAATGGTCATCGCTTTCTTCGTCGGAGAGTCCCTGGTCTGGTCGTATGTCCAGCAGCGATGAAACACGACTACGTCGCAGTGATATCACGGAAAGCTCGTCGTCGGATGAGCTGTCCCCGGAGTAGGACGGGTCCAACAACGAATCCTGGTGCGAGTCCGAAGTAGCCAACCTGCTATTTCGGCGCAACGATGCGAACGGTGAGAAGGTTGACGACAGGGAGCCTGTACGTAGTCTCTTGAAGAATCCGGCTGCGCTATTGGCACTGAGAGGAGGCTGAGGAGCAGGGTGAGGCGGGGTGTTCGACGCGGTACTTGTCGGGGGCGGAGGATCGGGAGTGGCACCGCCGAAGTCACCCTCCTCCAAGACATCTCTCTCGTCATGATGCGACGTGTTCGTCACCCACTGGCGGCGGCGCACAGAAGAGCGACGACAATCTTGAGATCTCGCAGGAGGATGGGTTCGGAGATAGTGTTCGTCTTTCAACGATCCGTTGAGGTATGCTGCTTCAGCATCGGAATCAATTGGTATAGGCCCCTCAGATGTTGTCAAAGTGATAGGCGGAGTAAATACGGGTGGGGTGAAGTTAGCGAAGAGTTTCGTATCTGCGCTTGGTAGGGGATCACGCTCCTGCAGTTCTGCGGTCCTCAGGGTAGATCGCTCCTGGCCGTGGGCACGCGTAGCTCTGCGGACTGCCTGCCTGCCAAGTATGATCTGCTTCTCGAGCCGGTATCTGTTCTCGAAGATGTGCAGCTAGAGATAAACCGATGAGTGAGGTACAACGTCAGGATAATTGGCTAGCGTACCTTAGGCCAAGTAACGAGTTGACCAACTTGCAACATTCTGTCCAATTCCACAGGATCAGGATCACTGAGGATACGGAGCCAATCCTATGATCATCGTCATATGCCAGTACTAGCCAGAAGAGGTTTAAGAGGGTACCAACTTTGAATATTGTGCGAGGCCAAATTCTGTTATTCGACACTGAGTGCAAGCTCACGAAGGGTTGTATAACAACGTACGTAACAGTTCCATCAAACCTCTGCAGGAACACACTGGACCAGTCCTGGCCCAGTAACTCAGGCAATAAATCAAGATCACGAATCAACTACAATGTGACAGCCAACCTTCAGAAGAGAATGACGTCATGAAGCTAACGTATGTACCTTGAAGTTCTTGGTGAGCTCGAGTTTCAACCATTGTTCGGCCGCAGATAGCACGAAATTGCCCCTCCAGCCTGACATGAACTGATGAGAGATGTCAAGTTAAGACACACTCATGCACCGACCTTTCCCTTTGCGATGCGCAACCGGCTTGCCGGCAGATCCTCGCGGGGCAAAGAAGAACAAGTGTACATGAGGGTTAACCTGCGACACCACCGGATGGGTGACTGCCAACGATAATACCATCAGTGAGCACGTAAGAAGGTCATTAACGATGACGTACCATTGAAATACAGATTGAGCGATTGGACAGGAATGTCAACTCTACAAATGAGTAGATGTGAGTAAGGCACAATTCCGAGTGAAGTTGTGTCCCAACCTCAAGGAGCCGTCCTTAAACTTGCTACCCCAACTCCAAGGTACGATGGTACCATCCTTGAGCTTCTCCATTAAGACAACAGGGTTCAATATGCCAGGGACCGCAGCAGACGCGAGCAACGCGCTCCAAATCACTGTATCCGGCGCCGTGATATAGTTCAGTAGCTTGGTGGGACTGAAGAAATAGATCAACACACGAAACAATAATCTGTGGAAAAAGGGAACTTACGAGTGACGTTCAGCAGGAATTACAGATATGTTCAATATGCGTCCTGTCCGCATATATGCCTCTTTGAATGTCGTCGAACCGCGAGTGAAGAAGCAAGCCTAGCAGCCGCAAATCAGAAGCACACAAAGTGACCGTCACGACATGCACACCTTTCTCGCCCAAAGAACGCTGTCGAATCGCGCTCCAGTGGTCCAGAAACGCTTGTACCACAGATGGAATGGTTCCTCGAAGGCGGTGATGCGGTTGGCAAGATCAGGCACGAGCAAGTGTTTAAGTTCAGTATCTGTACGCGTGCAAACTAATGCTGCCACCAGGCCGCCAGCGGAAGTACCTGAAATGACGCGAGGAAGCAGATCCGCATCCAAGAATGCTTTCACGACGCCGAAATGGTCTAAAATTTTCGTGAGCAAGTCAGCGTAAATAGAAAGACAATGCTGAGGACTGACAATAGCCAAAAGATGCGCCACCAGACAGACAAAGCGCAGATGTTCCGAGGTTTGTGTTAGCGCTCTTGAAAAACCGTTTCTTCTCCTCAAGGGATAAGTCAGGTGTGTCGCGAACGTATTCGATAGCTTTCTCCTGCTCGGTAATATAGGCTGGGCAAAGCGCTCAGCAAGACACAATTGAACGGAGAGATGGATGCTTACACTCAATTAAATCCTTCGTGCCGTAGAATGTCTACAGTAGGAGGAAACTCAGTTTTATCATAGCAGTCAGTGAAGACGGGCGCTGACTTCGCTGTATAATCTAGAAGAAATTCAGAAGAGCCGATCATTTTTCTCCAGTATCAACACCTACCTCGCCGACTCTACACCCGCAAAATTGGTACGAATACTCGTTTCCAAAACGCCAAGAACACCTCTCGCGTCCTTCTTCTCTCTCAGGTTTCTTAATGACCGACGAACCTATCGGATACGATATCATCAATGTGGAGGTTATCGCCAATAGGTCGAAAGTTTACGACTGAACCTCACCTTTCTTACCAGCTTCCAGTCATAATACGGGTCTTCGTCTGTGGTCTTCCATTCGTCAAAATGGAGATACTCATCAAGAACTAAAGCCGCATCTTTCCATTCCTAAGGACAAATATCAATGCAGGTTTCAGATGTACTGAGTTGCATAATCTACTTGGTAAGTCTTGGCACTGCGAAGCCGTTTGCGTAGGATGCCCTTGCGTCCACGCCCTGAGCACATGATAAACAGCTGTGGGGCTCCATATATAAATCTACTCACATGCTGATAACCACTCCTTCGCATTGACGAGCTGTCGGATGAGAATGTATAGGCTAAATTGCACGGCCATGATGAGAAAAATGATAGCCTAAGGAAATGCTATGAGTGCTACCACCACCAGTGCAGATGCAGTAGGCATCTCACCAACAGTGGCCACCGCAAAACAAGGAAGAGCCATTCCTGCCTCTTCTGCTGCGGTTTACCGGTCCTCTTCCGTCTGGGGTGACATGCAGTTAGTAGCGCATATATCGCATGAAAATGTTCTACGCGGACTTCTTTACTTTCAAATTCACGGGTGCGAAGTCTGACAGCGCGGAGACCTTGCGCACTCGCGGTCCAGTAGGTGTGAACACCGTGGGCGAGAGGCCGGGGCTTGTTGGCTCGGGATGATCAAGTGGAGTAATGTCCTCTGCTTGTAAAGCCTCTGCAAATGATTTAATGTGTCTGAACACGATTGAGTGACAGAATCGACCAACCGGAGTAGGAGTTACTCACGATTCATTAACGTAGTCAGCGTCAAGCTCCCACGATGAGCTCCGTTCTCTTTGGGGTGGTATGCTGTGCGATTTGCTTCTAGACATTCAACGTCGAATTAAGATTATAGTGTATTTTGACAAAATGATCGAAGGTGTGCCAACAGCGGTAAACGCTGTCTGCAACGATAGTCAAGATTCTGTCGGGCTTGGTCTGAGCTGTTCTGGAGCAAAGTGCAAAACGACAATTCCAGAGCGGCGCATCGACGTTACATGGTGGCGTGATGTCACGCTGCCACGTGATATCTGCCATCGGGCGCGTCGCGTTGCGTCGGCACCTCTCGATGGACTCCCTAAATTTGTCTGCCTTTAATGTTCGATGTCCGCCGGACTCATGATCACGCCGCCCAAGTCCTCTCGCCCAGTGAAAAACGCATATTCCAAGAACGAACCAAGACGCACCAGATCGCGGCTTGACTTGGACTATCGCAAGCGGTCGAACCAGATCTCACCTGGTCGAACACGTGCGAGACATCCTGTGATTTGACGCGTCGATCCTGTACCATGTCCCGTCTGAATTGCACTTTGCTCGACGTAAGGCCGCCATCTGTCGAATTTTGCCTGCACGCGTGTCTCGATTAGCTATATACTATATGTTGTACCTGTGCCCAGTGTACTTGCACTTATATCATCTCTTTGCACCCACGCCGAGCTCATCATGTGACAGAGACATGGACGCGTCACCGTACTGGCATGTCGCCACCACGTCTGCGCTCTTGTCCTCCTGCATCCAGTCGCTCTGACCTCCAGAGCACGATGCTTATTATACCGGCCGATTACTCTCACTCAAGCTCATCCAACAGCTCCATGAGAGCACCCACCCCTCGCGTACTAAAGACACCGCCGCGGGCGAAGACGATGCAGCGGTAAGCTCGAGCTTCAAGAAGCCCATCGTCAAGGCACCGCCGAAAGCGTGCACACTGCAAGCTCGAGACACCGATTTTATATGCAGCCGAAGACACCGTCGAGAAGTGGCTCAACAGCCTTCTCTGCCTCAATGTGACGGTCATGCCACGCTCGAGTGCGCACAGCTGCCCGCACCCCACACAGTGCGAACTGTTCTACATCTCATTCCCTGTCTAATCTCGCAGCAGTTCCGGGAGAACAAGTTTGCACTGCTTTCTGGTGCACGTGTGGTGCGCATTGCGACACATCCGGACTATGTGAATGTGTGTTCGTCTTCCTGACTGTAATCCTCTGATGTGCCCCTATTGACGAGGTACGGCGACAGTTTCTGTGTCAGGCATCCAGGCACCTGAAATGTCCTTAAATTTACTTATCAGATGGTCGAGAGACCCCCTCTGGTGTACTTGCAGCGTTGCTGCTGATTACGGTAGTAAGTACTGCCTACGTGCAAGTGTGGATCATGTTATGCTAATCTTCCGATAAGAAGGCGATCCGATACTATCCACATTCGTTGAGATCCCCATGATCTTTCCATCTGCGCCTTCAATTGGGGGGCACTGACTAGCCCCTCAATCTCAAGCGGCTGGGCGCGGTACGCGTGCCGCATTCCAGGCTCCAAAGCCAAACGAAGACATCCGAGCAGTCCCGTCCGCGCGCCGCATTCGCCGATTCGCGACCCTGGCGCGCACGATAGACATGACCCGCATCGAGAAGTTGAGAAGTGGGGGGATGGGGCAAGTTAGGATGACCAGGTGAGTACAAGGATGTGGATGCGGACACGGCACGTCGACTTCTGGCGCATATACCGGGAAATCCGGGGTCAGAGGATCGATATTTGGGCGCGCGGGCGGGGGGCACATGGACCGAGCGAGGACCGAGCGCACCGAGGCGATCGTCTCGCACTGCGAGAGGTTCGTTTGCGGCGTCCAAAACCCCCCGCCCCCTGTAGCAGGCTCCGCGGTCACACATCTCTCTTCCGACGACCCCGACTAACGAGCTCGCCGGGCCTTTATGCACACTTCGAGCGCGAGAAGCCGTCTGGACGACCTCGACTATCCAGTCAGCCTGAGCGTGAACAGCTGCGCTTGCACCGACTTTCTAGCGGACCTCTCTACCTTATCTCATTCTTTATCTATGCTATGACACATATTCACTAACTCTACTTATATTACAGGTGTTGGGCAGCATCCAGGTGTGAAAACGGGGACGACGGCGAACACAGGGAGTGCGGATGTGTGCGGTTGCGCGCCAGTGCGCGGGTGCGTGCGCGGGCAGGGGGATGGGCGCGCGCGTGCGTGCAGGGGTGCGTAGGTGCAGGGGTGCGTAGGTGCGAGGGCGGGGGTACGGGCAGGAGCGGGGGCGGGGGCGGGGGCGGGAACGGGGGCGGGGGCGCAGGCAGGGGTGGGAGCGGGGGCGGGGGTGTGAGCGGAGCAGGTCGAAGTAGATCGCGCGATGTCGCAGGAGCTCGCACGACGGCGAGGGTGCTCACACGACGTCGAGTGTAGTCACAGTGTATTAAATCACGACAATACAATTATTATACAGCAGCTTAATATTCGACTAGATGCGAAATGCCTCGATTCTCCCGCTTGGCACTGTGCTAGCCTGCAACCACGTTTGATTGGGCTCGCGCAAGATCGCATATAGTCCAAATTTTCGCGGCTGGTCGCAGCTGGTCACAGCCACGACCTCGTGCGACTTGCTGCGATCTCACAATACGCGTTTTCCACTGGGCCTCTCGTGTAGCGCCGTCAGACGGTGCGATCATGCAGATTCGTGATGGTCTTGTTCTGATCAACTCACGAACCATTCCTCTAGAACCTTGGATACTAAGAGTCAGATGTTTGTGAGACTATATCCATGCCAGTGCACCACCGTGTGCCTGGAGTGATTCTGGCAATGGCATACATAGCTTCATCTCCACCTCGGAAGAAACGCGGGCTCCACAAGCAGCTGATGAGGCACTTCCACTGATGAAGTGCGATAAGACGGTGCGCGCAGCAGCTGGGCCGGTCGATTATCGATCCATCCTCCTTTATTCCAGTCTCGTCGTAGTGATTGTCACCCCGTGGGCTGAGCTGGGGTGCATGGATGTTGGCACTCTCCAGGTCTCCGAGGTTATCGAAACGCAATCCAAGACATGTTTCTCGCGCTCCTCATTCGTAAGAGTGAGCTTCGGTATAGATTGACGGGTATTCGTTCCGGGAATGCGGTGAAGGGACGCCGAGTTCTCTACACCGGAATGCTATGCGCAGCTCACCGCACCATGGTCGGGTGGATCCGAATCAGAACGAGGTTGCGATGTCATCTCCAATCTCCCCGAATGATCGAGTTGTTGCACTAGGTCTATTTATGGAACCTGACATAAGGTGTGCCCTCCAACGCCCAGCTATAAAGAGCCCTATCCCGTTGCACTGTTCCCCTTCACATTCCTCCTCTTAACTTCATCCTCGCATACACAGACAACATGGGCTGGTTCTCTGACGACTCTGATCAGGCTGGTGCTTACGACCAGGTCTGTCGCAGTCGTTTGTCCCGATCAATGTGGAAATGCTTACGGTTGTCGTCGTCACCACAGGTAGTGAACGCCCCTCACAAGGCTGAGCTATCTCACGAGCTGATCGCTGGTGCTGCCTCTTACGAGGTGAGGCCTTCCCCTATCCAAGGTCATTGTTACTCACTAACACCCTTCGTGAAGGCCGCGAAGGCCTACGAGAGGCACTGCGCCGCCAACGGCCAGCCCGCGTCTCACAGTGAGGCTAAAGAGCTTGTGTATGTTTCACCCGACAATTTACCCGCTCACTGCTCACCAACTCATTTATAGCGCTGGTTTTGCTGGTGCCTTCGTTGACCGCATGGCTGAGTCCAAGGGTGTACGCATTTGTCTCCTTTCAGCTTGAATACACTGAATGATCTGTGTTTTATCCCTCTTCAGCTCGACTTCATTGACCGCGAGAAGGCCAAGCGTCAGGGTTAGTTTCGCCCTCCCCCGAATAGTGCGAATTTACTGAGCTGACATCTAATCTTTCTGCAGCTCAAGCGCAGTACAGCGACAATCTCTCTCAGGACTACAGTGGCCAGTACTAAGCGCGCTTATGGAGTGTGAGACAGAAGTGTAATTGCTTGTTTTTGATATACTGTGAAATGAATTTGATTGCAATGCATGATCCATCCGCCCTGGGATCTGATAAGAATCAGCTCATTCATTTGTCGCGCTCTACATGTCAACCTTCCTCAGGCTGGGCGCCATGCTTATGATACATAAAAAACCAGTGATAGTATAACTTACATCAACAATCCCGTCGTATGGCAAACGTTATTGCGCCTTGCTGAACCACTTCTTCAAATTCGTCTGGCCCATCGTTTCGACGGCTCGCTTCACGTCCACTCTGTCAAGGGCAGACCTATACATGACGAACTGCTTTGCCGTGCCCGCTGAAGGCGCCGAGACTGCTATAAGCACCCGCAGGGAAACGAGCCGCTCGAAGGCCTAGAGAGTGCACCATTTAGCCTTATCCGTGACAATCGACACGCGTTGAGATGACACGTACACCCATGAGCACCTCTCGGCTGCATCGTACCATGCCTATGCCGCCGCCTTCGACCTGGACCGGGGCGGACTGCGATGTGCGAACGTGGTCGCGGAAGCATTCGTGCAGCATCTCGAACGTGAATGTGTCGTGCCCTGATGTTGGAGCGTGCACCGAGGCGATGAGCAGGCATATTGCAGGATAGGGCAATGCTGAGTGGTATGCGTCAGTAGGATAAATTGAAGGGAGTAAGTGAAGAAGGCTCACAGGATAGGAAGGGGAACCGGGAGGGGCACCGCTGGATGGCTACAGAAGCAGCAAGCTTAGACGGCGAGAGATGCGGCGTCGCAGGCGTGAGTTCAAGTACTGAGTTCACCTATGTGTTGAGAAAATCAGACCCGAGATGCATGCACGTGTGGAGGGTGCCGAACTGCTCACGAGTATGCGACGGAGTATGTGCACGTCCCGGGTCAGTGCAAATGTCTCTTCAAAAATTCTGATCACCGTCTCGTCGCTCAGGAAAGTGTGGACACATTGCGCCCATAGCGACGGCCACTGGCCATTTACATCTATCTCAACCGGCGCGCACAAAACTGCTTGCGCGAGAGCCATCCAGTAAGAAACTCTACTGGGACAAGCCGTCCGCAGCATTCTCCCGGAGAAGCGGCTCTTCACCCGTTTCTCGAGGAGATTGATTGTATCGACGCGAGTTGTCACGCCAATGACTGCGACGCCTTTGTTTGCTTTGCTAGCCCTACAGCTCTGCACCGTGTCAAGGAGACAATACAAGAGTGACTGACGAGCATGTGTCGCAAACAGATCGAACGCGTCGATGATGATGACAGTAGGGCGAGAAAGAGTGGGAATGACGGATATAAGAGCTAGCAGATGCGCAGGAGGCGGGAGAGTAATCGTGGTATCTGCGGTATCGATAAAGGGATTCTCTGGATCCTCGTCGGCGTCTTTCTCTGCATCCGCAGGGAGGAGAGAGTTGCCGGTCTGAGAGGCAAGTTGTCGAGCGATCTCGCGTATAGCAAGGCGATCGTTGTGTTGTGCGTATCCAGACAGACATATGACAATAGGCATGTCCGGAAGAGAAGAAATGGCCAGCTCAACTAACTGCAAACAAGATAATTCAGAAGACAATCCTCGGCTCCTGGAGGTGCTTACTCGTGTCTTCCCACTGCCACGCGGTCCAATCACTAGACAACTATTTCCCTCTCCACGTAGTGCAGTGCCCTTGAGGAGGTCACTGAGCTGTTCGTACGCGATCTGAGTTGTGGAGGGACCGTCCTCGTCGACCGCGGCATCTTCAACTTCTACATGTGGCAAGGTCTGAAGCGACTCTAATATCGATCGCTTTTGCCTGTCCAGAGACGCGTGGAGATATGCAGGAAGAATGTGCGGCAGGCGACTGAGTGAAGCGTGGGAGGCGGCGGCTGCCTTTTGTTTCGGTGTTGTGGACGCTGATGCGGTGGACGATGTGTCAACCTTTCGAGGGCACGTTGTCCGGGAATGTGGACTGGATTCAGGATGTACTAACAGCTTGGCCTGGGAGATTACAGCCTCTGGAGATCCATACAATGTTTGATTAGTTCTGCGCTTGGACGGTGACGACGGGGACGGCGAGGCGCGTCTTGTTGGAGTGTGCGGTGCAGCAGGAATTGCTGCATGTGGCTCACGTTGAAGGCGTTGGGCTTGTGCTCGCGAGAGGCTAGGCGCAGGGGAGGCATTATCCTTCGTCGGCAACCTTGAAAGCCTCCTTGGAGTCACTATCTCGACTGCCTCAAATAATAGACGACGTGCGGCTCCCCGAGGGGTAAATACTCTAGTCGGCGTCACTGGTCTTGCAGGGAGTTTCCTGGAAGGTGTCAAGAGTAGCTCGTCTGCGTCGTCTGCGTCGTCTGCATCGCTCTCCGCAAGTGCATCCGCCACAAGACCACGAGCGCGGTGTGGGCGAGGAAGAGGTGATCGTTCTCTGCTCTCCACTGTTTGTGGTGGAGCTATTGGGGCATGAGGATGTCCGCGCGTTGACCTCCTCAACGTCGGAGAAGGGATGACCGGTAATTCGTGAGTCTTACGGAGTTTCCGTTTCGCAGGCACGGCAAGATCTGGTGCTGCAGAACTTGTTGCCTTGCGTTTAGGCGGCATACTTGGCTTCTATGACAACCGATGAGCAGGGTACTAGAAGTAAATGAGAGGGTCGGTATCATGATACGAAAGTGGCTGCGGTTGGTGGACGTGTCACGCGACGCGAGATGTCACTAGCTGTCACTTTGTCACAGCGCGTCTGTCAAGTTTTGACCTAGTGCCGCTACACCTATAGTTAGAGTGCCTCAAGTTTCAGAATTGACCCATCTTCAAGTTGCCTTCCAGTTGTGCGATCCCTATCACGATGGGATTTACTGGGTGCGGTGTGAATCTTTATCACTATCCTATGTTTATGTTTGAGAACCGTCCCACCAGACTCGCGCGATGGATCAACGCGCCTACTACTGGCATTGACCTCATAGCTCAGAATATCTTGCTGAACCATCAAGTTCGTCTGTCTTCACCGAGCACAGGCTGTCGTTTAAGGATGAGTCTGTTACCCAGGGACAATATCGTGGCAAATGGCATCTGAGTGTCAAGTCGTACCGCTCAACCCTCGGGAACACTCAAGGATATCAGATACCCTCCGAACGGTCAATGTGTACTCTCACTATGAATGGTATGTTCCGGCCCTGGCACATTGTCCGTTGAATGGTGCAACCATAGATAACTCGATAGAGAATGTATTTGTTCTCCTTGAAGACCCCGCTGCGCCCACACGAGCCGACTTGCAACAGATGCCAGATGTTTCCCCCCATGCCTACTCGCACTACCGTAATACTTTTTTGACACTGAGTCCTCCCGGTGCTCTTGAGCAATTACTTGCACAACTGCGAGCGCGATGGGTATCAGTGCGACAATCTACTGGGGCAGGACAGAAAGGTCAAGGAACAGGCCAACAACTTGTGATTGACGGGAAAATCTATTCAATCGGCCGGGACTGGATAGTCCGCGCTGGTAATGTAATTCTCGCTGGAGGTGCAGTGAAAGGAATGCTCCTTGAGGTACGTTGTCGTGTGGCCGTTTTGTCCCCGTCGTGTCTAAGTTTCGTATCTTCCAGGCTGAATATCTCCCACTGCCTGTCCTACATACACAAACAGCGGATGGGACGTCTGAATTACTGTCAAATTTGTTACTATCAGTTCTTCCAAATATCCCAGACGCTAAAACCGCCGCAGTGACCATCAGCGATTCGCAGTGGGAGGAAGTCCTTTGGGATAGAGAAGAGGAGGAGCAAATGGAGGCCGAGAAGGACAAGGGCTCTGTGGACGACATCTACGTCTCAGAGGATATGCCGGCAGATCGAAAAGGAGATTGGGTCGGTGTGGATAGAGACCGACGTTCGGCGTACTTGATCATTGGAGCCCTCAGATCCGAGGGCATACTCTGACCATACTATTAGTACGCATAATGCATGTCTTCTCTTGAGCTGTTTTACATCGTAACATGCTAGTCTCCCAAAGGCAGTTGTAGATACTCTGCTTCAACCTTCGTGACTCAGGATATCCGTATCTGACTGCCGCCGGCGAACATGCTGTCGATGTATCTATTGTGAAGGACCATCAGAGTACTAGTGCTCTGACTCGCGAGTCGAGAGCGTCGATATACAGTATATATATACCCGCCGTATTAAACAACTTGGACGGCTTTTATGGCGTGCAAGACGGTATGATTATTTGGGCCGCAAATCATGTAGGGAACATCAAGCAAACGCAAGGCACAGTGGGATTTCCCTGGAACGACGTCGACGCTGATGCCAAGTTTTACATCGGTCGGTGACTCGCATAGCTTAGACTAATAAACTGGGGGTGACGCTGAAAGACTCCACGGAATGACTCGAACTGTCTCAGGCCCTGGCTTTACGACGCTTCATGCACCTGAAGTTGGCTTTGAATAATGGTGCCTCCTCATCGTTGTTCTCTCCATCAAGTTCTGCAAGGATGATGCTCGCAGGCTCTTCCGTTAGGATACTGCCGAGGCGTGCAGGCTACGCTGGCGCTTATTCGATCTCTACTGCAGTTCAGTTCTATCAGAATCGACAACTGGAGCTCTATGCGGCGAAAGAAGCGCAGCGGTTGACTCTCAGGCAGCTGGTGCGGAGGTCCCCAGGCAAAGTCATTGATGCGTGTAATGTCGTCCCCGCCAGGTTTTCTTCGGTCGTTGCATGAACGATGAGCGTCTGATCAAGGTGTGTTGGCCGTGTTCTGACCAGTAGTGCGAAGACCGATATTCGAGTATCGAGAGTGCAAACTACGTGCGAACTGAGTTGTCAGTTCGCATCGCCCATAGGCTGCGGGACATGCAGTCTCTGCCATACGTGGTTGTTAACCAGGAGGGTGTAACAAAAGTCTATGAAGTGAGTTATCCCGCCCTTCTAGTTCCCCACGGATGAGATCATGTTTTGCTTTGATCCAGTTGTACTGGACTGCATTTGACAAGTATGTCGTTCATTCGTCGTTGTGCGTACTCTGCGCACCAATGCCCGCCTTCGCAGATTCCGGCGATACCCTCCTATCAATACCCTCGCAGAGAACGATGCCTTCTGTGTGTTTCTTCGCAATCTTCTTGATGAACAGTCAGGACGCTTTGTTCGCTGTCTCTTCATGAGCTCACCCGGCGGTGCACAGTAAGACCGCCATCCCAAATCTCTCGCTAGGCTTGTCGCTCTCTTCGCCTTACCTTGCGCCAGATCGTTTGGATTCCTTTATGCGCCGAATGCTCAGCTCACGGATATCACGCCGAGTTCTTGCGGAACACCACATCGCACTGTCCAAGTCCGCTTCGCTGAAACGAAACGGAGGACCCTCTTCCCAGGATCATGTTGGGATAATATACACCGGACTCGGTGTAAAGGACAGTATTGATAAGTGCGCGAGAATCCTGCGAAAACGCCCCCACAATATCGACCAAGACTTCGTGGAGAGCGTTGAATCGGATGCTTTGTGGTCCGATGTGATTGTGGACGGTCACGTCGACACTACATTCCCATATATCCGTGAACACCTCGAGTAAGCGTCATGCGTTATCTGTGCCTTTGTGCGGGTGAGCTCACAGTGTCGTCTCCCACAAGGTACATCGTGTTTGAGTTGTTGAAGAACGTATGTGATGGTTGTACCCGTAGCGACGATTTTGAAATAACACCTGCCAGTCGTTTCGTGCAACCCGTATCAAACATTCAAATGTTCATCAACTGCCTCCAATACGCGCCACTGTCGTCGCTGGCAAAAACGACGTGTGCATCCGCATATCAGATCAAGGTTCGTGTCGTTTTTGACTCTAACGATCTATTCCCTTAACGTCCTTGTATTTGCTGTTTTGGCAGGGGGTGGTCTGCTGACACCGGAAATTAAGTCGCCATCTGATCTCTTCTCGTTTTCGCACATTCGAAATGCTACTCGTCTAGAAGACGCCCGCCTAGGGGCGCTTCGCACCGTCAGTAGCAGCAGGCGTGGTATGACTGCTACTGTGGATGAGCAGATCAGCAATTGGCAGCAGGCCAAACAAAACGACGAGTCAGAGGAGGATATCGGTGACGGTCCACATCCTAGACTCGGTATTGGACTTCCCATGAGCAACACCTTCGCAACGTGAGATTCTTCCGACATTTTGCACTGATTGCTTAGTGTGTTGTTCTCTAGCTACTTTGGTGGATCGTTGGAGCTCGTCAGTCTGGATGGATATGGTGCGTGTGGTTACTGCCTACCCGTACCGGTGTCGTGTGTTGATGCTGGACCTCGCAGGGACCGATGTGTACCTTCGCCTACCGAAACTGGTGAGTGAATTGCGCACAGCTTTCGCGTCATTGTCTCTGAGCCTTCTCAGGGAACGAACTTGGAAGGTATTGAAGTATGACAATTTGTCGCAATGAGGACTGGCTAGTACAATGTCCATGGTGCTGTTTTGTTTAATATAATCACGTACATTCACCTCACTGTAGTTCTTAGCGCTCACTAATGATTCCAACTGATCAATTGCATTTCTGCGTCTCCGAAAAGCAGTGATTAGTATTGAGATCAATGCTTCATGTAGTGGCGAGTGTACAGTTTTCTGTTGTGAAGTGATCGAAGTCGGAAGTGGTCATTTCGGGTTCTGCACCTAGCATCCGCCGATTGGCAACCACTCCCAACAAGCCTCACGCTCAGCCCTCGTCACGTCCGTCCATGCAGTCGGCCCAGTCTTCGTCGAGCGTGAACAGCTCCCAATCTTCCAGCTCTAACTCGAACAACCCCGACTATGTATACTTCGACCGTACTACCGCTGGCTTCTCGGATGACGCTGTTCCTCGCGCGAAAGCTGCCCAACTGAAGTTGGAGCACTTCTACAAAGTCGCCGTTGATGCTGCCATAGAGCGCAACACCAGGTAGCGCAGCAATAGATATACACGTAGTTGCCAGACTGACCCATCCTATGCAGACGCGTAGAACTCGAGAGGAAGCTCGCCGCTGACACGACCATGTCTGATGACCGGAAACAGCGGCAGCTACAGCAGCTCGGAAAGAGGGAGTCCGCGTTTCTACGGCTTCGCAGGACAAAGCTTGGTCTGGATGACTTCCGGACGGTGAAGGTCATCGGGAAAGGTGCATTCGGTGAAGTATGCCTGCCCGGCCAGCGCAGTCTCTGCATGTCGTGACCGCCTGATCCGACAGATCTTTACAGGTTCGTGTGGTACAGAAGACAGACACAGGAAAGATATATGCGATGAAAACACTAAGAAAGGACGAGATGTTGAAAAAGGATCAGGTACGTTTGCTGTTGTGTAAACATCTGCATATGCCGGTACTCAATAGCGCCGCAGCTTGCGCACGTACGCGCGGAACGCGATGTCTTAGCAGAATCCAACTCCCCATGGGTGGTGCAACTGTACTATTCCTTCCAGGACCCTGCGTATCTCTATCTGATCATGGAGTTCTTACCTGGCGGTGACCTGATGACGATGTTAATCAAGTATGATACTTTCACGGAGGATGTCACCCGCTTCTACATCGCGGAGTGTGTGCTGGCCATTGAAGCCGTGCACCACCTCGGATTCATCCATCGGTAAAACCTCTGCGTCATCGTTGAAGACGTTCCACTGACCCGTTGATGCAGTGATATAAAGCCGGACAACATCCTCATTGATCAGTACGGGCACATAAAGCTGTCCGACTTCGGGTTGTCAACCGGCTTTCACAAACAGCACGACTCGAGCTATTACCAGCGTCTGCTGGACTCTGCTAACGGTGTGACCTCTCCGACGACCGCGGCGCGAAACAGTGTCATGGTCAATGCCATCCACCTTACAATGACGAGCAAGGATCAGATTGCGACGTGGAAGGCCAACCGTCGGAAGCTCGTGAGCTCCTCTATCTGTTGGATTGATTTTCTCTCCGCTGAAACAGAATACAGGCATACTCTACCGTCGGTACACCGGATTATATTGCTCCCGAAATCTTCCTGCAGAAAGGTTATGGAGACGAGTGCGACTGGTGGTCGCTCGGCGCAATCATGTTCGAGTGTCTTGTCGGCTATCCTCCCTTCTGCTCTGAAAACACGCATGACACGTACCAGAAGATCATCCAGTGGCAAAACTACCTTATCTTTCCCGATGACGTGCACCTAAGCCGTGAAGCAGAGGACCTCATCAGACGGTTTGTGTTAATTATGCGCTCTACGTCCTCCACAGTTCTGAACATGTGATTTTTCAGCCTCGTCACCTCGCCCGACCGACGATTGAACGTGGAGCAGATGAAACACCATCCGTTCTTCTACGGTGTTAGTTGGGCCGGCATCAGGAACATCGAGGCACCCTTCATTCCTCGCCTGCGTTCAATTACAGATACGTCTTATTTCCCGACGGAAGACCTTGACCAGGTGCCCGACGAGCCTGTTAGTGCAGACACGACTGGCGCAAGCAAGGATTTGGCGTTCTTGGGGTACGTGGTTGCTGCCACCCGTGCGCTCGCTTTCTTATCAATCGTCCCCTGTGTGTGCAGATACACTTTCAAGCGGTTCACGATCTCGTCTCATGCATTCTGAACACTGTACTTGCTACATCTCTGATCTTCGTTTCAATGACATACTCGGGATTATTTGGCTTTTGTAGTTCAGCACACAGCCCTCGCTCGTTGCATTTTCGACTTTCGTGGACTTATCACTGGCAACAAATGGCGTCTGGTCGATATATAGACAGTATAATCATCACCCCGCTCTCAATATCTCAAGTATGCGATTGATGTCGATGCTGGTCCTATTACAACGTGTCTGCCTCTACGACATGCGCTATACAATAGCTCTGGTCGTACATGTTCTGTGCTGTTTATAGTGGACGGATATCAAATTAGTGGTGGAAGTAGCGTGCAGTATGAACAAATCATGACGACGGCCGCGGTGCTCCGCCATTGTGCGTCTGGAGCAGAGGTCTCAACTAAAAGCAAGGTCAAGCAGGGAAAGCAGATTACGCCAGAAAAACGGACGCACCATCTCTCGAAAGATCGGAAGTAACGTCGGGATATGCTGGAGCTCTGGAGGCTTAATGTCCCACCCCTTGCGCTTCTTCGGTGGTTGTGGAGGCTTTGATTTCTCTCGACGCCGCTCGCCCGCTGGTGGCGACCGCCGTGGCAGTGGTGCGGAAGTAGGAGTGCGAACCCTGGAAGGTGTTGGTGGGACGTCTTTATACATGGCAGGAGGGGAGCGAATCAATGGTGTGCCCGGAGCGGATATCGTCCTCGACCGTTGTGGAGGCCTGGGGGTAGGCCTGTTCGAGCCCGACAGTACATCCATAGAAGCTTTGCGATTGGGATACGGTGTCGGGCGTGACAGCTGCGGTAAATGACCGATCGTGATCGTGTGGGAGCGCGCGACGGGTGGACCCTGACGAACTGGTTGCGCAGGACTCTCAGTGGCGTTGCCCTCGGTACTCCCATCGCTCTCGCTCTCATCCTCATCGTCTTCCCCATCGTCTTCGTCTTCGTCATCGTCGTCACCACTGGAACCCGTGCCGGACGACGATTCGTACGAGCTCGAATCATCGTCCTCGTCCGTATCCTCTGCCGCGAGGTCGTCTACATCGCCGTCGACGAGCTCGCCGAAGCTGAGATCCCGCACGACGCCGTTCACGAGCTGTGCGGCCATCTCGTCCTGCGCGTCCGCGTCACTGAGGCCCTGCGTTCGCCCGAATCGCCTGCGCACCTTGTCCTCATAAACGACCTTGAGCTTGTAATGGTACAGCGCGATCTCGTCGACCTCCTTGATGATGTCCGCGCGCTCCTGGCCCGTGTGTGGCAGGAGGAACTCGAGCGACAGCGGCTCACCCAGCCCGTCGCGCATTAGCGTGAGGAAGAGCTCAATCCACTGCATCAGCGCACTGAAGAGACCCTCGCCTTTCGAGTGGACTTTGTGAACGAAATTATAGAATGACTGCTCGTGCCGCTGAATAAGGTTTATGAAAACCTGGACAGTCTGCGCTGGATCCAGTTGGCTCGCTGAACACGGCAAGGCGTGTCAGTATGCATACAACAGGCAAACGCGGCGCGACAGCGACGTACAATCCTCGCACTGCTCCACGGTTCGGATGAGATCATTGATGAAGTTCTGCACGTCACCTAATGAATCCGCTATACTAGCCGCTCTGTAGACTTGCGCCAGAGGGGCATAAAATATTGTGATAATATCCTTGAGCAGCTCAGCAGTAGTGCCCTAAACGAATCAACGGTGAGTCCACATGTGACGAGACCGTGAAGGTTCAAACCTCGAAGATGAGCTCAATCAGCTGCTCGCGGTCCCGCAGGCGTGAGTAGAGCTTCGCTAATACACTAAGATCTTCGAAGAGCCACGCCGCCTCATCCTGCGGGCCCTCATCGTCGTCCGAGTCGGTAAGGGTCTCCGTATATTTGACGTACTCTTTATGCGCGCGGTGTGCATACATCACGCGCTGCATCTGCTGGCGCGTGAGCGCGGGGTCCTCTCGGGAGCGCAGCACCGCAGCGATTATGTGCACGTTCTCCGCAGCTGCGTGAACGGAACATAGGGACGAGGCGTCAATGTCGGCAACGTGTTAAGGAGAGAGGGACGGACCAGCGTCGGCCTTGTACACCGCCTGGATCTCGCGGGGAGCATACACGAAGAGACGGACCTTTTCGCACATCGGGTCGTCGCTGACCTTCACCTTGACTGCATTGATGTCCTCTTCCAGCGCACGCACCTCCTCCATGAGCGAACCCGTGAACATCCTGCCGACAGTGTTAATACCGGCCCAGAATCAGTCACAGTGCATAAACTGCGATTACTCACCGCTGCAGCAGACTGCGGCCGCCAAACGGTTGTGCGAGGAACAGGTCCAGAACACCTGTGAGGATATGGTGAATCCGAGATCTTCGATGAAGCAAAATTATAACGGCCTACCCCGAATCATCCCCATGGGATTGCTAATCTTCAGCGCTGCCTTGAGCATGAAGTACGGTATCATGCCGTGTATACGCTTCAGCCCAGCAAAGCTCTGGGACGCATTATCGGCCGCGACGAAGTGATGGAAGACCGTCGACGCGAGTCTGCCATGAGCCACCGATTAGAGCTTAAAGCAAGCCAGTAGCAAAGGCTGAATACTCACGTTATTCGCGCCCATTCCACGACCGCCTGATAATTCTCAGGCAGCTTATGCACGTCCTCCGTCTGCTTGATCGTGGCGAAGATGCGCGTGAGGCCATCTGTGCAGAGTTGGCACGCGTTCCCCGATTGAATCGCACTACGACGCACCTTTAGCTAGCAGCTCGCCCTTTACGCCCCGCACTGCATCGCGAAGTCCGTCTACTCGCGAGGTGATCTCCTGTGCGAAGCGCTTGCGCCCGTCCTCGCGCACGCTGTCCGCCTCCTCCCGCCGGCGTGCATCCTCGACCTCCTCCGGCGAGAGCTTGGTCGGACTGGAGAGCAGGAATGAGCGCAGGACGGGCGATGACGCGATCTCGGAGGACGCGAGGAGTGTGTGGAGATATGAGCGCAGCGTCAGCCTATTTTTCTCGCGCGCGAGGCGTGACGCCTGCTGGTTCATGCCGCCGGAGGTCGACGTGGAGCTAGTCGGAGGCTGCATGGAGAAGGACGTGGGGCTGAGTGGAGGCTGCATGGAGAACGAGTCGCTGCTCGAGCTGCTACTGGAGCTCGGCAGGTCGTACACCCCGGGCATCCCTTGCACAAGGGGTGCGCGTATTGTGGATGTGGCGGGACTTGTCATCATGGATGGCGGTCCACTGGAGTAGCCGGAGGTAGAGTAGCCGGCGGACAACGGCGGGGAGGCAGAAGGGGATGTGACGGTGACATTTACAAAGGTGCGGTCTTTAGCTGGTGGTGGGGGGATCGTCTCGGAAGGGTGCGCCTTACGGAGTTCGTCGGCCAGCGTTCTGAAGTCACCATACCGCCGTGAAACGAACACGTCGGGGTGGCGAGCGCGTCTAGTGCGTACGATAAACTCCTGCAAGGAGGATGAACATATGCGCTTTTAATGAGAGGATCGACGGCCACACACCTCGTGCACCCTATTTCGTATGCGCCTCTTCTCGGTGACGGTCCTGACACAAACGACGTTCACGTCAAACAGATCTTTGAGTTTTCTTTCCCTGGCAGCGCGCTTCTCTGCAAGCTTTTCGAGTCTAGTAAGATCTGCCTGAGTGAGACGTACGACCTCCTCCGGTTCGACAAGCTTGGTACCACTGGTAGTGAGCATGGCCATGTTCCTCTCGAATTTGGCGAGTATACGAGTGCGGGTAGCGTCTTCGGCATCTTCTGGAGCATCGTCTAAGACGGACGTCGGGGAGAGGTTGCGAGAGAGTATGGAGACCATGAACGGCTGGAGCGTCTCCGGAAAGAAGTCGCGGGGTGCGGCGGCGAGAAAGGGGAAGGTGATGACAAAATGGCGGAACCAATACCGCAGGAGGGGGAGTTCAAGCTGGGGCGCATCTCTGGGAGGTGGGCTGAATGGGGGACCGAGGTAAGAAAAGGTGGATACGTTATTTGTAGGGGCGGCAACGAGAGCATCAAGTTCGCGCTGGAACTGCAAATGGATAAGCTGCTTCTTGAGATAGTGGGCGCGAAGGGGAGTTAGGGTGAAGAGATCGGGAGCTGCAGGGGGGTTCTTGTCTGCGTTGTGGCTGGGAGGGGTGGGCGAGGAGGCAGGGGTGTGGGTAGGGGACGAGGGAGAGGCGTTGATTAGGGACGAGAAAGAGGTGTGGGTAGGGGACGAGAGCGGGGTGACGAAGGGAGAGTCTGGAGGACTGGAGGGCACTGTGAGCAGAGGGACCGATGGAAGGGACTCCGTCGGGGTCGAGTGTGTGGCATCCTCCATCGTTGTGGACGACGAGCAGAGGTGGAGTAGCAGTGAGGACGGTGCCTGTGCGCGCACAGCCGGTAGATGATGATGACGTCAGCGGCTGCGATGGGGCTTTGGGCGCTTGACAGGCTCCTAGTAAAATACAGGGAATATACAAGGGATATGCAGCGAATATACAATGGATATGCTCAGGGCGCATATATGCGCACGCCCCGGTACGTCTTCCCGCCACCGTCGAGCAGCTCCTTCAAGCGGATGGCGACTCCCTTCACGCTCTCTCTGCTCCCATCCGTCTCCTTCCACAGCCCCGCCACCGTCCAGCACTCCGAGCACGACTTGCTCGCCTTGCTGATCGTCTCCACCTCCAGCTCCCCCCGCGCGTGCAGCGCCACCACCACATCGATCAGCCGGCCGAACCCCGTGTGCCAGCTGTTCAGTCCATGCTCCGCGTTCATCGTCGTGTCAGTGATCAGATACGACGATGACAGCCCGAGACAGCGTCGCAGCACTCGCTGGTCGATCGTCCCACCCGTCCGCGTCATTCGTCCGAGCATGTTCACCACGAACACCCCGTAGTCTGTCGGCGGCGATCGAGAGACCGGCGGCGGTCCTGCGGTCGGTGGGCCAGGTAGCGCCAGCAGCTGGTCCCATCCCTGTCTACCACTGTCAACGTCGCGCGCCCGATCCGAGAGCACACCCACCTCTGTATGGGCCTGCGAGTTACTCATTTGTATCGTCCCTGTACATGAAATTAGATATGTGCGCACACCCCTCTTCGCGTGAGCGACTTGCCTACCTATATATGGCCTGTTGGCAGTAGTTTACCTGACAGATTTGGCCAACACGAGGACCACGTATACTGCGTTGTTCGAAAGTCCTGCTCAACGTTGGGCGTGTAGGCCGCTGGACCATAGGCTGGGGGGAAGATAACTGGAACGTTGCCTGGAGATTGCCTGGAGATGAGCCCTGCGCCAAGACTATTGTAATGCGCCAGCCCGCCGGTATCCCGCCCTCTGTGCCTGGCACGTGCTTTTTCACACTGTCCGCCAGCGCGAATCTGTCCCCGCTCACCGTTGTGTCTGACGCCGACGAGCCGTCCAGGAGAAACGAACATGTCCCTCCGTTTTCTCCAGTTTCTCACTCCCCCGCAGCCCGTCACTAGACCCGAGTATGATGGGCTCGAGTTCAGGTGGAGGATGCTCACCTTCCGCCCCGCATGTGCGTACCCCGCATTCTCTTTTGAGTCACTCAGAGATTATATGTCGCGCAGTGTTCAAGCAGGAGGCAGTCATCCTTGCAATTGCCCTCGTGTATATAGCCGCCTATTTCATCGGGAAGAAGATGAATGCAAACAGGGCGAATAAATGGTCGGTCCGTAATCACATCGCAAGCATGACGCATGCTCACTTTACACCAGGTTCAAAGAGCAGCGCTCGATCCTGACAGCACAATTCTCCAGACCATGGCAAAGAGAGGGGCTCATCCAAGGTACTCCCCCTGCTCCTCGTGCTAACCGATGAAAATCCAAGTCTTCTTCAGACGGGAGCTCCGACTTCTTCATTTACTCCACCGGCCGGCGCGCCCTCACCTCGCTGCACACGACACTCTCGCTGCGCCCGCGCCACGATCTCGCTCAAGTCGCGTTTCAATTCGGGCGCGGGCTCATTGAGCTCGACTACAAGCCCTGCGACGAGGTGGAGCTCAATTTCGCTTTCAGAAACACGCCCGGCAAGGAGGGCGTCCCCGACTGCGTTTGGGCCGTCGTCGCCAAGGACCAGATCCGCGGTATCAAGGAGAACCGGTGGGATCTCGTACGTCCCGCATGTCTATCCCTGCAGAATGCGACCGGACCGTGACGCCCCTTGCGTGCTATCCCAGACCTTCACCAAGACGACGGACAACCCGAGCCTCCCGCCCTCGCTCACGGTCATGTCAGGTAAGCCAGCCAGCCACACGTCCCCACACGCGCCCACACCTGCCCGCTCGCCTGCTCAGAAATCGCCGACGTCACGACGAACCTCCTCAAGCCGCTCGGGACGCTCTCGCTCCCCGCAGTGCTCTCCGACCCCGCGCTCCTCCCGTACTTCCGCTCGCTGTCGCTCACCGACCAGCCGCGCACCCGTCCGAAAGCGCCGCCCGTGCCAGGGGCACCGCGAACGCGGCACCTGATCCTCTCGCTCGCCCTGCCCCCGCCGTCCGCCGCACAAGCGGTGCGCCCGCTCATCGCCGCGTCATTCCAGCTCGTCGACGCGATCGCGGGCGAAGGGAAGGTCTTCGGCAGCCGGGGCGGGCTCGCGGCTGCGCTGCGTCCCGAGACGAAGTCGAAGCTGCGCAAGGTGCGGGAGGAGCTCGCGCGCGAGCTCAAGGAGGAGGCGGGGAAAGAGAAGGCGGAGGAGAAGGCGGAGGAAAAGGCTGCCGCAAAGAAGAAGGCAGAGGAGGAGCGGCTGTCGAAGCTGAGTGCCTCGGATCAGAAGAAGGTGCGTGCTGCGTGTGTGGAAGGTAGGCGACGCCCGGTGTTTATGTGTTCTGTCGTTAGGAAATGGAGCGCGAGAAGAAACGGCTCATGCGCAAGACGCAAGGGAAGGTTAAAACGCGGTAGCGCTTCGTTTTCAATCTGCTGTTTTATCTTGGAAGAGGATTTGCGGGCCGACATGCTGGAGGTCCAAAATGATATTATTGCATCTGCATCTACATGTACATGTTGCTTTGCATATACTAAACTTCCTGCATACCAATCATACAAGTATCCTGAAATCGTGCATCCAAAGGCAAGATTATTCGTAAATCATCACAAAGTGTTAGTCCTCACCGCTCCACGAAGGCGAATGTTCTGAGATGGGGGAGACGGTGAAGGAAAGGTGCTCACACTTTCGTCCGCATCCTCTTGCTTCTTGTCGTTCTTGCCCTGCCCCTTGGCATCCTTTGCCGCTGCCTTCGACGCGCCCCCTTTGGCGCCCCAGTAATTAAACAGTCGGAGCACCCACGTCGGTCTTAGGCTCTGATTCTCCACAACATCGACCTCCTCCTCCTCTGCCTCGATATCAACACCTGCCCCAAGTGGGAGGCCCGCCTCATCCTCCGCCTCGCTCTCCGTCCGACCGCGCCTGTCGACCAGCCGTTCCTCCCCGTCCAACGTCCACTGCACCCAATTGAACCGCCCATGTGCACCGCGAATGCCCTGCGGGTGCCGCCTGCCCGTACCGAACGTCTTCTGCCGGAGGGCAAGCACTCGCTGGAGAGGCTGCGCGGCCATGTGCCACAGGTCGTCCACGAGAAACTGCGCTGACTCGTACGCGAGCGTGTTCGTCTCCTGCGTGAGCGCATCCGAGCGCGTGCGCGCGGCCTCGAGCTCCTGCAGCACGTGAGCGCGCTGGCGGAGATCTTCGAGGGCCGGCCGCGCAGACTCGTGGTCCTGCCGCAGGCGCGAGTTTGTGCGCGAGAGCGACGACGTGAGCGCCTCTAGGCACGCGACGACGTTCGCGAGGTGCGCCTCGCGGCGATGCATCACAAGCAGCTGCCCGCAGAGGTCGACGTCGATGCGCATCCGGTCCAGCGGGAGCACCCGCATTCCCTTCAGGTCTAGAGCGTCGTCAAAGCTTCTCCGGCGCTGCAGGCCAAAGGCAATTGGTCTCCGTCTGAAGACATCCTCCGTTGCTGTTTCATCCATGTCGGCACTCAGTTCTTCTGAGGGACCCCAAGAGTCGCTCCTCCCAAGCAGACTTGCATTGGGCTTCCTCCCGTACTGCACATCGTCCTCATCTAACAAGTCTCTCGCACTGACAGGGTCTGACCAGCTGATGATACGCGACTGAAACATTGCTTTCGTAGAAGGCCGCTTCTGGTTGAATTCGGTGACGCGTCGATCATATTCGGAGAGTTCGCTGACTGAACTCTCGGCAGGACCGAGCGAGCGAAAGCCGTACAGAGAAGGATTGGCAACAGTGGGCTCAGCTGCGTAGTAGCGATCAGAAACGAGTACACGACCGCGACAAAGTAGTTGGATGCTCACATACTGGGGAGACCTGTCCGCTACTCAATATCTCGTCTTCGTCAGCTTCACTAGGGGAGTACAAGAGTATCAGTAGTCAGACAGAGAGGTGGCAGTTTCAGATCTAACCTCGATATAACTACAGAAGGCACCGTTATCGGCTGCGCAGATGGTCCAGATTGTCCAATCCGTGCTCCGCGTGGGGGAGACTCAGGCGATAGAAACGCTTTCCCTAGCGTGCCGAAGTCGACACTCAACTTCTTTGTCCTGCTCAAGCTACGGATCATTGAGTTAACCAGTGAAACACTACCCAGTGACGTCACTCACGCAGCCCAATTCTCAAATTTCCGTTGTACCCTTCCGGGCCATGGCCGGGCACCGTTATGCTCACACTCGTCCTCGGACAACTTCGGCTCTTTCTCCTTGTCTCTGTCATACTTCTCCTTGTGCTTACCCTCTTTGCCATCCTTCTCTCGTCCTTCTCCCTCCCTTTCCGTTTCCTTCTCGCGCGAGCGCTCCTCCCCCATTTCCCCGTCGCTCCAGGCTACCTCCCGATCACGCCGCTTCTTCCTTGCCTCTCCCGGCCTCCCTGTCCATAAATAGAGGAAGCTCTGCGGCGAGTCTTTTGAACCACCAGTTATTACTTTCACCAGAGCAGACAAGTCGGACGTCGGGTTTACACTGGTCGCCGCACCAGAACCGGGGCTACCTGCCTCCGAGCTAGAGGCGCCAGTGGTGGTGCGTATGTCTGTCGCAAGATCGTCGAGTTTGTTGATGAGCACACGGTGGACCTTGTAGGAATCGTTCTGTCGCATCTTCTTCTCGTAGGCAGACCTGATGGACTCGATTACAGGCAGACACAGGCACGTCACGGGCGGAATTGAGGGCGCCGGAGGGACGGGAGAAGCGCCAGACGAAGAGGGCGAAGAGCCGGAGAGAGGGCTCGTGTTGGGAATTACGGCTTGAGTGACACTGAGGGAGTGGGAGTGGGACTGCGTAGTAGATTTGGAAATGTAGGTGTCAAGGGCTCTGATGAAGGCCTGCGGGTCTACGAAGGGATCCTTCGGCACGACCTATCAAAGGACCAACAACATTCAGCGGACGAATGGCGTTCTATAGACCAAGGAACAGCGTACGTGTCCAAGTGCGTGCAACTTATTGCGCAACGTTAATATTGAACTGAAGAGTGCTGCTACAATTGACGGATCCGCTACCCTTTCCATCGGCTTATAAGTTAAGTGCGTGGTGAGAGGTTAATATATTTCAGAATCAAGTATTGGTATCCGAAATTTCGACATACCTCTACTTTCATGTACAATTCTCCAATTTCAACCACCCAGCGTCTGAGACCCTCGCATGTGACATCGCATAGCAAGCCATTGCGTTCTTCCGGCAGGATGTCCAGCATGCCATAGATCGTGAGCGCAGCTTGAATAAGCTTAACCAGTTCTAAGACTGTATCATTAAAGAGGGTAGAAGACTGAGCGAGCGCCTTTTCTGGAATGCGATACATTGAGATAAAACGGTCTTTTGTGGCATCACTATTTGCAGGTGTGAACAGAGAGGTAGATGATGACTATAAAAGTTAGGAGCACACCTAGGTTCCTCTAGCGTCAACGCACTGCGCCCGCTGCAACCCATCCTGAGGATATTGATGTTCGTGTACAGCTGTTCGCGCACTAGCAGAAAATTGCCGCGAGGGATGTGCACAATAGTGTAATCGGAGCGGAAATTAGCCAACGACGTCACCATAAGCGTTCCTTTGTCTGTCTTCAATAAAATATTAGTCGACAATTATCTGCTGGCGATTGAACTGACCTCCTTTGCACGCGCACCTTCACGGCGCAGCTCTCGAATGGCGTTGTCCCACTCCGTCGCAGCATCTACTTGACTCAAGGAGGACTGAGGACTGAGCGCTGTAACGGTGATCTACGGCCATGCAAGGTGAAACCAGAATACTCAAATTTTCAAGGTAGGATCAGACCTTATGCGATGGCTCCCCTGTTAATACAGTCAGCGCAGTGACAGGACGCCGCCGCTCTACTACCCTTGGAACGCTGTATCAGCGTCCGAAGAGCCCCTGCGCGTACCCTCTTTAGAGCACTCACCATCTCTCTACGGCAAATATTTGGAAGCCCTCGAGTTCAATCTGTTCCTCCACCACTTCAAACTTGCGACCCCCTCCAATCCAATCTGAAGTTACAGTGCTCGTAGAACGTTCATTTGGGTCAACAGGGACAAGATTGGATGTTGAGCCTGCCCTAGACCGAGGAGGCTTCGACGGGGAGAATCTTGCTGGTGGTGGAACACGAGGAGAACCATTCGGTATCGCTTTCGGGGAGCGAACGGTGGGCATGAGAAGCCTTCTGGATGTAGGAGGTAGTAGCACATTGCTCGAAGAAACTTGCGGGGTGAGAAACGGAGTAGAAGGATGTGATGGTGCTAGGGACGCTCCTAGTGACGAAGTGGCTGCATGGGTTTGCGAGCGAGATATGGAGGGTGGTATGGGGGACGCGCTTCCGGAAGAAACATGAGATATGGTCGAAGACTTCGAGCGGGTAGGCAGTGGAAGAAGGTCGAATGGAGAGGACATGGACGTTTCGTCCGAGTCTGTCTCGGTGCGCAGCGCCCGGGTCAAGACGCACATGTGTCCACAAATGGAAGGTCTCCTGGTTCGCGAGTAAATTGCATCAACACATATATACAGTACATACAGTATGTGTACTTAGTGCTTTGGTTATCATCCCTACACAGAGCCTTTACAACATAATTTCTGGAGAGTGCTCAATCAATTAAGCGAGTGGCGACATTGTCCATTACCCCGTGCATCGTGACTCATCGTCGCTCGGACTAGTACTCATACACCAGACATCTGTACCTCACTGCAGGAGCCACTCCCAGGGTGCGGCGCGAACTGTGCATGTTGTCTACAACATTTGGACTGTCATCCCAGTATCGGATCAGGTTGCTCGCTCTTGGACTTCTCATTGATCGAGACATGCCGAACATCAACGACATCGCGATCGAGGTGTCAAGTTGGAAAATGAACATCGTGCTGGGATTGTCAGGCTACTCCCCACCACCAGTACCGCCAACACAGCCGCCGACGCTGCCACAATTCTCCGCCACGCTCGCTCTCAAACCTACTGTCTTTACTGTGATAACCCGTACAAATCATGGCACACTGCGCCATCGTCCAGCATTCGGTCTTGTCAGAGGTCAGTATCGTAATGTTTTTGACAAAACAATTCGTGGAATTACGAGCTGAATGCTGACGGATGGTATTCCCCATCTAGGACGCTGATGTGATCACGCAGGAGTTCATTTCTGAACAAGTGAGAATACGCTCTTCTTGCTGACTTTTCCTGACATCTTGAACGTCTCTCGTAGTATCTTACAACACTACCTCGCTCGTATATAACCCAGTATGATGTATTCACATCTCGCCCACATGCACACTACTCGCGCAGCCGGCCAGGAACATTCGCCCGCAGTGCGAAACAGGCCCTCGTCATCTTTTCGCCTTCGTCCGGATACCACGGTTGGTATCACTGCAGATCTATCTTGGAACAAGAGCGCGTTGACGAGCTCACAGACATGCTCTCTGTTTGCACCTTACACGATTACCCTTGCGACGATCCTCATCTTGTCGAGGGTATCTGTCATGGCTTGGCTTCTTTGACTATCTCAGACCCGCTCGTGATCATCAAGAATGCGGCATCCTCGTGCGAAGAGGTCGATCAACTTGCCCGTCGCGTTGCCCTATTGAGGATCATTGATGATTTCGCCGACGCGGTAGACTGTATGGGGGCTTCATTCGACAGCGACCTCACGCTGGTGGAATGCCCAGGAGCTACTATGGAGTCTGAAATCTTCAAAACAGTACATATTGCAACAGCTGACACAGCGGAACTTGGCGTTCTGGATTTCGAGCCTGACAAGGAGCGTCTGTGGACAGAAAATACCATGTGGAAGCCACCGTTTTCTTCCATAGATGCGGATCAACATAACAAAACTGAACGTCTCAGTTTAGATGATCCCATCTTCCCATCTTCCTGTCTGTCATGCACACGCATGTTGGCCCACGCCCTGCCACACATACTTCCTTCTGCCCTCTCGCCGCTCACTTCAACTGAAGTCCTGGAGACCTTGCATCGCGTAGCCCGACCTGACCTATTCTTTCCTCTTCCCCCGATGGTCAGTCTCTTGATCGACGTTGACTGATTCTATGCCGGTCCTTCGTGACTTTCCGTGATCGTGGACCGACAATGCTCCTGAAACAGTTTTCCTCTCAAACTATATTCACCAATATATTCCGACATCAGTGTCTTATATTTCCTGTACACGGACGGCCACTCTACAAGAATGCCTTTCAGGTGTTCATCTCCACATATATGTTATCATCTTGGCATGGGATCTGGTCCTTCTTGGACAGGCCATCCACATCACCACTAACATGTATCAGCCCGCGCAATTGCCCCTGCTGGACTGGTTCATCCCCGCAGTCTTCGACTTCACCTCTCTGCGTCTGGCGATCTCGTTCCTCTCCCCACTTGTTCAGATCAGTAATAAGGATGAATCCTCGGGACTCAGGCGACAAGCGCATACTCCGGGTTTCGTCGTCCCTCCAATCTACCACGTTACAATCTCGTAGAAGTTCGCGCTGGCATCATGCATGATTTTCCTCACATTAATGTCTCAGGCCACTACTCACGGCCCGTTCGGTAGTCCGGTGTCCTGTTCTGTTTACCTGCCAAAACGCGAACCGGGTTTTGAGTCGGGTCCCGAGACCCAATCCCTACCACAGCACAAACCGAGCCCGGTTCGCCGACCCTAAGCAACCGAACAGGCCCTCAGGGACATTCGACCTATTACAATATTCAAGCCTCTCAACGATCTCATTACAGTACTGCATATGCGTTATATGTGTTACGCTAGTAGACTCCAATCTAGAAACTGTATTTAACCGGCATTGACTCAAGTCATAGATGCGTTGTTGTAATAAGTGACTCTTCGATTTGCGTAGCACATTAGCTCTAGTGTTGCATGTACTTATTATACCTGGTGTTCCTAACTGGAACCCATGCCGGTAATATACCTACCCACCCGATGAAAGTTCTCGGAAGTAGATTTGAGCCCGATCGTGATCGACGGTCCATCTTCAAAGTTGCACTGCTTCGTGCCGTCCCGCTCACTGAGCCCAAGTACGATGCCCATCTATCTCTTCTCCTAGCCCCGGAACTGCTTTTTAGAGAAGTGCTTCGGATTCGTACTATCTACCCTGAGCTGTCGTAGAGCGCCAGTTCTATCGTGTCTATGCACCTCGTCCGCCTTCCGGTCTGCCTTCTACGACCGTGCGGTTGTCTGCCTTCTACGACCTAAAGTTATCTGCAACCAGACATACGGAGTTCGTCTAGATGGCGAAACTGAAGAAAGGAAAGCAGAAAGGCCCGGATGAACCTAAAGATACAGATCCACCCAGTAGAGTGGCGGTACCTGTTGCCTTCCGGGAGCCTTTGGCACAAGCACCGAGGATAGGCCAAGCCAAGGCTGGACACTTCAAGGAGGAATTCTCTCAGGAGGGCTCTATCCGTCAGGACCAGAGTATACATGGTCGAGTTGGTTCGTCTCTAATATCCTCCAGCGTTATATCCTGGCTGCATACCCTGCTACTGTCTGCTCTTTATGTTCACGATCTATTCTCTCAGGTGCGCTGTACGGATCAGGAGAGGGCACTGTCGCTGGAGGAGATGACGATGGTTGGGGAGCGACCGCGGGCGATCCATGGGGTCCCCAGGTCAGCACTACCCCTACCATGAGCAGGGGTGCAGGGAGTGTCATTGGAGCCAATGCAACTTCTGCCTCTGAATGGGAGATTGAAAATCAAGGCGAAGGTGTTCCAGGTGGTTGGGGAGACCCCAACGATACCGTACAGCATACAACAGGAGGTCTTATCAGCGCCAAAAGCGGTCGCACTAAGAAGAAGGGCGCTATTGTCCAGGGCGCGCCGTCCTCGCCGCCGCCTCTTACAATCCCTCCACCTCCTCCACCTCCTCCCGCCGCTCCCCCGCCTTCTCTCGCAGCAGCAGCTGCCGCCGTTCAATCGGGAATGAATCACCATCAGACCCACTATCAAGCTGCAGCAGATGCAGGCTTCGAAAGTCCTCAGGTTCCCGCGAACGATGACTGGGGGGATCCATCAGATGGATGGGGCGATGTTGCCTCGGAGCCAACTCCTTGGGGTGTCCCTGCAGCGCCGCCGCCGCCGCCACAAATGCAGCTATGGGGGCCAGCCGCCGCTCCACACTCAAATTCAGCTTGGAGCAAATGGGCGAATGAAGCGAAGACACTCCCCAAGGTAGCTGCTTCAGTTCCCATCCCAGCTCCCCCAGGGCTAGCTCCTCTCCCTTCTGGCGTTACATCCAGTAGGGAAATACCGGCGCTGTCTCACCAGCAAGCAAATCTGCATTCCTTGCTCACACAGCCGAATCAGGGCAGAGGTGTCTCTGTGCAAATCCAGGCTCGACAGCTGCGTGAACAGTTGCATGCGCAACGACAGCAACAACAGATGTACTTGCAGCAGGAGCATCTCCGGCAGCAGCAGCAGCAGCAAAACCACTCCCATCCGCAGCGGCCGCAACGAGGACGCCAAAGGGATCATCACACACAACAACAAGGACCTAGCATAGCACAGCATCTTCAGCCTCAGCAGATCGAGCAGTCCGATAGCTGGGGCAGTACCGGATGGGGTGGCGGCGGCGGCGGCGGTCGGGGATCTGATTGGGCAGACCCCATCCCAGAAGAAGACGAAGAGGAAGAAGAGGAAGACATGTACGAAGACGAGGAAGAGGAGGAAGTGGAAGAGGAAGCAGTGGAAGATTACGACCACGGCTATGGTCACGGATACGGCCATCGAGTTCGATTTTCACCACAGGACGACTACCAATACGGATATGTGGAGAATACGCAACCATCCGTACCACCGCCAGCCCCATCTCCAGCCCCACCCCGCCAGCAGCCACTCTGGACCGACCCTGTAGCGTCAAAGACTATGTCCATGGCAGTTGGTCGACCGTCGACGGTTTTTGAGCTTGTCTCGCCACGGAACGAAAATCATTTTGTACAATCATACGGAGCAGCACTAGAACACGCACAGCGTGCGCTGTTCGGGAATGGTCGTCCTGCGAAAGAGAGGATTTACTGGGGCCTCAGCCCAGATAAAGACCAGCGTGTCTCGTCACTCCTACGATGGATTCATATCATGTCTAATGGCCTTGCGACTATTGGTGTGAGTTGTTCGTTGGACCATATCCCGACACGCTCTCATCACTTCCGAATGGATGCGGCAGTTGGAGAGGTTTCTTCAAACTGGAGAACGCGGTGCGCTCATATCCAACGCTGACTATCGTTCTAATATGTCAGGTTCGCCGGTGCAGCCTGCGTTTGACTGGGTTCCCATCGAGCAGCTGCAGCGCACGCTCGACCACATGCTACAGGAGTCGGTCGCGCTGTATGATCCCGCTCTTCTAGTGATTGTTTATGTTTTCTTACTCTCCAAGACCGGGAACAGCCTCGCAGTGTGGCGAAGGAAGCTCGCTGTGCCTGAGACTGTGCGGCTTGCTCACGAGGAGGATATCCTAAGGGCAAAAGAGATGCTAAAGACTAACTACTCCGTCTATGTTGACGAGTGAGCCCTTGGTCTTGGCAGTGCCCTTCGCTTCTAACATGCTGGATTACAGACTTCCTGTTAAACCGGAAGCTAAATCGAAGCAGAAGAAACGCGGTTTCTTCAGTAGGTTGTTCAGGTGGTAGCTTGGCTAGGATCGGGCTACCGTGGAATCTTCGCTATCTCTGCTATCTTTGCTGAATTCATTCCCTCTTTAATCACACGGTTTGTTGCTCCATCTGTATTGTGGATCCTCATTTTGAATCTACTCAGGGCTTACTGTACGATTCACCCACACTTGACAACTGTATTTCCATTTCAGAGATTCTTTCCATGTTTTGGACCTCGTAAGCCTAGGATTCTCATTGTATACTGTACCATTTCGATCTATTCGACATGTCACGGGTCACATGCCCTTCTGTTGTGTCGAAATTTGGCGGCTGTCATGGGTCACACTCTGTAAAAACCGGAAGTCAAGTGAAGTCTAAGTATTGTCAGGCTGCAGCGAGTTTCAAAAATTTGGCACTGTAGTCTCAGAGAAGTCAGGATAAGTCCAATTTCAGTCGCCAAAGTGATCCTGCCAAGAAATTATGCCATCAAATACAGTCAAATCCTAGTCTGCAAAAGTCTGACACCACAGTTGATTGTCTCATAATACATGGCATTCTGGTACTCATATGTTGGTTCTTTTGCACTCAGAGGTTGGAATATAGCTGTAGAGACATGATCTAAACCATACGAGGTCATGTACTACAAGAAAATCATACAAATAGTCATAAATAGTCATATTTGCCAGAATTTCGAATTTGGCTGACTACACTTTGACTTCCCGTTTTTACTGAGGGTCACAGGTAGTACTGTCGGAAGGTCTTTGCATGTCACTGCCCCAAAGGGCACCCAAAATGGGGGGAATTCCCTAAAAAGGGTCCAAAATGTCGAAAATTTCGGCCGGTCACGGGTGTCCGGCCGAGTTGTCTACCTGTCGAATCGGTACCATGCTGTCACGCGTCACACCAGGTGTCGAATAGATCGAAATGGTACAGTACTCTCCGCATGTCTATCGCTCTAGCAAATGATAACGACAATCGATAAGTGCACCAAGTTGCAAAGCCTGAGTCAGATTATCGTTGACAGATCATGACATTACTATTAGCCCTTGTGTTCTATGACTTCGATTGGGACTGTGCTGACTACATAAGCCGCACGATTGCCAGAGCGTGCGTCTTCACGGCAGCAGTCTCTGCTCTACAGTTACTAAGTACTCTCATCTTGTGCATTCACCCTACTACCATGCAGCAGGAGACTCGCGATCAGCCCCCAGCCGCAGTACAGGTTCCGGAGGGGAGCGCCATGAGCACCCCCAAACACATCCCCAGTGTTGCCACGAACTCTAGTGCTACCACGAGCAGTGCGCGCATCAATAGGCGGCAGACATCGCCTTTCGTTCATGTCGCCGTACTCACCTCTATCGTTGTGCTACCATACTTGGTGGTCCGGAGACAGCTCGTCTCGATGCGGAGGACAGTGGCACAGATGGGGGCAGCGAACGCTGTGATGCGGCGAGATCTGAAGAGCCTGATGACCGAGAGCGCCGTGCGGAAGCTTGAGCACCAGAAGGTGTTGGGTTTACTTCGGGAGACGAAGGAAAGCATGGACGTGCTGAAGAGGCTTGCTGAACGGAGAGACACAGCGCGGCGGGCAGTGGAGGAGAGGCTTGCGCACGAGGTGCAGGATACGAGACTCAAGCTGGATACTTTGGAAGCCGACGTTCTGGAACGGGACCTTGCGCGTCAGCATGCAGAGAAGAAGTACCACAGCGAGCTCAAGGCGCTACTTCACGAGAGTCAGTGGTCGAAGTACGCTGCCGCTTGCTGTACTGCCTCCCGCGCACTCATATAAGCCTCTCATTCAGAGCTCACCTCTCGACTTTAAAAGACCTGGGAACGTCCTTGGCTGATATTGCAGCGTTCATGCATGAGGTGGAGATAAAGGAGGGTTACTCTTCATCGAAGGACGACGCTCACGGCATTGAGAGAATCAGACGACTGGCATTGAGGTTCATGCGTTCGGAGAAGGTGAGCATTGCAGAACCTGCAATGTCCCAAGTTCTGATCACGTCGCATGCCCCACTAGTCGTCTGGAGCATCGAAAAGATCGAAGGCCGACGCTGCATCAGGTCCGGACTCGGACAAACAAGATCCTTGAAGGAACAACACAAGCTGTACTTGAAAGCTCTGTAGTCAATGATTGAACAGCGACACATTCAGGGAGTGTATTCATACTGATGTAGACTAGCAATGGCGTTTCCGCGTGTATCCACACATTTCCCGTGCTGACAGTTTTACCTTATCCTTCCATTTTTTCGAGACTATGTAGACACGACATGATAATTAACGACGAGGCAATGACAATTTGAATGATGCGGTGACAACCTTGGAAGTTTTTTGATATGGCACGAGGAACTCCTCCATCAGTTGCACGTCCACCTTTCCCCACCCTGAATAGTCTCCAAGCCTCATCTCCTTACATCTCCGATCGAAGAACGCGAGGTGATACGAGAGGACGGCGGGCCACTCGTACTGCGAGGCGAGCTTCACGAGGTGACTATTGTATCGGAAGAAATAACAGGGAAGCATCGCCGGCTGTCCATGCGCGAGCCCGTGCAAAGAGAGGATGGAGAAGTAGGCATTGAGAGGGACAAGCAGGGAATCAAGTGTCCGATAGATGTCGACGGCCACAGATGTCGCACAAGTACGATCCTCAAGCGAGGCCTCGACAAGATCCCACTGCGATTCAAGTATGCGACGCGAGTCGAGCCTGTATATATCGGTGCCATGAAGGTCGTGGTGGATGATAGACACTATCGTGTCATTTTCGACGTGAGGGAAGAGGTAGAGCAGATCGCGCAGACCTTGTGCTGGTGGATAAGTCTGTGACATCGCCAGCACGAGAGGTGGGGAATAACGGCTATGCGGTACGATGGGAGCGTGTACGAGATGCAAGAAGTAACGAAGCAGAAAATTTTCGACTATTTCCGAGGAAGGCCGTGTAAAGGGAGCTTCATGGCCGGACCTTCAACGTTCAACGGCCAGAAGATACCGCCTGGCGCTTCGAGGGAGCCACAATTCAGGGCGTTACTTTGTCCATGCGAGACCGCTTGCGAGCACCGACATATCTACAGCAGTTACTGTGATATCGTCGGCAGTAGCTACAGACTTCAGAGGACTTGAACGAGCCTGCGAAGCCCGTTCATGTTTCAGCAGCTCAGTTGTGGCCGAAGCAACCATACCGGAGAGGCGTGAGAGACGTGGCTGGAAGAACTAACTAGTACCTAACCGTGCTTACCCACGCTTTTCTGGTCATTCCAAGTGCACTGCGCATATCCTCCACGACACCCCTCAAGGTGAGTATCTTCGTTCTTGAACACAGTGTGCATCGTTCTATGGAATACGTTGTGCGAGCAATGTGTGGTGTTCCACTTGCATTTCCGGTTTTTTTGGCGCACGGAGTCACTCATACATGCTCGCCGAACTTAGCACTGATTGTATTTGGCTTTACCAGACTCCACCAAAATGCCCGGCAAAGTCAAGGCGTACGAGCTCCAATCTAAGTGAGTCCATAGTTTTTATGCACAGGGTGGCCTGCCTGGCTGACACGGTTATCATGTTCCTAGGTCCAAGAATGATTTGACGAAGCAGCTCGTTGAGCTGAAGAACGAGCTCTTGGCTCTGCGGGTGCAGAAGATTGCGGGAGGTTCTGCGGCAAAGTTGACCAAGATGTGCGTAACACATTGTCTGCCTATCATCGTCGTTCGTCTCATGAACCTGCTTCAAGCAACACCGTCCGCAAGTCAATCGCACGGGTACTGACCGTTACCAACCAGAAACAACGGCAAAATCTCCGCGAGTTCTACAAGAACAAGAAGTATTTGCCTCTTGACCTCCGTGTTAAGAAGACACGGGCAATTCGGCGGCGTTTGACGAAGGTGCGCAGGGGCATATTCTTAGGCTGACTTATGGTCCTGACAACTATTTGCAGCACGAGGCGTCGCTGAAAACACTCAAGCAGCGCAAGAAGGACATCAACTTCCCCATCCGGAAGTACGCTGTGAAAGCATGAGCTGTGAGGTTGTCAGATGAGGTCGCGGGTCGCATTTGCTTTGAGTATTTCTATTTCTTCTGTATGCGTACTCCACTACCAGCTCGTCATGCCACGATATGCCATGCATCTTCCTGTACCGGCACAACTCGGAGCTGCATCTCTGGTCACCACGGGAGCACCACAGCTCCCGAGACCCCCCTTCTACCTGTTGTCGATAGTCGTCGGATGAGTGGGATGCCGCATGTGCGCTGTATCACGCGCCGTCATGCGCCGAAATGCGCTGATATTGGCAAGGAGAGAGAACGCGTTGTAGTGATTTGTGTGGAAGAATATTGGCTCGGGAATATTGGGGTCAGGTTGTCTGACGGACCGGCCGGGAGATCAGTCATCTCCACAGTGCGTCATTCCAGAGCGCTCTCAGGCTCGACTCAGCATCCTCCGAAGTCGCTACCCTGCGCCGTATGCCCCTTTCCTCACCGTCCGTGTTGTGCTTGAGCTTCACCCTCGTCGCTGTGTTGGTCCCTTCTACCCATCACCGCCGACCCATACATACAACTCTCTGATTTAAGCAAGCACAACACGGCTATCACTAGGCCACCCACATCCTTCTCGGAATCCTCTCGCGTTGCCGCAAATCTGCTGCTGGCCCCTCTATCTGATTCTCTGCGGGTTGCATACCTCATACACTGGCAACCGATTACTTATTGCTCTCAAGACGGATACGAAACTCTATCATTATTTCTTACGAAATTAACGAACAATGGTGAGTTCCGTTTCGTTCCCACTGCGTAGGTGGTGTATTTGTCCGTGGGGCACGAGATGTGCTTGATACCGGCGACAGACGTCTTGCACGCTGCACCGGTCTGGTTCACGGCAGAACCCACGTGTACGCTAGAAGGCGGACGACTGAGTGCGAGCGGACACCAGAAGCTCAGTTTGCCGTCGTCTATCTCACCTCCTACTCCTCATGTCTCCGGCATCCAATCTGCTGAGGAAATTGAGCGTGTCTGACAATGGCCACGGTTCACAGCGCAGACAACTGACGAAGTCGCCGCCGCCGTCGCCGACTAAAGAGCGGAGGGTAAAGTCACCGGAGCCGTACCCGGTCCCGAGCAATAACCCTGCCAGTCAGTACACACTGCTGGAGAAGCTCGGGACAGGCAGCTTTGGGACGGTTTACAAGGCAATGCATAATGACACCAAGCAAATTGTAGCCATCAAGCAGATCGGTGTGGAATCATGCTATTCATCGTCGGAGCACCCAAATGTTGACTGTAATGTGTTCTCGCAGATTTGGAAGATTCCGACGACGACATCTCCGAGATACAGCAGGAAATAGCCAACCTTGCACAATGCGACTCGGAGTATGTAACCCGGTACTACGGCTCCTTCGTGGTGGCCTACAAGTTGTGGATAGTGATGGAATACCTGGCTGGCGGCTCGTGTCTTGACCTACTCAAGCCGGGAGTGTTCTCAGAGGCGCATATTGCAGTTATATGTCGCGAGCTTCTCTTGGGCCTCGATTATCTGCACTCCGAGGGTACTATTCATCGTGACATCAAGGCAGCGAATGTGCTGCTATCCTCCTCCGGGAAAGTTAAACTGGCCGATTTTGGCGTCGCGGCGCAGTTGACTAGCACGCTGAGGCATACATTTGTCGGTACACCTTTCTGGATGGCGCCGGAGGTCATCCGGCAAGCGGGGTACGACGCCAAGGCTGATATCTGGAGCTTGGGTATCACTGCGATTGAGATGGCGAAGGGGGAACCTCCGTTAGCGGAATACCACCCTATGCGTGTCTTATTCTTGATCCCGAAAGCAAAGCCGCCGACATTAGAGGGGCCGTTCTCTGCATCATTCAAAGACTTCGTGTCACAGTGTTTGACGAAGGACCCTCTTGCTGTAAGTTGAGTCTGCAGGACTCCGCTATTCAGTTTTCTCATTTGTTCGTATTAGCGGCCAACCACCAAGGAGCTGCTGCAACACAAGTTCATCAGGAATGCGCGCAAAACGTCGTATCTTACCGAACTTATTGAGCGGTACCAAGACTACCGCGCGCGTTCGCCCGGTCGCGGGCCACAGATGTACCAGGCATCTGTTCGGAATAGTGGCGTCTGGGATGGTACCCTGCGCAGCGACTGGAGCTTCGACACTATCCGCACCTCGTCCGCAATGGGTTCGCTGAGGAGCATGGCGAAGGACATCATGCCCCCGGGTATGATCCCGGACGAGGACTACGAAGACGATAGGTCTGTGTATACTGAGGACGAGTTGCACGTGTCGATCAGGACGAGTGCGGCGACGAGGGGGAGCGACGTCGCGATGTCTTCCGCCGCGCTTGGCATGAATATGGCTGCGCAGCATTCGACGGTTATCATTAGACCACGCTCACCACCAGTGGACGTGAAGAATATGCCGTCGCTGATGGCGGATAGCTCGTCCGAGGAGACATTGGGGATTGAGCCGTCGACGCCCCAGGATGAGCCACAGTCGCCGGAGAGTGTCGAGCCACCCCCGGCCTACACGGGGTCTGTACGTTCAACGCGGCGATCGTCCTTCCAGGCCCGCCATAATCTGGGTACTGGAACTGTACTTGGAGAAGCGGACTTAGGGAGCGGTGTGGACACCATCAGGCCTGTAAAGAAGGTGGATACTGTACGATCTTTGCGGATGTCGTCTGAGTTTGTCGGGTCAACACGTAGCAGGGAGGGCAGTTCATCCGCTCCTCCTTCTCCGCAGAGCCAGAAGGGGTCGCATAAGAGAGTTCCGAGCGAGGCCGCGAAGGCGGGCAAAACGCTTATAGACGAGGTGTTGCTTCCGTTGTTTAACAAGGTAGGCCTAGTGGATGGTGCACGAACGCATGGGACCGTGGATACTAATTGGATCCTCTCCCTGTAGGCTACGCGAGACGATATGGATGCGCGGGAGATTGAATCTCTGAGCATGATCTCGAGAGGATTTGAGGAGCTGCGAGACGTCAACCCTCAACTTGCGTACAACATCGTCCTCGACCTCTTATCTGGCATCAACGAGTGCGTGCCATGTTGCTTTGTTTTTATACTGTTTTTGTGCTGCTTCTGACAAGTTCTCTCAGAAACACTGCAGTACGGCAGCACATCCAGACCGCGCGCGGCCTCTTCCCGCACAAGCGCGTCGTTCGCCGGAGCGAAATGACGTCGCGAGGCCTCGTCGTCACCGAGGAGGAGGAAATATCCGGCATGCCACCTTCCTCATCGCCACCATCGACCGAGGAGCGGGCCGAGGCAGGCTTGCCGACGCGCAAGTCGCCCATCGGGGAGCTGCTATATATGCGTTGGCTAGAGGGCCTCCGGCTGAAATGGCCAAGCGTCTTCTGAAAGTCGCAGCGATGCCTCCGCTCTGGTATGCTTCGCATTTGGCCCCAATACGGTCGCGCATTATTACTGATGTCCCGTACCCCGGTCCCGAGAGAACTGTATTTGCCGAGACCCCTTGGGTCGTGTCGCGGTCTTCTGGCGTCCCTCTGTTATCCTGACCGTCCGTTCTTCATCACCTGCATCGTACTGATTTCACGCTCTCTCTCCGCGGACACTTCGGAGTCATATCTACAGCCCACCCACCCACCCATCCACTTACTTCGTACGTCGTGCTTGAACACTGCTTTTCGGACACTTCCCGCCGGATGTTCACTTCTCCTCACTCTACTTCGCATTTTTCGCGTCGTCCTCGCAGTCCATAGGATATCGCATGCTTTACTACATTACTGCATTGTTTGTGTCTACCGTGCCTGCCCGTCTCTTCCATTTGGGGTCTGTTCGCCGTGGCGTTTTGCTGCCTGGCGCTGTGTTGTTATGTGCTATGTCACGATCATGACCTTATGAAAGAATGTACTTAGTCCATAGACACGAGGGAGCCCGCCTCGCCAGAGAGGGTAGATTGTGAGCTCTATACCGGTGACACTGTCAGGCGAACAGTTCCTTTTTCTGAACTTTTTCAGTATGACTTTCTCGATGCATTTGATGCAGTCGTCGCAAGCACCAAATTCAACCTCCAGCGGACATCCCGCCGAAGGAGCTCCACAGGACATCCTAACATCGCGCGCTTTGTCGGATGAGTCCGACCCACTGTCAGACTAGGAAGATCTGGCTTGAGCTGAACGACGACCGAGTCATCCACGCCACGCAGCGCTGCTCGCAGAAGTCGGACCTATCGCTTTGAGATGAAACGTGAGCTGTACCCCTTTTGGCCCATTACTCAAGGACGGCAAAGAAGGGCACGCTGTCGAGCGGGCCTGCTCCGCTAGGAGAAGTAGCACAGGAGCACATATCTGCCTTTCCACTTGGATCCAGTCTTTATAGGTCTCCGAGGAAGTTTGGTACCTGGAGCAGATGCTGGCCCCTGCAGGTGCAGTTCTGTAGTCGAGATGCCGCTCTGCCACTCCCTTACAGCGGCTCCGGCTGACACGTACCATATCACTATCCAGGGAATGGCGCATGTCACTGAGCATTTGATGTGTGCATCTCAGACGCCAGTCTACATCTCGTTTACCTCGACATGTACTTCAGTCCGCGAGTAATTGGCGATCCACTGCAGCGAAACCTTCGAAGAAGGAAGTGAGTGGCTGCCTGGACTTCTCGAGAGCCTGCCGTTTCTCTGATGGAGTGCACGGACAGCATCGCGCAGGCAACGTCAAATTTCCGCACACCAATCTTTGAGGGCATAGGCCCCACATGCACTGTCCACGAGACGTTAGGTCTAACTCGCGACAATAACCAATGTAGAGAAGAACACGCACGTATCGTCTTCGTACTTCTGCACATTCCCGCGCTTTCTCCCGATCAATTTATTGACGTAGCGATCGCGTCGCTTGCATATCCCTGTTTTGCATTCTTGATCACAACACCGCCATTCATTTTCGGGGAATGGTTTTCTTCATGCTTGGTCGTGTATTTCGGGTAAATAGTGTGGCTCATATCTGCACTGATTCGGCGCGTGAGGTCGAAACAGAGCTCACTTCTTAGTGGAAGGGCAATGCAGTTCACATCGCCTCAAGTGATGAGAACAACTCGGCGCCCGCATAGCTCGCAATGGCATCTACGGCAGAAAATCTGTCATGAACGTATCAGTATCGGTATCATGGATCGCAGCAAGGAATATGTATGAACATAGTTGGTTCTCCAACTGAATACGAATTCATTTCCGAGCCCTCCAAGTGTCGCGGATTGAGTGTCATACAGATGCCTGTAAAGAGCTCAGTGTGACGAAATTGGACTTCGTGCGTACAATTCAAAGTCGTGAATCTCTTCATGAGCGATAATTTCCTCCGCTAACACCGCCAGAAGAGTTGGTGGTCATCTTGGATGCTTGTGGCAGACTTCTGAGTCTTATTCTGCGTCCTTGGGCTCTCCGAGCTCTCATGCGCGGAATTCAATTACGATTCAATCTGGCCGACAATCGGGATCAATTCCATCCCCTGGTTACAGACAAATGTCTCATTCGTAGTCCTGTCCATTGATGGCAAAGAGTTCAGATATGTAATTTCCAAATGGCAAGAACTGCTCGCAATGGATGGAGAGAGTCGGCATTCTCAGCGGTGGCCTCTCGATCTTGAGGAGCTTCGATGTAAAATCCCCACTTTTGTCATTCAGAACAATTCTGCCCTTTAACAATAAGTCGCGATCTGGCCAGGAATGCCATATGTCATACAGCTACAGGAGGTAGCTGGCGTCGGATTTCTTTGATACGGGCCGCACCTAAGAAAAAATAAACACCGACGGAGTGAAATGAGGCATCGTACAGTGGTCTCTTACTCTCAGATTTGGACTATCCACATGGGTAGCCACGATTGACAACCCGGAGCCCAACGTCCATATCTGCGGAATTGTGAAGGCTAGAAGAGTACTCTAAATCTTGCTGTGAGGACTCGGAGATAGTCGCCTCAGCAGATCAAGTTTGTGAAATAGTACCTTACCAGCCTTCAGCTCTTTTTCCCAGTCATGCATCTCTCTGATGTGGCCCCTTGGAAATAAGATAGCGAGGGGACCGAAAACAGTGGGCACACCACTTCCCGAAACCCAGCCTTCGAAGCGACGAGGCTAGTGCACGGCGTCGGTGACGAGCTGACGAAATTAAGGAACTCCACAGTGGCTTCAACACTGAACTGGTTACATCTTCATCGTCTAAAATAAGTGGCACAAGCGAGGGCGCGCGAAGCTTAGGTATCGCGATATGTAGTAGCGCATTCCGAGTCGTGCGCAACTCGACATAATGTGACGTGTGGTTCACTAAAATGTAGGAGGACGCGACGGCGTGAGAATCCTGAGATAAGTCCGTAGCGCCGCGCGAGCACGGCAGAGCCCGCTAGCTTATTGGGAGAAGGTTGTTTGCGATATGATGATTCGACATTAGACACCACAAATTGCAGGTTACACAGATTTCAATATACAGATTTCAATTCTCGCTGCATACAAAGTGCAATGGTGTCGGTCTCAATGCCATGTGCTTTGGCTGTTCTCACCAGCAGGTCCTCGTTGGCATCAGTTGTGAACAGGAAGGATGAGGAATGTATAGGAAACATGGTACTCAATGTATATGCAATATTCGGACTCAATGACGGGAGACGATGACCGGTAGATTCGCAACCTTGCACAAAGACAGGTTGCGATGACAAAGGGGAACCACCCGCGACGTGCGGGTCAGAACACGAAGAACTGCCTACACCGTAGGCGCACGTACAATGAGTAGAACCACTATCCGCCATACGGATAGGACACAGAGTACTACCGTTCCGAGAGGGAACAGCCACAGACGGAGATCCAACTTCAACGAGATGACTGCCATCGGCAGTGTCGGCGTACGGAGAGAAAGAGGTGCTCGCACCTTCTAAAACAGCAAAGATTTCATCAGTAACGTAGACAAGTAATAAAAATGTGAGAAATACCATTGAAAGGGTACCGGGGGAAGTAGCTGCCGCCGCACATAGAGGTAGAGGGCGTGCTCGCATCTGTCACAAGATCATCAGGACTACTGGACATGGGTGAAGAGCATGACGCGCACCGTCGGCGGAGCGCACAGCCATCCATGTGTACCCTTGTGGCGCGTTGAATGTGTCGAACGGGTCTGGATCCGCGAGTACACCGCCAGAAATGATCGGGCATAATATATCCATCCAGTCGTGCCCAAGAACGATGTCGGGATCCTCAATATATCCAACATGTAACGGGTGGTGGGAGGTGTAGTATCCCGTCGTCGACGGTATGACAACTGGGCCGGACACGGTACAGTGCGCAACCCCTGAGATCAGAGAGACGGTAGGCGGTAGACCATGCGCCAAGGCGAAACGAGTAGACAGAGTTGACTCCGAGCAGGACACATCCAACAGAACTGAAGCGGGTATTTCTGCGTATGAGCCGCGTAGCGATTGAGATGCACCTTTTCAGTCGATGGTGGATTACGTGTGCTGTTGCGCCGTGACCCAAGAGGCATGCACCGGCAAAATCCGAGACACAGGGTAGGGGGAGGGGGGGGGTCTCCGAGGCCCTTAACCGGAAATTATTTCCACCTAAGAAACTGCTAGTAGGAGGTGAGTGAAGGCTTATTCGTATGAGTCCCATGCCTTACAGTTGAAACCTATGGCAAAGGAAAGCTTGCAACACCTATCGGGGGGTGGTGCTCGGCCGGCGGTAAGGGGGCGGGGTCGGGATCGGGCGCTTAGTAGGTGTGATGTCGGGTCACAGAGGTAACAAACAAGTGACATACTTACGTAATCCTTTTTTGTAGCTCCTCTTTATGGCAGCCACCAGGGCGTGGAAAATTCCCACGGGGGAGGGGGGGCCTCGGAGGTCCTTAACCGGATTTTCTGACCTCGTGTGCGGAATTTGATTTTTGCATGCCTCTTGCCGTGACCTGTTGTGACATCAAACACGTGACTTTGCAAAAATGGCGGGGAGCACGGACAGGTCGATCACCTCTAAGAACCCACTAGCAGAGCTAGCGGGAATTCTCAAAATTGTCGCGGCGCTTCCTCTCATTGGCTGGTCTGGTCGTCAGCGATGGTGCAAAGCTACTTGAGACACGGTCCTACAGAGGTGAGCGTAGTACATGGGTGTGCAATTGCCGTGTTCTCAATATTGTTCAGGCGTTCGGTCTCATTTGCAGTTCTTCGTCTAACTCCGTCTATGATGGCAAACTTGCTTATGTCCCGGCCTTGGAGGATGTCTTGGTCTGGGACGTGAAGAAGGGGCAGATGGTAGGTCTCGACGAGATGTTATTTGCTTGTATGCACTCAATGTCTTAGTTGGCTATGTGGCATGAAACCGGACACCGCGCAGAGGTGACCTGCATCCTCCGCTCTCCCCAGAAAGACGTCTTCGCCGTAGGTTACGCGGATGGGTCTGTTAGACTTTGGAGTGCTTCTGCAGGTTCAGTGATCGCTACCTTTAATGGCCATAAGAAGGCTATTACCACCCTTGCCTTTGGCGAGAACGGCACGAGACTAGCTTCGGGGTCGCAGGATACGGACCTGATTTTGTGGGATGTTGTTGCGGAAGCCGGGCTCTTCAGGCGAGTTAATATTCATTTCATAATCTATAGGCCTGTTGACGCATTTTCCAGATTACGGGGCCATCGAGACCAAATAACTGGGATATGTTTCATTCGCCCGTCTACCTCAACAGGAAGCGTTCCAAGTTTTCTTCTGACCTCATCGAAAGACACTTTTATAAAGCTATGGGATCTCACGACTCAACACTGCATCCAGACGATCGTTGGCCACCGCTCAGAAATCTGGACACTAGACGTAGACAGCAAGCAAGAACTTGTGTTTACCGGAAGTGGAGAAGGTGAGATGAAGGCTTGGCGTATCGATCACGATGCTCTGGCACAAGGTCTCAGAGAGACTGGATATGGAGAGGTATGCCGACACCGGTCCGTTCAAATTCTACGCCAGTATTCATGTCTTTCGTTGCGCAGATGACCAAGATGATCTACCCGGTCACGAACATCCCACTCTCCTCTCAACACCGCGTGTCACAAATTTCTTTCCATCCCTTTAAGCCATACGTTGCTGTTCAGTGCCACGATCGATCTGTAGAGGTATTCAGAATCCGTACGGAGGAGGAGATCCGCAAAAAGCAAGCTAGGCGTAAGAAACGCATGAGAGAAAAGAAAGAACAGACAAAGCTCAAGGAAAAGACCAGAGGGAAATTTGAGGAGAACAACGATGAAGCAGACGCGGATCAGATGGACGACGCTCAAGAAGTCCAGCTCGTGGATCTTTTCACGCCCTATCTTGTCGTACGCGCAAGTGGGAAAATTAGGTCATTCGATTTTGCAGACGAGGAGACGGCGGCTTCTACGCATACCCAGCTGTGCGTAGCTTTGTCTTCAAATGCGCTGGAAGTCTACAATATCCCTCAGCCTTCAAAGACTAAGGATGCGGTGCCTGAGGCCACTCGTACTTTCTCAGTGGATCTCCCCGGACATAGAACAGATGTCCGCACACTGTGTTTGAGCTCTGATGATATGCTGTTGGCTTCTGCGTCTAATGGTGCGTTGTGTTTGACAACTTCACAGTATCTGTTGACAGCATAAGTAGGTTCGCTCAAAATCTGGAATATGAAAACCACATCCTGTATACGCACAATGGAATGTGGGCATGCTATCTGTAGCACTTTCCTACCTGGCGATCGACAGGTCAGTATGGAGTTTCCCCCTGCGTATACCGTGCCCGACTCAACTGTGCGCGATTAATGTAGATCGCGGTTGGCACAAAAACCGGAGAGATTTTCTTGTACGATCTCGCGTCTTCATCACTCATCGAGACTATCCAAGCCCACGTAGCAACCGTCTGGTCCATTCATGTACGTGCAGACGGTCAGGCCCTCGTCAGCGGAAGTGCCGACAAGGACATCAAATTCTGGGACATTGAAGAGAAGTCTGTCAATAGCGAGAATGTTCGTACATCCTGTGATATTTTTCGCATACTTTGAGGCTTACGGATACACATTTAGCCTCGCAGCGCTAGATTACTTACCTTGGTACACATACGGACTCTTAAGATGACTGATGATGTCCTGTCAGTAAGGTATAGCCCTAACGGGAAGCTTCTGGCAGTAGCACTGCTCGACTCTACTGTGAAGATCTTCTATCAGGACAGCCTGAAATTCTTCCTGTCTCTATATGGACACAAGGTATGCCATGCACCCACCTCGCTCGCTTGACAGTGCAGGCTCACACAGTTACGTATACGTAGCTACCTGTGCTCTCCATGGACATCTCCCAAGACTCCAAGCTCATCGTAACCTGCTCCGCTGACAAGAACGTAAAGATCTGGGGCCTAGATTTTGGCGACTGCCACCGCTCCATATTCGCGCACGACGACAGCGTGATGCAGGTGGCGTTTGAGAACACCGACACGCGTGACATGGACAGCAAGCCGTCGCATTATTTCTGGACAGTCGGAAAAGACATGATGGTGAAGTACTGGGATGGAGATAAGGTATGGCCAAAGTTGTCTCAACAACAGTAGGGCAGCTGACGACAGTGATGCGAAGTTTGAAAATATCCAGAAGTTGGAGGGCCATCATGGCGAGGTGTGGGCGCTGGCTGTAAGCCACCACGGCAAGTTTATCGTAACAGGTTCGCACGACAAGTCCATCCGGGTGTGGGAAAAACTCGATGAGCCGGTGGGCTTAATCACATCAGCAATTCGATATATGTGCTGAGAAACTGTATCTCCAGCTCTTCCTCGAGGAAGAACACGAGCGCGAGCTTGAGAATATCTACGAGTCCGGGATCGCAGAAACCTTCAACCGCACCGATGCCCCGATTGGGAGCGGCGTGGACGATGCAGACCCGACTGCAGCCATGGGGGGTGCGGAGGTTACCTCGGTCTCAAAGCAAACCACAGAGACGCTCATGGCGGGTGAGAAGATCATGGAAGCTCTCGAGCTCGCGGACGGTGAGCTCACGACATTCCGCGAGTACGAGGAGGCCAAGGCGCAAGGTGGTCTCTCCGAACAGGTTGCCCCACCGCCTCGGAATCCCGTCTTGGCGGCGTACGATGTGGAGCCGGAGGAGTATGTGCTGAGGGTGGTTGAGCGCATAGCGGGGACTGCGCTGTTTGATGCATTGTTAGTGTTGCCGTTTGGGAGGGTTGTGAGCCTCATGCGATGCCTCAATGTTTGGGCCCTGAGAGTGAGACCATCAGTGTTTATGTTGATTATATGCGCTTATCGCAGTCGATTGCAGGAGTGGAACATCGCATTAACCTCGCGCATCATTTTCTTCCTTCTGAAGACGCATTACCACCAGGTCGTGGCCAACCGCACTATGCGCACCGCACTCATCCCGCTGCGTAAGCATTTGCGAGAATCACTGCGGAAACAAAAAGACGTCATCGTGTACAACCTTGCCGCGCTGCGATATATCCAGAGACAGAACAATGCTCAGCGGACGGCCGACTTCTTCGAAGAGGAGATCAACGAGGAAAAGGTGCAAGAGAAGATTGCGGAGGGCAGGAAGCGAAAGAGAGTTAAGACGTAGACACTGTCTCAAAATGACAGATCCAACATTGAGTGCTTCTCCCGATACAAGTCTAGTGCTACTGATACAGATGCAAAAATTGTCCGTCAACCTAGTAAGACGAAGTACCATGTCCGTGGATCCAGCCACTAAGCATGAATGTGCATCCTTCAATTTTCCTGAGGACCCCAAAGATTTTGTAGCCTGTACAGCTTGGTCGTGAAACGAACAGAAGGTGATGCAGACAAAAATAATCTCACCATCCATCTGGATTGGTCGCCGAACGCATTTGAACCGTCAGCACACCCTCGCCGAGATCTGCCAGTTGAGTGAAGGCAGATTTGGTGAGGTCCACGTGCTTCGAGCCGGGGGCGCACCCAGCACAAGAATCAACCACTCTCACAAAAACACACTTCTTCGGGGTGTTGCAAACTGCAAAGTTGAGGGTATGAACACGAGAAATGGCGCACACTTTTAGCATAGGAGACCTACGCTCGAGGAACTTGAAGCACGCTGGACGGTCGGTCCAACCCTCCAGGGTAAGTGCACATGCAAACGAATCGTCCTAGGCAGTTTATTTTATTTAATCTCGGGTTCAAAGGGCTAAATGGTCTTTGAACGCACCGTGGGATGCCAGGTTGGCTTCTCCCAGCAGCTAGGGTTCAACAAGTCCTTCCCAGTGTACCTGCCAAGGAACGAATTCAGTATGTCGGATACGGCCTAGTATCAAAAGAATGAACAGACCATGTAATCGTTACGGGCTGTGCAGAGCCGATAGCCTTCAGACTCTGAACTACTTTGCTTAGACTGTCCACGACCCCACCCGAGGACGACTTGGACGCTGACGTTGACTTGGGCTTCGACGCAGAGCTTGTCTTCGCCGTGGGTTTCTTGGTTACTCTTCGTTCTAACATTCTCTCCCCCACGTAACCTTCATCTTGGTTCTCGCGGGCGTATTTGTACTGGAGGTTCGTAACATTAACAGTCTGCCAGCCGTCTCTGGGATCGAATTGGTAATTTGGTGCCAGAGTGTGTGCAGTAGAATATCGTCTCTCCAAAGCGCTCTGGAAGGCACTGATATCGGCAGCGGTTGCGCCCATAATGAGAGGCGCCAGAGTAGAGGCGGCAAAGAGAAGGCTGGAAAGAGAGAAAAGATGAATCATGGCTGGAATTTCGATCAGGATAGTATGTGGTGGTTGTGCCGACTAGAAAGATGTCCTGGTTGGAGACTAGGAAAAATCTACCGTAAAGACAGGCCTGCCTGAGGGCGTGAAGAGTAAATACTATAGTGGTCGGAGGGCAAAGGATAATCTGGTACACGAACAAGACGAGATGAGCTTGCGTTGAACTTGGATACCCTCTAAACTCGGAAGGTGAGATCGCGGACTTGGTGCGGAGATTGAAGTTCGATGGGCGCGTCGCGTGACCTGTGACGCAAGTCGCGTTTCGTCTGACGTGACCAGAAAGTCTCATCCACTTGGTGGAAGTTGGCGCTGCGTCCGCACGCCGGTTCCGATTTCACATAGTATTAGTAGATTTGCGAATCGATACTGTTGATAGTGAGATATGAGTCGGGATACTGATACATGCGTCGAACGAATACAATAGAAGCGGTAGTAACAATTCGAGAATCAAATGAAATCGTTTATATCTTCAGTCGGTCTTTCCTTCTGTTCGAGTTCGGGTCCGATGTTCAGCATATTGGCAGTGATAATCTCAAACGCGGTTCGCCAGTATTTCCATGGACCATTGTAGAGAGCCTTGCCTTCGTCGTTGATTCTCCAGCGGCACAAGTTGCATTGCAATAAGACGAGGTCGTTTACGCCCATCTCCTGTATTGGCCAGTATTGTTGAAGGTATGCGGATTAGCAATCCGGCATCTACGGAAAGGTCCGGGAAAGGTCCGTAGGGTTAGGATTAGTAAGGACAATGTCTCGAGAACAGTCTGGTAGTTTCTAGTCTTTTAGTTTACAGTATATAAGGAGCTCAACAGGCTTCTATGTAGTTAAGCCAATTTCTATGCTCTTCCACTCGTAGCCTGAGGCACAGTTGCTTACAAGTATTGCATTTGAGATTTTGGGCCGAGACGATCCATGGCGTTATAAGACTCTTTGAACGGAATGGCCTGCAAATTGAATCAGGCATGGGTTGGGCAACACGAAAGATAAATACCTGTCTTTCACCGGTCTTGAGCGTTTTTTCCATATATTTACTGGCCCAAATTGGGTTGCGATCCAACGGTTGCTCTATCGTGAGGGTAGTGTTATCAGTACTGGACGAAAAGGTCAACAGAATATCGTACTTTTGTTTTCGGACGCATATTTGTCGAGCAGCTGAATAGCTGCTTGAGCATCTCCTTCGACTACCGGATAAATTCCGATACTCAAGCGGCTAGGCGAATTGTAGCCTTTGCGTGTGTTATTCCTTTGAATTTTGCCCACGAGCCATATCGTGATCGGCTTGCCATTCAGGCATAGGAAACGATGAACGTCGTCTTCGGTATTGAAATGTCCCCACGCAGTGTTGTCAGGGACGGAGGTGATACCACAATGTCCAGTAGATTCACTATTGTATGTGCTCATTTTGTGGATTCTCCTATACTCGCGATTAAATTTGTGATAGATATAATCAATATTTATACATACAGTGACAACGGACGCTTGTAATCCCAATCACATAGACTACTAATTTGTCGTGTAGTAGTACGAGTAGAGGCGGAAGGAGATTCTTCGGAGTGGGAAGGGTTGTCGACGCGGGACGTTGTGCTGAAACGAAGGTTAACTCTACGGATAATATCGTAACAGGCGGGAATGTTTGAGAATATTTACCCAGGGTCACTAGCTGGTTCGCGCGTAAAACTAGTGGAGATGTCACTGTCAACCGTTTGATCGCCTATTCCCTTGTTGAGTCTGATGTGTTGTGAGTAAGGAACAGCGGTTGAACCGTTTAGATAGACATACGTGTCGGATATAGTATCTGAAGAGTTGTCGGATGTAGTGACCACAGGGGTTGATATCATCGGTTCGGCGATGATGGAGGATGGAAGAATAGAGGTTGTTCGAGTGGTAGGTCTGAACATGGGAGTGAGGAATTTGCTTTGGTGAAGTTTAGTATAACGCTGGTAGTTTACCGTTTAGTGCTGCGATCATCCATAGAATCATCGGACGGGGGGTGTTTCTTGGGCATGAGTGCGTGAACAAGGATAGAGGATGACAGAACGAGGACGATGGGGGAAGAGGGTATCAGACGTCGGATGTAAACATACCGTTCAGGGGGAGGGGGATTGGGCGGCGGTACAAACTTCAAGACCATAAGGAGAGTTTGTTGCCGGGTTTAGAAAGTAGGTGGATATCGATGGAGCGGTCGGAAAAGGCCATTATCGGAAGCACCAGTTTGGTACGGGTACACGACAGGGTACAAAGAATCTGATCGGCGTACGCATATCATATCTACGTTGATCGAGGAGATTGGGTTCTGGCATTATCACATGCAATAATTGGCGAAGGCAAACTCTCCTATAGCCTACGATGAGTTAATGTCGAAATTGGATGCGGAGGTGAGAATCGTAAATAAGTGGGAAAGCGATTATCACGACATACGCGGGACACTTAGAAAAATACCTGCTGACTGAACATGTAGTGGTGTATACGATCGGAATGGGAGAGGAAACAGTACGACCAATATGTGGCCTGCATTAACAGCAAGCGGAGGTACACATCGACGAGGTGTCGGTTCCAGACGAGCACTACTGAGATCGAGGAAGATGTCAGGAGCCTTGCATTACCGGTTCAGTTGAACGTCTTGGTGATATATGTAAAGGGTATCTCATATCGTCGCAGGGGAATGTGAAAGATTCGCTTGATGGTTGGTCTGACAATGGTTTGTATAAATTAAGTAGGTGATTACGGAAAAAAAAATACGTAGTACGTGACTTAGTTTGAGCATGTCTTTGTCGCGAAGGAGTTTTATCGTAAACTCACAGTGGTTGTCGTGAACCTGCAGAGTTTCAATAGTACCGACTACGTATACAGTGACGAGTGAGCCACCAATGGTTGCATGGTCGCCAGCAGCATGTTACGCGGCAGCGAAACACGAGCGTCAAGTCGAGTTGTCACGAGACAAGGTCTTAGTCTAAGACACAAGTCCGTTCAAGTGACACTTCTGGCGATGTCCTCGCACTGAAGGTCGGTCAGAGTTCGTTCTTATGACTCGTAGTAGCTGTCTGCTACTAACGGTCAATTTCAGTCAAAGGCAAGTGAAAAGCTGGTTTAATGGTAACCAGGTCGAGATGGGGATCCAGCTCGACAAGGTCGTCTATTTATACAAAAGGTATCCGCAGTACTACGCAGTAATGCGGGATCGTTCATTGGCTAGATAAGGTGAAACGATATCTGGGCAGGGTAATGGCGAGGAAGTAATATGTATGAGAAAGCTGAGTAAGGTCGTGAGAGATAATCAGTACTAATGGGGATAACGAGTCATGTATCAGAACGAGGTAAAGATGAGGCATACATGCACGTCTTGCATGTGTGATAAGAAGAAGGTCCGGAGTTGGATCCGGTGTAACCCCAGACTAGGGGTTCTAGTCATCTGGGTAAAGAATCGGAGGTTGCGCTCCGATGAGTCGCGTGTTGGATCACGTGGTCTGGTAACGTAAAGGGAACAAGAAGAAGAAAAAGAAAAGACGCGCCACAAGTGAGGAGCGTTGTAACATCAGCTCCCGTCTAACGTTTCTTGTCCCACAAGAAATATTGTGATCTTCATCGTCATCGGGGGCAGTCGCGGACATAATGATCTCCTCCACATCTGTAGCATGTCCGCCGGCTGGTTCATGATCCTTGTTCGGGGATACGTTCATCCCTGTAGGGATAACTGCGACGTGAAGAAGTGGATGCGGTCGAGAAAGATGGTTGGGATAACGGAGATCGTCCACTGGGTACGTGCGAACGAGGAGGGCGAGGTCGAACGGGAATTGGTTCAGGCGACGAGCGAGGAGTGGATGCGGGTATTCCATTAGTGGTGTATCCGAGGATGTGTCCGATGTCTTTGTCCCCATGCTCCCTCCAAATCTCCTGTGCTGTACGAGTGACCGTACTGCGCATTAACGACCAGACTTGGTCGACTCTGGTTCGGGCTCTACTCGTCCTTTCCTCTGCTGCGATGAGCTCTTGTCTGGCCATCTGCATCCACTCGACCATATCTAATGCTCGTTGCATGGAAACCACTGCTTGTCGATCTTGCGGGTGATTTCGTAAGGCGACGAGGATATCTGTGAAGTCGACAGGAACACGGATAGCCGAGACCAGACGTGTGGCAAATTCTTGTTCGTCCTATGCGTGACTGAGTTCGATAGAAGGTGAGGGCGATGAGGCGCGGATAAAGGGTGTCTGTGCTCGAGAGGGTACTCCATTGACAAGCGTAGGCGATGCGGGTATGCTCATAATTGTGGAGGCGACTTCAGCGAGTATATTGTGAACAAGGTCGTCTATAGCGGAAGTGGGCATTGATGATATATCGTCTTCTCCTCCTTTTATACCTTTCGGTCGTTAAGGGGATCGCGGTTATCTGTGATGTGAAATAGAATGTCGTGGATCTGGGTAATAATCAAATAGATGAAAATCCATTGGATGATAAAGAGTATTCCCACAGAGATAAGAGCTGCCTGATCAGTTCCAGGCATCGTTCTGATCACCCCAGCCGTTAGCGTGTGGGCTGTCTCGCGTGAAGAGTGTGTGTTCGACAAGTCGTCTGATAAGGATTCGGTGGATGATCCAAAGAAAAGTGAGGGTTGTGCAGTGGAGGACGATTAGGAAGATGATGAGGAAAACTGTCGTGGTAGTCATTCCGGGTTTCTTCTTCTCTACTGGATTCTCCTGGTCCTTTTATATGCATCGAGGATTCGCTTGGCATTCTGTAAATTGTGGGTAGGTTCCCACGAGTTTTCTGCTGAAGAATATCCTTTCCACTTGACTAAGTACCTCAGATGACCTCGGTACATCTTGTGATTCAGGATGGCTTCGACTTCGTACTCTTCTTCATTATCAACGACATCAGGTGGTGGGTTCACGTAATTCGGACCATGTATGTCATTTTCGCGATAAGGAGATAGAAGGGCGGCGTGGAATATGGAATGAACTCGCCAGGTCTTCGGGAGTTTGAGACGATAGTTGGCTGGTCCGATGACTTCGACAATTTCGAATGGCCCCTCACGCTTTGGTGCTATCTTGCGCGAGGCGTAATTGACCTTCAGGTTCCTCGAGTCTAGCCAGACCTTCTGTCCTAGTGTAAACTTCGGCGATCCTTGTCTGACTCGGTCCGCCATCTGTTGTCGGGCTAACTCGTGCATGGCTAGTGCTTCTAATCTTATCTTCTGCAACATGTCAAGCCTGGATTCAACCGATGGAATGTTCATGGTCGGAAATACGGAAGGGAGTCCACGTGGTTCGTATCCCATCATGATGCAGAATGGGCTCATTTTCCGTGCCGAGTGTTCCCTTGTGTTATGACAAAACTCGAGGTCTGGCAGGCGGTCGGCCCATGTTTCAGGGTTGTTTCCGCAATAGAGTCAAAGATAGATTTCCAGCTCCTGGTTGACTCGCTCTGTTTCTCCATCCGTCTGAGGGTGATAAGCTGTGCTCATTGATGATCTGATCTGGAGTAGTCGATTTAACTCTTGGAAGACCTTGGATGCGTATTGAGGTCCTCTATCCAAGATGATTCGGTCGGATAATCCAAATCGCGAGTATACTTTGTCATGAAAAATCTTGGCCGTTCCTTCGGCTGTGATCATTTTGAGGCAGGGCATAAGAATCACCCCCTTCGTAAGGTCATGGTCTACTACGACCATAATTGAATCAAAACCGTTGGAAACGGGGAGGTCGGTAATAAAATCGGTGGTGCAACAGGAAAATGGTAATGCGTGTGGGTCGGCAAGAATTGGTTCCAAAGGAATATGAGTTGGATGAGTATTCGGTTTCATTTGTTGACAGGCGGCACAGCCTTTAACATAATTGTAGACAAATGTATACATGCCGGGCCACCAGAATTCACGACGTAACAGTTCAAGAGTATTGAACTTTCCAGGGTGACCCATGGCAGGGGAGTCGTGATGTAGTCGAACAAGGTCACGATGAAGAGTTTCGGATGGTGGAACGTAAATCTTTCCCTTGTAGAGGATGACACCATCGCGAACTTCCCAGTCGGAAAGCGATGATTTCATGGGGAATGGCCCTTTGTGCGCAATCGCTTCGAGGGCTTCGTGAATAATGAGGTCTTTTGCTGCGTGATTCCTGATTTCGTCGAATAGTGTCGGGGAAATGGATCGCACGAATAGTGCATTGGGTAAAAGAATGCGATCTTCATTGTCACTTTCACTGTCATCGAGTCCATTACGACGAGAGAGCGCATCAGATTGAATCATCTGAGTGCCAGGGACATGGATGAGGTGAAGATCAAATTGTGATAATTTGAGACTCCATCGTGCTTGTCGGCGGTTTAACTTCTGAGCTGTACGGAAGTACGTGAGGTTCTTGTGATCACTGCGAACTTCGACGGGATGGGGAGAGCCTTCAAGATAATGGCGCCATTCAGTGAGGGCTCGAATGATTCCGAGGAGTTCGCGGTCATAGATTTCGTAGTTCCGTTCAGCTGGATTGAGCGTCTGTGAAATGTAGGCACAAGGATGGAGGTCTCCATTGATATCGGCTTGACGTAAAACTGCACCTGTAGCAAACTTGGAAGCGTCGGATTCAACAATAAAGGGTTTTGCCTTGTCAGGCAGTAACAGTACTGGGGCGGTACTGAATCGTTGCTTCAATGTGTCGAAAGCTGTCTGACATTCTGTTGTCCATTCAAAAGGTGGAGATCCAGCGGCAGTGCGCGTAAGATTCGTCAATGGTTTGGCAATATCCGAGAAGTTGGCAATAAACTTCCGATAGAAGTTTCCAAACCCTAGGAAAGAGCGAACACCTTTTACCGTGCTTGGTTCAGGCCATTCTGCAATTCCTTTAAGTTTGATAGGGTCCATGCCAATGTAGTTTTCTCGAATGATCATGCCTAGGAATTCGACTTCTTTAATATCAAAGAAACACTTTTCCGGTTTAAGGAATAAGTCGTTGTCTTTGAGTCGTTGGAGTACGCATCGGGTTTGAACATGATGTTCTTCCAAATCGTTTGAGAAGATGAGGATATCATCCATGTAAATGACTATCCATCCCTCATCGATCATGTCCTTGAAGAGTGCATTCATCATCATTTGGAAAGTCGCCGGGGAGTTGCAGAGTCCAAAGAACATGACCATAGGTTCGAAAAGT